TTCTGATTGACTTCTGTGCCTGGTATGAGAGGGGTCTGAGTTCATTACTTTACATGTGACTGATCGATTCTCCAGCGCCATTTGTTGAAGAGACTTTCCTTCCTCTGCCTCATGCTCTTAGCTCCTTTGTCAGAGATCAGCAGGATTTGTCTCTGTGCTCTCCGAGCTGTCCTGTTGGTTGGAGAGTGTCTTTATTCCAGTAACACACTGTTCCAGTTACCGTAGCTTTGTAACACAAGGCTGGGGGAGAGTAGCCTCCCATGTTCTTTTTCCCTGGCCATACCCAGCTCTTCTCAGGGGTTACCCCTGGCTCCACACTCAGGAATCACTCCTGGAGGTACTTGGGGGACCCTAGGGGATGCCGGGGATCGAATCTGGATCAGCAAGGCAAGTGCCCTACCCGTAGTACTATTGCTCTGGCCCCTAAAATCTAAACCTTTTTAAAGGGAAGTTATATTAGAATGATACAGTGAAAAGAGCAGTAGAAGTCCATTCTGAAAAATGTCTTTGTCCCATTATTCAAACACAATTCCCAAGTCTGCCATCTCTGCGCTCTGTATCCTCAGTTTGTAAGGGTCAGTTAAGTTGATTGTATATGGAAATGCTTGGAGCTTCTTGGTCATATGAAATATAAAGTATGTGGTAGTTTGCTGATATGGGGACTCAAACTCTGGCTTATGCCACGCCAGATGCATGACTTCTGCCTTTCTGTCAAGTCCTGAGCTGCACAGGGAAGTCCAAATTACCTGCATTGGCTCATTTGACAGTTCTGTTCATTTGCTTCAGAATGTCCTTGTAACCAAGGGCAGCTTTTGTCCTCCTGTAATTCAATTATTTTACACATTTTTTCCCCCACATAGTTTATCTTTTAGACTCATGATTCATGAATCAGTAGCACAGTCAGGAGACTTTGGTTTATGAGGTGCATGTCACTCAGATATGTTTTAGTTTCAGGGTTTTTTTTTTTTATTGGGGGGACCACACCCAACAGTGCTCAGGGCTTACTCCTGCCTCTGCACTCAGGGATCATTCCTACCGGACTCAGGGGACCAGATGGGATGCAGAGATTGAACCCAGGTTGGCTGCATGCAGTCAAGCTATAATACAGAGCCTTAACCTCTGTACCATAGCTCCAGCCCTCAAATGTGGGTTGTTTTTTGGCCTCTGTCCAGTAGGTGAAATGGCAAGCAGGGTTTCTCCAGGCCTTGTGGGCCGGGCCTACTTGGACGGCCAAGGAAGGGGCCGTGTGAGCCAGGAAGTACATGTCGGAAACCTGTTCCCTGTTGACGGGACAAGGGACCTACCCAGCGAGGCTGGGGGCAGATACTCTGGGATGTCTTGGGATGCCGGAATCTGAACCGTTTTCCCCTCTGCTTGGACCTGCCCTCATTCCAGTACTCCCAGGCGGCTCTGCCGTCCCACCCCCACCCCAAATCTGGACCTCTGTGGACTCCCCTATCCCCATCCTCCCATGCATGGCCCCCTCCTGGAGTGTGGCCTCGGGGGGAGAGGGGGGAGGCTGCAGTCACACTTAGCTTTCTGTACAGATTAGAAAGGAATTCTCAGACCCGGAGAGATAGCATGGCAAGGAAAGCACTGATCCAGCACCTCATACAATCTCCCCCAGACCACCAGAAAATGATTCCTGAGCCGGGAGTGAACCGTGCACAACACTGGGCGTGGTCCAGCTGCAACAGCAAGGGAAGCCCTTGTGGTTTCCTGACTGATATTCCTCCATGCCTGACCGGGGTCATGGCCACAGCAGAGCAGGGAGGGTCCCCCCGGGAGGAAGCGTTGTCTGAGGACCGACACCCTGAAGCACCCCAGGGTAGAGTGTAGAGTCCGAGATTGCAAAGCAGCCCCTCATTTTTGTCAACACAAAATTTATTTGATGTGCTGGAGAGAGTGCTAGTACAACAGGTAAGGCCTGCATGTGAGTGACCTGAGTTTGATCCCCGCCCCCCCTACAGGGTCCCCTGAACACCACCGGTGTGGCCCAAAACAACAAACTTTACTGATAATAACTTAGATACTGATTTTTTGTTGTCTGTCTTCATTTTTTTTATAGTTTCACCAGGAGTTAACCCCTTTAAAATCCGTAATTCCAAATTATATTTCCTTTTCAGTTTTTTTATTTTTAGTCCACACCCAGCTGTGCTCAGAGTTTACTCCAGGCTCTGTGCTCAAGGCTTAATCCTGGCAGTGCTCGAAGGACCATACGGGTGTCAGGGATCGAATCCAGGTCTGCTGCATCCAAGGCAAGCTATCTACCTGCTGTGCTGCCACTCCACCCCTCTTTTTACTTTATTTTTAAAAGATAATTATAGTGAATAAAATCTTCTAGAAAATTCAGACACTCTACAGTCGCCACGATACTTATGCCCGGACTCAACTGCTCGGGACAAGTCTCATCCAGAAATGAATCTGTTGAAAAACTCAGGTGTGCATGTTTTATGATGAAATCTCCAGGCTTTCGTGGAGTTGGGGATGGACTACCTCCGTGCATCTCCCTGTACTCCTGGGAGCCTCAGCAGTCCCACCCATGAACCGCATGAACCACCTCTGACACCAAGTAAGCCCATTAACCAGCCATGATACTGAGACTCATAAATAAATCTCAAAAGAGAATAAACAAGTTGCAGAAATGCTTCCAACCCCATGCCAGGCTGAGTGGTTTGGGGCACCCAAAGTTACTAGTCAGTTAAAAATTTAACTTCAGGGGGCTGGAGCGGTAGCATAGCGGGTAGGGCGTTTGTCTTGCACATGGCCGACCTGGTTTTGATTCCCAGCATCCCATATGGTCCCCCGAGCAGCACTGCCAGAAGTAATTCCTGAGTACAAAGCCAGGAGTAACCCCTGAGCATAGTTGGGTATGACCCAAAAAAGCCAAAAAAAAAAATTCAGTTGTATCATCCCAATCAATATTTTGAAATTTGGAACACAGTCTCTGGGGCATGTGACATCTGAAACTTTTCATCACTGATAAACCAGGAGCAGCACATTGAATGGGAGGTAAAGTAGAAGACAACTAATTTCGATTAACAAAATATAAACGCACAAGGCTTAACCTGTAACAACGTGTTAGTAATCTCCTATACAAGGACTCAGTGACTCCATGGTGAGGTATAATCTTCACACGCTTTCTTCTAAGAATACACATTTTTAGTGAATTATTTATAACAAGCAATATAAAATAAATTATTCAAGGTCTGCTGTAGAGGCAGGCTAGAGGGGCGGTTAGTTGGAAATAATGGTAGTGGGAAGGTGCAGTGGTGGTGGGATTAGTATTGGGTTATTGAATGTAATATCATGAATAACTTCATACAAAATAATAAAATATGCAAATTAAGAAAAGGAAAATTCATTGGGATTCGGTATTCGTAATAGCCAAAATCTGGAAACAAGCCAGTTGATTGGGTAAAGAATCTGTGGAACATTGCACAGTGGAATACTACTCAGCCGTAAGAAAAGATGAAATCATTCTGTCTGCTGCTGCATGGACGGATCTGAAGAAAATCATGTGGAGTCAAGTTAGAGAGAGGGAGAGGAACGGACACAGAATAGTCTCATGTCTAGAACATAAAGAAACATCATTAACAAGTGCTCACGAGCAGTAGAGACAAGAGTAGAACTGGCCTTCAGTAGGAAGCTGCCACAGGTGGGAAGACAGGGAAGGAAGGCTGGGACAGTGCTCAGGGGGTGTGGGGTGGGGGGTGGGGGGCTGCCACAGAGGCAGCCTGGGGTCAGGAAGGAAACTGTGGAGGGAAGTGGGCCTGGTGTTGGACCACTGTACGTCTGAAATGCAATCGCGAATAACTTTGTTGTGTAATTCTTGGTCGTCAGTTTTTTAAAAATAGAATCCTAGTTTAGGGCTGGAGGCAGGGGCTCGCCTTACTTGCTGCCGACCTGGGTTTGATCCCTGGAACCTCACCCGATCCCTGAGCTCCTCCAGGAGTCAGCCCCAAGGAGTGCTGTGTGTGACTCCCCCTGCCAAAAAGAATCCCAGGAGTGAGATGATACGAGGACTGAAGGACGATGGCAGGTGCCAGATGGCAGCTCTTCTGATTCCTCAGAACAGAACAAGAAACTGGCTGATAAATTGGGTCGCAGAAGATACTGGTGGATGGCTGAGGGTGTTTTATCTGAACACAGTGGTGCTGGTTTCCACATCCTGGACTCGACCCACAGGCCATGCACCACGTCCTCCCCTGTCACTGCCACAGCATCCGTATTGGGAACTCGGATCTGGAACTTCCTCACTGTGTGGCCTGTGTTGAGCTGCCGCTCCCGGGATATCGGTGGCAACTAAATCATATTCAAGGCCCTGTTTGGGACTGGAGAGAGTACAGTGGTTAGGGTGCTGGTCTTCTACCTACTCAACCCGGCTTTGGGCCCCAGCTCCCCATGCAGCCTCGCCAGGAGTGACTTCTGAGCACAGAGGCAGGAATAAGCCTTGAGCACCATCAGGTGTGGCCCAAACCCCGCTCCCCCCCAATGGGAAACTCCAAGTGTGAACTTGATGTCATTTAGCGTCATTGAGCCTGAGTGTCGATGTTGTGCATCCGCCTAGTTCTAGAGCATTGAGTCCAACATCTTACAATGATGGGTTTGTTTCTCCTAACCCTGAAAGAGCCTTGAATGTGGCACTTTTTATAATCTCAGGGCTAGGACGAAGGAGAAGGAGACGTTACTGGTGCCTGCTCGAGGCAATCGACGAACAATAGGATGATCCTGATCATTGTCTTTCCCTACGGTAGACGCTTCTAGAGGCGAATGTGCCTGGTGTCTCTCCTCGGGGGAAATCATCTTGTGTGCAGTAATAAGAATCCATGTCATTTCCGAAACATTGACTCTTGCTTTCAGCAGGACCCATCGAGAAGACGAATGCCTGTTCCCTCAAGTCCCTTTCTCGTGTGGTGTTCATAATCGAAAAGCCGCGGTAGAGAGCGTCCTCTGGGCCTCCCGACCAGGTGATTCATTCTTTCTTTCCTCTTTTTCAGATCTCAGTCACAGTGGATTGGCAGATCACTATGAAAATTCCCCCTGGGGCCAGCAGCCCGCTTACCGAAACGAAGCCAGCTGTGGCTGGGGTGAAGTGACCAGGGACAGGACGGAAAAGGAGGCGTGGCCTTCCACCCCGGGGCCTGAGCCAGAAGCGGCCTCGGAATGTGCCGCAGACACTGACTCTGTCTCCAGCTGTGGCTCCGAGAGCAGGAGCATGGCGACAGGGAGTGCCCAGGGCACCTTCACTGGACACGCCAAGAAGACGAACGGCAATAATGGCACCAATGGCGCACTCGTCCAAAGCCCTTCTAATCAGAGTGCCCTTGGGACGGGGGGAGCGGGCGGGGGCGGGAGCGCGGCCCGAGTTTGGGGCGTAGTCGCGGGCTCCAGCGCAGGCCTCGCCCACTGCCCCCTGGGCGGGGGGGATGGCAAGATGGACAACGTGATGGGGGAAGGGAGAAGCCAGAGCTGCTGGGGGGCTGCCAACGCCAACGCTGGCATCAGTCTCAACCTTAACCCAAATGCCAACCCAGCTGCCTGGCCCGTGCTCGGACACGAAGGAACTGTGGCGACGGGCAACCCTTCCAGTATTTGCAGTCCAGTCAGTGCCATAGGCCAGAGCATGGGCGGCCAGAACGGGAGCCCAGCAGGCACGGCCGGTGCCTGGGGGAACCTGCTGCCGCCAGAGAGCACGGAGCCGCAGGCACCGTCCACGTCTCAGAATGTGTCCTTCAGCGTCCAACCTCAGAACCTTAACACTGACGGACCAAACAACACTAACCCCGTGAACTCGTCCCCAAACCCTCTCAGTGCAATGCAGACCAACGGACTGCCAGACTGGGGCATGGCTGTTGGCATGGGGGCCATCATCCCGCCCCACCTGCAAGGCCTTCCTGGTGCTAACGGAGCATCCGTTTCTCAAGTGGGCGGGGGCAGCGGGGAAGGAATGGGCAGTTCGGTGTGGGGGCTGTCCCCGGGGAACCCCGCCACCGGAAGCAGCAGCTCTGGGTTCAGTCAGGGGAGTGGAGACACTGTGAACTCAGCATTAAGTGCTAAACAAAACGGATCCAGCAGTGCTGTGCAGAAGGAAGGGAGTGGCGGGGGTGCCTGGGACTCGGGGCCTCCCACTGCCCCCGGCGTGCTCCCGTGGGGCAGGGGCAGCGGTGGGGGCAGTAGCGTCGGGAACATCCATTCAGGAGCCTGGGGCCACCCCAGCCGGAGCCCCTCGAACGGTGTGAACGGGGAGTGGGGGAAGCCCCCAAACCAGCATTCCACTAGTGACATCAATGGGAAAGGAGCGACAGGGTGGGACGGGCCTAGCGGGAACGGCCAGAGCCCCGGCGTGCCGCTGGGCGGTGAGCACACAAGCTCCTGGGCCAAAGCCGCGTCCTCCGGCGCCACCGCCAGCGAAGGCAGCAGCGAAGGTTCCGGGGGGCTCGGCGAAGGGGGCGCCGGGCGGGAGGCCGTGGAGGGCCGCAGGCGGGAGAAAGGGATCCTGGACCCAGGGCACATCCAGCTGCCCAGGAACGACCTCGACCCGCGCGTGCTTTCCAACACGGGCTGGGGGCAGGTCCCAGTACAGCAGAACACTGCCTGGGAGTTCGAAGAGTCCCCCCGGGCCGAGAGGAAGAACGACAACGGCACCGAGGCCTGGGCGTGTGCCCCTCAGCCGTCCGGCGCGGGCGGGAAGAACAGTGGGTCCCTCGGGGACAGTCCAAATACCTCTTCAGTATCGGGGTGGGCCAGCGCCCCGCCGGCCGCCGGGCCAGCCCCCACGGGCTGGGGAGACGGCAGCAACAAGGCCCCAAGCGGCCCCGGGGCGTGGGGGGACTCGGTGGGCTCTACTGCTGTCAATGCTGCTGCTGCCAAGGGGGGCCACGCCTGGCCGGGGGCCGCGAGCCAGGAGGACAAGCCGCCCGCCTGGGGGGAGCCTCCAAAACCCAAATCTCAGAACTGGGGGGACGGGCCCAAGTCAAGCCCGGCCTGGAGCGCAACCGGGGGAGACTGGGCAGAGTCAGCCTCTGTCCTCGGACACTTGGGGGAGGGGAAGAAAGCCAGCTCCGGGTGGGATGCTGACGGCCGCTCCGGGGCTGGGTGGACAGAGACTGCAGGGGCCGGGCCTGGCGGCTGGGGCAGTGGTGCAAACGCCAAGGTGAATCCAGGTCCAAACTGGGGGGAGTCTCTGAAGGCCGGGCCCCAGCAGGGCTGGGCCAGCAAGGGCCCGGACAGCAGCGTGAGCAACTGGGGAGGGGCCGCCTCTGTGAAACAGACAGGACCGGGCTGGGTCAAATCGAAGGACACCAGGGAGGCCACGGGCTGGGAGGAGCCTTCGCCACCGTCCATCCGACGCAAAATGGAAATCGATGATGGTACCTCAGCTTGGGGTGACCCGAGCCACTACAACAATAAAAGTGTGAACATGTGGGACAGGAACAACCCCGGCCTCCAGAGCAGTACCACCGCCAACACCACCGCCACCACCAGTAACAGCACGAACGCAGGCGAGGCACCGCCAGCACACCCGGCCAGCACCCAGCTGGCTCGGTCGCCACTGCTCGGCCCAGGTAGGAGAGAGATGTGCATGATTCCCCAGGGCCAGCCTTACACTTTCTGCACATGCGCACCGTGGGCCTGGCTCCCTGGCCCTCGCTGTGGGACTGGTCTCAGTGTCACCCAAGGGCTTCTGGTAGGAGGGGGGTCGGGAAGGGTTACATAGGGACAGCTGTGGCTTGTTGGCCAGTAGCAGCATATTCTGTCAGTGTTTCAGTGGGAAGAAACCCTGGTTAGGTTAAAGCAAGTGTTGAGTTTCTGCTTGGCGGTAGCAGTCTGCCAGGCTCCTGCTCAGGGCAGCCTCGCGTTACCGATGGCCTGTGGGAGGGTGCAGGTCTCCCAGGTAGCTGCGCTTCAGGCAGCACCCCTGTTACCGAGACACCTCTGCACAGGGCTTTCACCCTTGGGAGGGTACAGGAGAGGCCCAGTTTCACTTCTTCTGTGGTAGGATTTTGAACAGTTGCTTGCGGTTATGGCCCGGCGACCCCTTTTCCAGGAATAGTCCAGCTTCTTGCAGCTTTTTCTCATAATATGGCTTCAGTCCTTCTTATTGAGAGCAGAGAGATAGTACAGAGGCTTTTTGCCTTGCTTGCAGTGGCCCTAGTTTGATCCCGCACCTTCAGGAGTGACTCGCTCACAGAGCCAGGAGTAAGCCTTATGCACCACTGAATAAAAAGAGAATCCTTTGTGTTGCCGTGCTCTGCCTCTTAAGTCACACCGCAGCCAAGGTCACTGCTCTGAGCACAGCTGCCTCAGGGTTAGTGGGGTCCTCGCCTTCTTCCTTTTCCCTGAAAACATGCACCGACACAGCATCCTGAGTTTTAGTTAGCCTTGGCTTTTTTGAGCCACGAAGAAACCCATTTGATCCTCAAACGAATTAAAATGCAAAGTCTGTCTGTTAGGTTACTGCTGTAAAGCCTTCTCTCATTCGGGACTACATTTGCATTTGCCTCTGATAAACATGGATTCATCTTTTGAAACCATTTTGAACTGATACTGTAGTCAGAAAGTTAGGTATTCCTTCTAGATGTCAACCCAGGGGGGGGGTTGTTGTTGTTTTTTTTGGGGGGGGGGGTGTTTAGTGGCCTTCCCGGGCTCTGGGACTTCCCTGGGCACCATGTGTAGTGCCTGCATTACCAGAACCTGTCACAAATACAAAACCAAGGGTAGCATCTTCCTCTGTCACCCACTCAGCTGTCTGGCAGATAGGACAGATTTCAAATCTACCCACTACCTGTGAGGGAATCTGGGTTTGTCACTGAGACGGTTCCATAGCAGGGCCGTAAACTCCGTCACACACCAGCTGACAAGTCAGAAAGTTATTTGTAGTAATGTGACCCTGGAGGGATTGTGAGTCACCGTTTAAGCAACGAGGCCCTAGGGATCTTCCCCCCCCACCGCCGATGCCTGGTGCCAGAAGGTTCCTTGCTAGGGGGTTCATTGCCTCCAGCCCCCCCATAGACGGTGCCCCACAATTCGTGTCTGCCCTGACACTCCGCTCAGAGCCTTGGTCCTGGCGCTCCAGAGTCAGGCCTGGTGCTGCCATGTGCACGGGCCCCTCGCAAAGCAGGGCGAGATTGTGGGGACTGCGTGAAGAAGCCAGGGTGGCCGCACAGGCCTGGTGGCCAGGGCCGGCTGGAGGAGAACTCAGGAGACAGGAGTCGCGTTGGGAGTGGTTCCGGGAAAGCAGGCAGGAGAGGAGGGTGTCCTGGAGCCAAGAAGATGGCAGGGGGCAGCCTCAGCCGGGCTGGCTGTCACCGCAGGTGCAACTGGAAGGCGTTTCTGTTTGGTAGATTTCAGGCAGGGGGCTGGGCAGACAGGGTGATTTCATTTTCTGAAAATGGAGGGAGTAGGCAAGATCAGGTGGGCGGCGTCTGCCCTAGCCCCAGAGGGCTGCTGGAAGCAGTGGACAGATTGCCCAGCCTGGGGTAGGCCTGGAGGGCCCGGCTGGAACGAAGCTGCTGGACCAGCCTGGCTTCGTGGCCACCTGCCCTGCCCCGATCACTGCCCACCCTCAGAGCCCCGTGGTATCGCCACAGACCCTCAGCTCAGCTAGCCCAGGGTCCAGCCAACTCGTGCGCTTGTTGGGTTACAACAGGCAGGTCCGTGGGGGTGAGGGAACCTGTGAGTCCTGCCTTTACAGCACTGACGTTTCTGGGCGCTGAGATCTTCCCAAGTGCTTGAAGGAATGGGGAGGTCAAAGGGTGAGAGGGGACTGCCAGAAATGAAGGGCTGTACCCTGGGAATGTGCACGGTCTAGGGGAGCGGGCCCTGGGGACCCTCACAGCCTCTTTCTAAGGGCGTGGGGAATGTTGAATTCGATTTTTAGGTCATGCCCGGCAGTGCTCTCAGGACTGATTCATGGCTCTGTGCTCAGGGATCGAACCTGGGTTGGCCACGTGCAAGGCAAACGCCTCCCCACTGTCCTGTCGCGGCCCCTTCTCCGTGCCTGTGGCCTCAGGCTCACTTGGCCGCTGCGGCTGGTCCGTTTCTTTGGCTGCCTCTGCTGCTTCCCGGGAAGTGTGTTCTCACACTGATGACAGGGTCATGGCCCTGGCTGACTTAGTGGACCTGGAATGTGAGCTTTGCCCGAGACATTCATTCTTGCTGGGGTCAAAATCATTCTCTGGCGTGAAAATTAGCCTGGTGTGGTATTTTTTAACAACTTGCATTGTTTTCCTAAATGCAAAAGAAGGAAAGCATGATCCAGGCCTTCCTGTCCTCCTGTGCCCCTGCTGGGTCACAGCGTGGACTTGACCGTGAGTGGACGGGTCCAGAGCTCACAAGCTCTTCCCAGGCAGGCGGCCCCGGGGCAGAACTCACAGGGACAGTTTGGCTTCTGTTCCCTGTACTCGAGTCCCTGCCTCTCCCGGGCTTTCCGCCCTTCCTTCCCCAGGTGTCCAGGGCCCAGTGGAGAGCCGGCATCCATCTCGGTGAGAACAGGCCTGGTCACTGTCAGGGGTGGCCTGAAGTGTCACCTCAGCATCCTCCCTTCTGTTTCCTGCCTGGCAGTGACAAGGCATGGGTGTCCTGTGATCCTGACCGTTGGTCATCGGGAGCACCAGCTTGGGACCCCCAGCAGAGGACTGTGGTGTGAGCAGGCTTGGTCACTCGGGCGTGCGTCAGTGCTCAGAGCACTGCCCATGGAAGGAGCAAGTCCCCCCCACAGCACTGTCACGCACCAAGTGGCTGCCACGTTGCAATGTTTATCCATTTGGTATTTTGCACGTGTTCTGCAACTTTGCCCCTGCCCGGTGCCAGTTCTGCCAACTTGCACCATCAGTTTTGACCGGTGCGTTGTTGTCCCCCAGCTGTGTTGCTCTGTCTTACAAAATGACGTTTTGGGGGGGTTTTTTTGTGTGTGTGTGCCTTCAGTTTTCCAGGTAAATGTTGCAGAGGCTCGTTTTTACCCTGTTCTTGTGAGGCAGAGATGACTTTCCCACGAGGCTGAGGAGAGTCTTTGAGAAATGCTGCAAGGCTTATAAACTGGATTATTTGGGTATGATCCAGACCTTTCTGGTGAAGGGACCCAGAAATAACTTCGAAAATGCCCCATGTCCATCTTTGGTTGGGCTGATCAGCTCCCTGGGCTGGACACTGCAGGCTTAACCCAAGTGTCCAACTGTCTGAGCTGGCCCAGTGCAGCCCCCAGGGACGCTTACCCTAGGAGAGGTGCCAGAAGGGGGTTTGCCTGACCATGCAGTCCACTTAGAAACTCTTATTCAGAGGGGCCAGGGCTGTGTCGGTGTAGAGTGCATGTATGTGGCCCCCCACCCCACCCCCATGAGCCCTTGGGCCCATTCCCCAGGACTGGGGCAGGTGATGGCGCCTTCACAGCGACACCGAGGGCTCCTTTTGTCTCTGAACTCATTGCTTTCACCGGAACTTTGGATCATTGGGAGGGTTTGGGGACAAGGGTAGACAGCGCAGTTGGTTTGGAGTCTGATGCTGAGGCTGGCCCAGATCCCATCCCTGCTGGCCCAGTGACTTTCCTGTGGCCATCCAGAAAGCAGAGTGTGCCCCAGCTGGGGGAGGCCAGCGTGGCCCTGGACATGAGGCTAACAGGAGCAGGCGGGGAAAGGGCTAATGGCTTTTTCTGCACGTGGGGACCTGACGGGGTATCTGTTTGCCCCATAACTTAGCGCCTATGGAGAGGCAGAGGCCCTGGGAGGGGCAGATCGCCACGGGCTAAACTCCGACTTGGAAGAAAGTGAGTCTGGGAAGCCTGTCCTGCGGTCCAGCTGAGCGGACAGTGGTCACCTGCGGAGGGAGTGAGTCAGCAAACCCCTGGAGCGCCTTTGTTCCCACGAGGTGGCAGAAATAGATCTCCCTGACCTCCCCTGCGCTATTTTAAGCCCCGCGCGTAGTTGCAAAAGTAGAGATGCCCCAGCCAGCCAGCCTTTTGGTGAAACTGGGGCTTTCCTTAGGCCTGGGTTTGAGGCGCTGAAGATGGAGGAGAAACTGGGACTTGGAAATGCCTAAAAGGGGCTCAGTGCCCATGCTCAGTGCAAGTCCCAGGGTAAACGGGTGACCCCACACCCGAAGCGTGACATCTGTCTGAAGATGCATGCTGCAGTAAGGGTCTCTGCCCTCATGCCCAGGCAGCCACCCCCTGCCCCTCCCCCAAGTAGGGGCTGCTGTTCAGCCCAGGGCCCTACCTGTCACCCTCACCCGACTCCGTGAATCTGCCACTCAGTGCCTAGGAAGCAGCAGTGGGAGTAGCCCCTATAGAGCGCCAGGTGTGGCCCAGAAACTTGGAAAAATCAATTAAATGTTATTACCGTGGTCTTAAAAGCTTGGACTTCAGTCATTTCTGCTAGTGTTGTCTTCCGAAGAGTTGAAAGTTGAAGGGTCGCAAACCTGGAGGACTTGTCGCTTCAGCACCTGAAACGGAAACTTGGGGCCTCAGAGTCTTTAGTCACACTGAAATTATTTTTGTCCCAATACATCCGTGATTTTTATCAGTTCCATTTTCCTGATTTAATTTTGTCCCCTCTATTTGTAAAGGTGTTCAAATATACAGTATTTCTGTGTAATTTCAGTATTTTCAGTGGTTTGCTGGTTTGCTACTACGCTGTTATTGGCAGTATCATTGTATCACTGTCATCCTGTTGTTCATCAATTGCCTCGAGCAGGCGCCAGTAATATCTCCTTCGTCCTAGCCCTGAGATTTTACAAAGTGCCACATTCGAGGCTCTTTCAAGGTCAGGAGAATGACACCCATCATTGTTACTGGGTTTTGGCATATTGAATACGCCACCGGGAGTTTGCCAGACTCTGCCGTGTGGGCAGGATACTTTTGGAAGCCTGCCAGGTTCTCCAGAGTAAGAACTAGATAATAAGATGTCTCTTCCAGGAGCAGGGTTTTATAGTCTCTGGGTCTTGGCCGTTGATGGGATTACATGGCACGGGGGGGGGGGGGGGGGGGAGTTGGTGGGTGTAACGCCTACATACTGGAAGATGGGGGATCTGGGTGGAGGAAGCCCCAGTCCCAATCCTCTATGCCCCGGGTCCTGCACACCTGGGTTCCTCTGCCGATTCCTTCATGCGTGCGGCTTGTCCGAACGTGTGGAGAGTGGTTTTTAGCATGGCTATGGCTGGAACCGGAGGTCTTCAGATGCCGGGGCTCTGCTCGGGGTGGGGAGGGAAACTCAACCCACCCTCCTCCAAGGGGCCCCAGTGAGGACAGCCAGGCGCAGAGGCAGGAGACTCTGCACTGTTCTCTTCCGGGAGCTGGGTTTTATAGTCTCTGGGTCTTGGCCGTTGGTGGGATTACATGGCACGGGGGGCAGTTGGTGGGTGTAACGCTTACATACTGGAAGATGGGGGATCTGGGTAGAGGAGGAGGCCCCAGTCCCAATCCGAGCAGGCTTGGAGATCTACGGCCCGGGTCCCGCAAATTATTGGCAGTAATTTACATAACATATTACTCAGCGCAGAACTTAAAATTCGGAATGGTTGTTAGTTTCTATGTCCTTTTCTCATTCATCAGTATTATTGCATTTTATTAGAATGAAGAACATCACGGGAGCAGATTTCCTGATGTTTTAGTCAAAAATTAAAATATTTCTATTTGTTTTTGTTTTGGGGCCACACCCGGTGATGCTCAGGGGTTCCTCCTGGCTTTGTACTCAGGAATCACTCCTGGCGGTACGCAGGGAACCATATGGGATGCCAGGGATCAAACCCAGGTCAGCCACGTGCAAGGAAAAATGCCCTCCCCACTGTGCTATCGCTCAGGCCCTCAAAATCAGAATATTTCTTAAATGAGATGTTGAGGCCAAGGATTTTAAACTTTGTGGCCAACGGTTTGCATTTTCAGAGGGTAAATGGAAGGGAAATAAGGAGAAAGCTCCCACTACATTTGTGCAGATCTCTGGAGCAGGATTTTGAGAAGTGAATTTTTTGTCCAAGAATCTTAAGTTGCTTAGGTTTTTAGAGCCACACTGGCTGGTGCTCAGAGCTCACTCCTGGCTCTGTGCTCGGGGTCACTCCCCGGGTACCATATGCAGCACCGGAGGTGCGAACCGGCATGCAAGGCAAGGCCTTACCTGCCTCCTGGTCCATCTCTTCAGCTTGAAATGTTTTCCTCACTGAAGTAAGTGTAAAGAGTGGTGGGCCCCTGTGCCCCCCCTTGGTGTTCCTGTTGGTAGGAATGCTGGAACATTCTGATTGCAGTCAGGACACTGCCCGGGAGGCTGCCCACGGCCTGTGCAGCTGCCGCCACCTCCTGCCCTACATGCCTGCCACCCCTGCCCGCCTTTCATTTCTCTGCCCGTCTTTGTTTCTGATGGTCAGAGATAAGGAAGAAGGGTTTTTCCCGCATTTCCTTGCGAGTTGGAGGTAGCCTGAGATGACTTTTTGATCACTACAAAAGCAAAAATATCCCAGAAGCAAAAATGCTACTTTTTTTTTTTTTTTGCTTTTTGGGTTACACACGGCAATACACGGGTTACTCCTGGCTCTGCACTCAGGAGTTACTCCTGGCAGTGCTCAGGAGACCATATAGGATGCTGGGAATTGAACCCGGCTCGGCCACGTGCAAGGCAAACACCCTACCCGCTGTGCTGTCGCTCCAGTCCCAAAAATGCTACTGCTTAAGTACAGGTTTCAATCTGTTCTTTTAAACCTTACTAATTGTAAGTACTGTGAACTCAGTCAGCATTAGTGCAGAGTAAATTTCGGCTTGTCCTAGGTGGGGAAAATGGCAACTTTAAAGCAAAACAGATGTGATGAAGTGACACGGTTATCTTCTCACCCAGCTGTCCTGGACTCTCAGAGAATGACCTTGGACGTTTCTCTCTCACCCCCCCCACCCCCCCACCCCCGGTGCCTCTGCAGTTTCCTCAGGCTGGGGAGAAATGCCTAATGTGCACTCAAAGGCCGAAAACTCCTGGGGGGACCCATCCTCGCCTTCGGCCCTGGTGGATAACGGCACTGCAGCATGGGGCAAGCCACCCGGCAGTGGCAGCGGATGGGGGGACCAGCCCCCCGAGCCAGTGGTGACCTTCGGACGAGCTGGTGGCCCAGCTGCTGCCCCAGCCCTGTGCAAACCAGGTGAGCGTGTAGATTCTCCTGTTTGGGGACCGTGGCGGAGCTGGGGGACTCCGTGGGATGTTGGGGATTGAACCCAGGTCAGCCACATGCAAGGCAAGCACCCTCCCCGCTGTACTCTCTCCAGCCCCCAGAAAATTCATTCATTCTTAATGGATCTTAAAGATCAAGGATTGTTTGTTTGGGGGCCACATTCAGTGATGGTGAGGGGCCTGTTCCCAGCTTACTGCTCTGGTCTGTGCAATGCACAGGAGTGAACCCAGATCCCCGCATGCACAGCCAGTGCTCCGGCACTTCGAACTGCCTCCCTGGCCCAAGGATGAACTCTAGGACACTTACTTATACTTTAATGCTATGAAATTATATAACACCACGTACACTTAAATGTTTATTTTTTTATTTTGGGAGTGGGTCTACTCCCAGGTCAGTGACCAGGGGTTACTCCTGGCTCATTTCATGGGACCATAAGGGATGCCTGGGATTGAACCTGGGTCAGCCGCATGCAAGGGCAGACACCCTCCCCATTGTATTGTCCCTCCCACCCCCAAAATGCTTTTTTTTAAAAAAAAAAAAAAAGAAAAGAAAAGAGAGATGAACTGTCGGTGTTCAGCTTTCGCCCGCCCAAGGTCCGGCGTCTCTGTGGGAGCTGGCAGGGCCCACTACAGCCTAGCACCTCTTTGGTGACCCCCACAGGTAGCCCGTGCAGGGGGAGCCCTTCTGAGGTTTAAATCTGACTCAGTGTCACTGACCATCATTAGAGAGTAAGCTTTCTCCATTTTCTTCCGGGGCCCTGCGGTACTTCCCAGAACGCAGCCGTGTTTTGATGTGACCTGCAAGTCAGTGGGCCCTTTTTTTTTTCTCTTTGGGTCACACCCAGTGATGTACAGGGTTTTCTCCTGGCTCTGCACTCAGGAATTACTCCTGCCAGTGCTCGGGGGTCTATATGGAATGCTGGGGATCAGACCCGAGTCAGCTGCATGCAAAACATGTACTATCACTCCAGCCCTGGCTTTTTTTTTCCCCCATTGTTTTATTGAGGGCAGGGAAGGGGCTTGGACCATATCTGGCAGTATGAGCAGCTCAGGGCTTGCTCTGACTCAGGGCTTACTCTAGTGTGCATTTTTTGTTTCATTGTGTTTGGAGGCCACACCCAGAATACTCAGGGCTCACTCCTGGCTCTGCACTCAGAACACTCCTGGCAGTGCTCAGGACTAAGGATGACAGGGATCTAACCTGGGTCACTGCATGCAAGGCAAGCATCCTATTCACTGTACTCTCTCTCTACCCCCTGGAGTCTGCAGGAAAAGTAGATCCACATCTCCACATTATCTGGCCTATCAAGGGGAAAAGTCAGTTCTTAGATCTTAAGAATTGTTCCTTTTTTGTTTCTGGTTTGGGGGCCACACCCAGAGTTGCTCAAGAGTTATTTCTGGTTCTGCACTAAGGAGTCAGTCCTGGTAGTGCTCAGAGGACCATATGAGGTGCCGCAAATCAAACTCAGGTCAGCCACGTGCAAGCTAGCACCCTTCCTGCTGTACTATCACTCTGTGCCCCCCCTCCTACCCCAAGAACTGCATTTTTAGGAGAAGTAGTGAAAGGTTGGATTGCAGGATATCCCCTGACTGGCACCCAAAAATGAGGTTACAGCACAAATGGAAAAGGAACTTGACCCATCCCTGTCCCCTCGCTCTCCCCTCTCTCCAGCTTCCAAATCTATGCAAGAGGGCTGGGGCAGTGGTGGGGACGACATGGCCCTCGGGACCGGCCAGTGGGAGGATGAAGATAGCGGCATGTGGAACAGCGCGGCCTCCCAGGAAAGCACCTCCTCCTGCAGCTCCTGGGGGAACGCCCCCAAGAAAGGACTCCAAAAGGTGCGTGTGACACTCCAGTCACGTTTCTCATCCCTGCAGACGCTGACCCTGGGGGTGTTTCCCATCCCACAGATGCTGACCCTGGGGGTATTCTTCATCCTGCAGACACTGACCCTGACCCTGGGGGTGTTTCCCATCCCTCAGACACTTACGCTGGGGGTGTTCTCCATCCCAAAGACGTGACCCTGACCCTGGGGGTGTTTCCCATCCCGCAGATGCTGACCCTGGAGGTGTTCCCCAAACTGTGCTCGGTTCCTGGGGGGTGGGGGAGTGTTTCTGATGAATGGCAAAGGGCCTCACAGCTCTGCCAGTGCTTTGAGAAGTTACCAGGCCCCCGAGGTCCTTTCAGGGGTCCAGGAGGTCACGCTCTTCTTCTGGTGCTCACTCAGGCTTGTCTCCCCACGCCCCATGCCTGCTTTGGCGGCTTGGTGCTGTGGCACAGTGGCACAGTGCGGGCAGAGGCCGACAGCTGAGTTGAACGAGCTACAAGCATGCCCAACCAAACTCGGAGTATTTTGCTTTAGAGGGTGTTTTTCATTACTGGTGGGTTTGGGTTTTTGAGTGTGCTTTGGGGGGGTGTTGTGCTCTGGTGACAGTAAGAGCTCTTCCTGGCACTCTGCTCAGGACTGCGCGGTGCTGGGGGTTGGAATCAGCTTGGTGGGGTACACGGAAGAACCATAACCAGATGGCACAGGAGCAGGAGAGGCGCCGGCAGCACACAGGCAGGGAAGCTGGTATGCACCGGCAGTTTGGCTGCCACTGCTTGTCGGGGAGCCGATGGTGCGGGCAGTTTCCTGCACAGACCTCAGCAGTGAATGAAGCCACATCTCTGACCTGGGGGGGGCTGTGGTGCAGAGAGCCGTACTAAGCGACGGGCGAGGGTGCTGGCCTTCCTGTAGGTGTCCCTTTCCCCTGTTGTCACATCATTAACTGTATTGTCTGCTAAAACAAAATGTAGGAGGGAGCCAGGAGTAAACCCTGAGCACCACCAGGCATGGTTTTGGCCCAGAGACCCCAAAAATGGAGAGGGCCGTTGGCAGCGTTCTGCTCACAGCACGCAGTGCAGAGACTCAATGTGCAGGGCTCTCAATGTGATTTGTGATCGCAGGGGTTTGGGGTGCGGCACTAGGGACCCTGCCCCCGCCCCTCTCCCCTCGGGGCTGCGAGCAGTGAGCCGTTTGCCACGTTCCCAGCTTTCCATCCCGTTGGATCCTGGCGCCTGTCAGAATGAAGTTCATGGCTTCCGGCCGCTCCATGGCTTCTGGCCTCTGTGCTGGCAGAAACTCAAGGGAGCGGAGGGGGCACATGGGGGAGCCTGGCAGGAGGGGTCTTGGTCTGAAGCCCCCCTAATACACACCCCGTCAGCGTTCCCGGGCGCCACACTCTCCAGCCCGTGCGTGACTCGCTCTCTCCCCCCGCCTCTCCCTTCCAGGGCATGAAAGCGCCCGGCAAGCAGGACGAGGCCTGGATCCTGAGCCGGCTCAGCAAACAGCTCACGGACATGGGCTTCCCGGTGACTGCCGCCTGCCTGGCCTGCCCGGGTGGGGGGACAAGGAGGGGACACTTGCAGGAGCAGACGGCTGCCACTGTACCTACCCCACAGATCCCCCGCTTTGACCTGACAGCCCTGGGGGCTCCCCGTGGAGACGCCTGTCTCCACCAGGAAGGCATGAGGGCCTTTTCCTGGCTCTCCGGGCTGAGCTGGGCAGATTGGCTTCCTTCACTGAAGCAAAGGTTGACAGAGGGGACAGGAGAATACGGGGTGTAGACAGTCAAGCTTCGTGTTCAGTAAAACAGCCCTGCTTGGGGCCAGACAGACCGTACAGGGTTCAGATCCCGCCTTGTGTGTGGCTGACATGGGTCGGATCCCCAGCCCCCATAAAGCCCCCCCATCACTGCCAGGAGTGATCCCTGAACAAATAGTAAGTGTTCCCAGGCCTTAGCCCAGAGTGCTCCCCTGAGAACGTCCCCCCACCTCTTCCGGGTCACAGCTTGTGAGGGTCCATCTGTAGCTGGCAGTGTGTGGAACCTTGCTACACCAGCAGCCCACGGCCATGTGTACCGAAACAGTAAGGTCTCTGTGGTACCTCCATTTTATATTTGAGTGTCAGTGTAAGTTCTTTACTCCTAAAACAACTCACAACGTTTTCTAACTGCAAGTATTTTTATTAGTTTAGAAAACATCTCATTCTAAACAAGGGGAAAACTTCCCTGTTTCAAAACCTAACAATAGGGACTAGAGCAATAGTACAGTGGGGAGGGCGTTTGCCTTGCACGCGGCCAGCCCGGGCTCAATTCCCAGCATCCCATATGGTCCCCCGAGGACCTCCAGGAGTAATTCCTGAGTGCAGAGCCAGGAGTAACCCCTGTGGATCGCCAGGTATGACCCAAAAAGCCCCCCAAAAAAGAACCTTCACAATATTACGATAAGCATTTCTCCAAGTGGAGACAGTGACAGAACTCCTGTTTGGGGGGTTTGTTTGCTCATTGGTCCTTGGACCATATGCAGCAGTGTTCTCCGGCCACCCCAGCTCCGTGCTGGGAATGGAACCCAGGCCCCCTCCCTGCAAAGCCTGCGCCCCACCTGACCCGGCAGCCATAGGACCCCCACATGTTTCCTGTTGCTCCCCCGATGCTAACAAGGATTCCTCCCCCTAGAGAGAGCCAGCTGAAGAGGCCTTGAAGAGCAATGGCATGAATCTGGATCAGGCCATGAGTGAGTCATGGGACATGTTTCCGGGGGGTCTGGTCACACAGGGTGGGGGGGCTGCCTGCTGCAGGGATGAGGAGCAGGTGAACAGGCCACGCTGCACGCCTTGGCCACCTGGTCGCTGGGGACACATGCCAGCACCACGTGGACGTGGGTTTGCTTTGGTCACCTTTCCCGGCACTTCAGCCAGTCAGTGCGGGACTCCCATCTCGTCGGGGGCAGGGACAGCCCTGCGGAAAAGACACTGGGACCGCATGGTGCGGCTCACTCCCTGAGCTGGGACCGGCTGCTTCTGTTGTTTCTTTGGGGGCTTGGGGTCACACCTGCCAGTGCTCTCCTGGCTCTGCTCTCAGGACTCACTCCTAGTGGTTCTTGGGGTGACGGGGAGCCCATATGGGATGCCGTGGATTGAACCCAGGTGAGCTGCATGCAAGGCAAACGCCCTCCCTACTCTGCTCTCTCCGGCTCCCTGGGGCTTATTCTGGCCAGATGTGAGGCTTCCTGCCAAGGAGCCCGAGGCCTTGCTGGAGGTGCTTTAAAGAACAACATCCCGCCAGGAGTAAGCCCTGGGCATCGCTGGCCCAGAAACGAAACAAAAGAAAAACTGACCATAAGATGGGACGGACTGGAGAGATTGCAGAGTGAGCAGGGCACTTGCTTGCACAAGGTGTGCACAAGGTGAAGTGTATTCCCAGCCTGCCGTCAGATCCCCTGAGCCCCGGGCCAGAAGTGATCTCTGGAGACAGCCAGGTGTGGCCCCAAAACAGAAGAGTAAGAGCCAGGCTTGGTGTGTGCGCCCCACGTCCGGCTGTCCCAGGCTCATGTCCTGTGAAATCTGGATCACCGCCTGGCAAATGGCACTCGCTCTGTGTACGTGCATGTGCACACGTGTGTGCGTGTTTCTGTGTTTGCGCTAGCTCGCTGGTTATACCACCTTCCCATGAACCCTGAGATCACACTGAGAGTCGCTGAGTGTGAAGACAGTCAAGGCCAGGGCGGCCTCTTGCACGTCCAGGACTCTGCCCTCTGGTAGAAGCGCTGTGCTGCTTTGCCGGCTCTGAGCCCTGGACAGCACCCGGGCTCATGGTGCCTGCTTGTCAGACAAGTTTCCTCTGCAAAGCACCTCCCAGCCTCCCGCCACCAGCGCTGCCGAGCACTCAGCAGCCTGGGCATGGGGGCATCTCACGGGGGCACCAAATGCCAGGATAGGCCACAGGAGGCTTTTCATGCTCAGCTCGGGAGGTGTCTCCCGAGGCTGTCGGCCACAGGATTGCGTGGGGTTCCCAGACACACAAGGACCAACGCGGCTGTGAGCCACCCACGCGCAGACATGCAGCCGCCAGTGGCAGCTGTCCGGGCTGAGAATGGCAGGACGCGGGCGAGCCCAGCTCACCTGACGGCGGCCAAATGGAGAGTTAAGGGTGTGAAGCAGGACGTCGGGAAAAGGGTCCCTGAGGGGTCAGGGAGGCCCGGGAAGCTGACCCGGGCCCCCACGCCGCGCACCTGCCCTCAGCGGGTCCTGTTTACTCTGCTCCAGGTGCTCTGCTGGAAAAGAAGGTGGACATGGACAAGCGTGGCCTGGGAGTGACCGACTACAATGGGATGGTCACCAAACCTCTCGGCTGCCGCCCCCCAATCTCCAAAGAGTCTCCCGTGGACCGCCCCACCTTTCTTGACAAGGTAGGCGTCGCGGGCGGGTCGCTGGTTCTCGCCAGAGGCCGCAGCCATCCCACGTGCGTCCTCCATGCTGGCCAGCTTAGAGCCTTGTGGCTCTGTCGCCCCGCTTTCCTCCTCTGGTTGGGGAGCTCCTGAACCAGGCATGGCAGGGGCTCAAGGCGCCTTCGGCTCTGCTGTCTTCCTGGCTGGGGGTGACTGGGACTGTCAGGCTAACTGATATCTGTTAAGTCATTTCTTTTGGGGGGGGGGAGTCACACCCGACAATGCTCAGGGGTTACTCCTGGCTTTGCACTCAAGGATTACATCTGGTGGTGCTCAGGGGACCATATGGGATGCTGAGAATAGAACCTGGGTCAGCCGCGTGCAAGGCAAACACCCTGCCTGCTGTGCTATCGCTCCAGCCCATCATTTCTTGAGTGCAAACAGCATCTTCATCCTGTTTCCCTTTTCCCCTTTCCTCTCTTCCCTTTGCCCCTGTCCTCTATTCCCATTCCTCACCGTTTTCGGTCTTTTGGTTCCTTATTCAGCTATCCCCTCTACTTCCCCTGCCTGCTGGCAACCCCCGCGCAGCTCACCCTTGCTTTCTCCCGTCAGGACGGCGGCCTAGTGGAAGAGCCCGCGACTTCACCGTTTTTGCCTTCGCCAAGCCTGAAGCTCCCCCTTTCAAACAGTGCACTCCCTAATCAGGCCCTGGGTGGGGTTGCCTCAGGGCTGGGCATGCAAAACTTGAATTCTTCTCGACAGGTAAGGTTTCAGGGGAGTGCGGCCTGTGTCCCCCGTGCCCATCACGGAGCAGTTGGGACAGGAGCTGGCCTCCGGTGGATGAGTCTGGGTTCCTAAGGGCAGCTGGAGAGGGGCTGGGCCGGGACCCTCGGGGTCTCCCCACCATCCAGTCGAACTCAGTTGTTCAGAGGAGAAGCCCCAGAATGTCAGGCGAGAGCCCATCTGAGGCACTGCCCCGAGCCCTCTGGTTCCTGCACCTCAGGGGCAGCGTCTCGTCCTCAGGCCCCAGCTTCAAGCTGTGCAGCCTGGCCCAGAGCACCCCGCAGTGCCCCCGAGCACTGCTCGAGAGGTCCCAACGAGTATTATTTTCATTTCAAGCCAAAGCCAAGAAGCGTCTGTGAGCTCAACAGCCCTGCCAGGCCTTTCCTCTCGGAACATGCTCTGCAGAGGAAAGAGGGCCCGAGGGGTTGGGTACTGGGCCCTGCTTTTCCCCCTGGTCTCGGGGGAGGCATCTCTCCATGGATGCTGATTTTGGGGGTGCCCCTGCCCCAGCGGCATCCCAGCTAGCTCTCTGGCACCTCACACTGCCACCCCTGAGAGACGGAGAGGCTCGGGGCCCGCTGGAGGCCGCTCCAGGAAGCCAGGGCCTGTCAGAGCTCATCGAGACTCTGCATTCTTGGCAGCACTCGACTGGCTGCTTGGGTTTGCCACGCCCCTCGGTCCCCGCTTGCTGGAACTTCCTGGGGTTCCTGCCGAGAATTGCCGTTCCCTCAGGCCTGCGCCTTGCTCCTCTTAGAGGCCTCGCGGAAATGGGCTTGGAGCCAACTAGCCTGCCCGTTACATTTGTGCAGACGCTGGCACCATTATTCTGACCGTGATGGCCAGATTGTGTCTGGCGCCGGTGTGTGGCTCTGGTGGTAGCACGCACCTGGTACGTGGGAGGCCCTGGGTTTGAATTCCAGGACTCACCGGGGGTGGCCCTGTCCCCTGAGCTCTATTCAGGTCCCTCCCCACCCCGACCAGAGTGAGCGTCATATACAGACAGTGCAGTGCCAGCAGGGGTGAAGGGACAGGCTCGGTAGAGCCGGTGCCCATTCCTCGCACCCCGTGCCCACCATCTGTCCATGCAGGGGTGGAGAGGCAGGCTCAGGAGAGTGGGCGCCCCCGTGCAGGGGTGGAGGGGCGGGCTCAGGAGAGCGGGCGCCCCCGTTCAGGGTGGAGGGGTGCACCTTCCCTGCGCACTCTGCAGCCAGCACTCCGTCCCGCAGCTCCCGAGTGGCAATCTGGGCGTGTTTGGCAGCAGCGGAGCGCCAGCAGCCAGGACCATGCAGCAGCCTCCGCAGCCCCCCGCGCCGCCTCTGAACTCCTCCCAGCCCAGCCTCCGCGCTCAAGTGCCTCCGTTTCTAACCCCTCAGGTCAGCCCTGGGTTCCCCTTCCACAGAGGGCCACCGCCTAGAGGGGACAACCCGCTCCAGGAACAGTCTGTGGTGGTGCCCGGGGGCAAGCTCAAAGGACACCGCAACTCACACCTTATGGTGGTCTCGGTCCTGGTCTTGGAATTGTTCCACCAGATCCCGGGAGAGACTTGGCGCTGGTGCATGCCCTGGCCTCCGAGCTGCTGACGCCAGTCCCCCTGTGGCAAACAGTTCCAGGAGCAGCCATGGATCCTTGAGCTCTTCTTGAGTGACCCCCGAAACATTTGTCACAGCTCACTTTTGCTGTAGAGATGGGGGGGTGGGCATTGCCCAGCAGAGTAAGGACCTTCTCTATACCACATTGTGGGCGACCGAGCCCAGACTCCCAAACGGGGAGAAGCCCCCGGGTCCCAACCCCTTCCAGATACTTGGTGTTTCGTATGTGCTGCCAGGATTGAACCAGGGGCCTCACACATGCAAGACAAGATCTGCTGCTGCCCTCTGTCCCAGATTGGGCTTAGGACAGAGATCAGGATGTTGTTTTTGTGCCTCTAAAGCATGTCAGTTTGTTTATGTTGATGTTTGAACAGCCCATGATTGTAGACTCTTGTCCGAGGTTTTTAAATTAGTGTTTCAGTTCTTACCCTTGTGTAGAAATACTGATACTCAGGGCCGGAGTGATAGTGCAGCTGGGAAGACTTTTGCCTTGCATGCGGCCTACCTGAGTTTATCCCCAGCATCCCATAGGGTCACCTAAGCACCTCCAGGAGGAATCCTGAGTACAGAGCCAGAAATAAGCCCTAAGCATTGCCAGGTGTGCCCCCCACCCAAAAAAAAGAATCCCCAGCACCATATATGGTCCCTGAATACCTCCATGTGTGGCAAAAAAAAAAAAAAGATAAAGCAAACTATCTTGGGACTGTAGCAGTAGTACAGTCGGAGGGTGCTGGCCTTGCACACGGCCAACCCAAGTTTGATCCCTGGCACCCCATATCGTCCCCCAGACCTGTTGGGAGTGACCCCTGAGCATAGAGCCAGCAGTAAGCCCTGAGCACTGCCAGGTGTGGCCCAGGACCCACAATGAATAAAACTATGTTGGATAAGCACTACGAGAAGCATAGACAGAATATTCTGGAAGAGTACCCAGACTGAAAGCCCTGGCAGGGAAGGTCTGAATTTGCCCAGAGCTGCAGCTGTGCTTGCTCCAACAGCCGTGGCTGTTCCCACCAGCTTGGAAACTAGACTTGGGGTTATTGCGGCCCCGGAATTGGGTCCGGGATGCCCCCTGCAGCTGGGAGGCCCGAAGCAGGGATAAGGCCAGAGTGGGGGACCTGCCCCCTGGGCCCTACGGGGCCCTCTTACTCACTCACCAGGAGCTTAGAAAAGTGGCCATTTGTCGCCATGATCCGGGAGGAAACCAGTTTTGCGTCTTCCTTTCCCCTCCCTCCCTCATGCTCAGAGGTCTGGGAGCGTGCAGTGATTCTGGACCCCATGAGGCTGTGTATGCCGTTTAATCTTCCCAAGAGACCCTGACGGTTCCCTTTGTGTCCGACAGGTTCAAGCACAGCTTTTGCAGTTTGCAGCAAAAAACATTGGTCTGAACCCTGCACTATTAACCTCGCCAATTAACCCTCAGCATATGACGATGTTGAACCAGCTCTATCAGCTGCAGCTGGTGAGTCACGCGCCCTCGCTCTCGCCCCAGCAGCCCCGGAACGCGCAGCTGGGCACTCGGCTCAGGGTGGTCCCCGCCACCAGCCGTGGCCTCTTTCCAGGAGCTCCGGGGTCAGTCCCCAGCACCGTGTGGTCCTTCAGGCATCTCTGGGAGCAGCCCCAGAGCACTGAGTCAGGATAGCCCCTGAACGCCACTGGATGTGCGTGCCTCCAGAACTTCAGACATTTTATTGTTTTGTTTTGTTGGGGGTTGGTTTTGATTCATCACCAGCATTTCTAAGATGGATGAAGACCTAGGTCTGGGACTTGTGCATGGTCTTATTAGAGTGGATGTTTAGCCTGAGCTTATTCTTACAAAGTCACGGTAACAGGGATGTTTGCGGACGAAGACAGTTTCAGCGGAAAGAATTGGGAGGAATCGGGAGGGGTTCAGGGGTGCCACACCCAGCAATCTCAGGGTTTCTCCTGGCGTGTTTGGGGGACATAGGGGGACACCGGGGATCACTGGGCTTTTCACTTGAGCTCTCCTTGCATTCCTCATCTGGCTTCCGAGCTGTTGCCCAGGGTGATTTTCAGAATCCCCTGAAGGGCTCCACATGAGAGAGAGAGAGAGAGAGAGAGAGAGAGAGAGAGAGAAGTTTGTTAACTTTCATTCAGCGTTCAAACTTCTCTCTCTGGGGGTCGGAGCAATAAGACAGCGAGTAGGGCATCCACCTTGCACGCAGCCAACCTGGGTTCAATCCCCAGCATCCCATATGGTCCCCCAGCACCACCAGGAGTAATTCCTGAGTGCAGAGCCAGGACTAAGCCCTGAGCATCACCAAGTGTGACCTAAAAACAAACAAAACCCCAAAACTTCTCTCTGAATTTCTAGAGCAGCATAATGTAATTAGTTTTTAATATTTGGGGGAGGGGGCAGAGAGATAGTATAATGAGTAGGGTGAGGAGTGATCCCTGAGCATTGCCAGGTATGGCCCTCCCCCTAAAAATAATAATTTTGATGTTCTTTTAATTTAACAAGTCTTAAAATTTTCAAGATTCTTACTCCCTTTCCATAAAAGAGCCTGTCCCGGTACCACGTGGGACTTCCTGTCGCAACCCCTTCTACCTGAGAAACTTTCCATGCCCCTGGGGTTGTGAGTATATGAAGTAGGTGTTCAGTCCAACATTTGCTGACAGCGAACGTTAATTTTTGAGTGGTTTTACATGACCAGCCCTCACATTCACTCCGGTGGCTCCCTGTGGGGGTCCCAGTCCAGTTTCAGACACTAGGCTTTAAAGCGCCAGTTACGGTTGTGTTCATCTTAGAGTCACACCCGGTGGTGTTTCAGGGATGGGGGATTTTTTTCGTTTGTTCGTGACTCTCAGGGATCACTCCTGGCAGGCCTCAGGGGACCCTGTGGGTGTCAGTGATCAAAGCCATTGGTTGGTCACTTGCAAGGCACGCACCCTGTCCGCTATACCCCCTCCCCTAGAAACTTCTTTTATCTGTACCTTTTATTGCCCCGTAAAGACTGAGAAAACAATGAATGATGTTTGCTCTGTTTTTGAAACAGACTATTTGTTCTTACTCAGAAATATTGGTAAAATCAAGTTTTGTTGCTAAGGTTTCAGGGCTAGTAAGGATTCACTTAAGTATTTCATTTCTCCATAATTTAAAGATTCGTGAAGTTTTTCTTTATTTGGATTCTATTTTAGCAAATTCTCTTGCCAAAACTATTTCCCCAAATTAAAATTTTCATAACCTTGGTTTTAGGGTTTTTGTTTTGTTTTGGGGCCACAGTCGGCAGTGCTCAGGGATTACTCCTGACTTTTCTCTCAGGAATTACTCTTGGCAGTGCTCAGGGGACCGAATGGGATGCCGGGGTAAACCCGAGTCAAACCCTCGTGCACGGCAAGTGTCTTACCGCTGTACTGTGTCTCCGGCCTCAGGTTTGGTTTCCTCCCAGCGGTGTGCAGGGCTTCCTGCTCACTCTGGGCAGGGACCCTGGAGTATGTGGGATCCAGCCCGGGTCAGCTGCATGCAAGGATTCCCACTGTACAAGGAACATTTTTTTTGTTTTATTTATTGAATCACTGTGGGAAAGGTTACAAAGCTTTCAGGTTTATGTCTCAGTCATGCAAATATCAAACACATTTCCCTTTACCAATACTTATTTTTTACCATGAAGAACCCCAATAAAAGCCCACCCCCCACCCCTCCCCGTCCCTGTGAGGCAGATGAATTCTAGTTAACACTCTATCTGCTTTGGTTAGATTCATTGTTTCAATAAAAGATTCACCACTATTATTTAGAGTTTACCCCCCCCAAAATCAGACATGCTGAAAAAGCATTGTGAAGTGATTTGCTTTCTACAGCTGGGTTCAAGAATTAAATGTTGGTTTTGGATTTCTGCTATTTTACCTATTGACCCTGGAAGTATTTCTACTGAAAGTCAGATAGTTAAGAAATTGGTTTCTGTGTTCTGGAGTCGTGGCCGTGCTGGAGAGCCGCTCGCGGGGGGCAACTGGTGGCCTCGGTAGGGCGTGAAGGGCGGAGCGAAACGCCCCCCTTCCCATGAGGTTTTAGTCGCCCCCACACTCCCGGCTCATACCTGCTGTCCACAAGGCTCCCATGTGGCCGCCATCTTTCTTTCCAGAGAGGAGAGGGTGAATGGGGCAACACCCTTTCCCCTCCGGCAGACTTGATGGCCTGGATCAATGCATAGTCCGTTCACTTTTCTGCTCCAAGCTGCTGGGTTCTGCATTAAGTCCTTGTGCTTCTGGGGCCGTGGCTGTGCTGGAGAGCCGCTCGCGGGGGGGCGACTGGTGACCTCGGTAGGGCGTGAAGGACGGACCGGAACGCCCCCCGACCCATGAGGTTTTAGTCGCCCCCACTCCCCCGGCTCATACCTGCTGTCCACCAGGCTCCCATGTGTCCGCCATCTTTCTTTCCAGAGGGAGAAGGGCGGAAGGGAGCAACACCCTTTCCCCTCTGGGCAGAAATGATTGCCTGGATTAACGCATAGTCCTTTTACTTTTCTGCTCCAAGCTGCTGGGTTCTGCATTAGGTCCTTGTGCTTCTGGGGCTGTGGCCGTGCTGGAGAGCCGCTCGTGGGGGCAACTGGTGGCCTCGGTAGGGCGTGAAGGGCGGAGCGAAACGCCCCCCTTCCCATGAGGTTTTAGTCGCCCCCACACTCCCGGCTCATACCTGCTGTCCACAAGGCTCCCATGTGGCCGCCATCTTTCTTTCCAGAGAGGAGAGGGCGAATGGGGCAACACCCTTTCCCCTCCGGCAGACTTGATGGCCTGGATCAATGCATAGTCCGTTCACTTTTCTGCTCCAAGCTGCTGGGTTCTGCATTAAGTCCTTGTGCTTCTGGGGCCATGGCTGTGCTGGAGAGCCGCTCGCGGGGGGCGACCGGTGACCTCGGTAGGGCGTGAAGGACGGACTGGAACGCCCCCCGACCCATGAGGTTTTAGTCGCCCCCACTCCCCCGGCTCATACCTGCTGTCCACCAGGCTCCCATGTGGCCGCCATCTTTCTTTCCAGAGGGAGGAGGGCGGAAGGGAGCAACACCCTTTCCCCTCTGGGCAGAAATGATTGCCTGGATTAACGCATAGTCACAAGGAACATTTTTAACCTGTCCAGTGGGCAAAGTTCCTGCATCCCTGTGCAGAAAACCCCATGGTCATTTTAGCCAGTTCTGCGGGGGGCGGAGGGGAGGTACCACTCTGCGCCCCATGACCAAGATCATCACAGGCCCCTGCTTCCCCAGGGGTGTTCATTCAGGCACTTGCCTTGTGTGCTGCCACCCCCAGTTTGAATCCCCAGAACTGCCTGTGGTGGCCCTAGCACCACCAGGGGACCCTCCTGAGCACAACCTGGAGTGGCCCAGAGCACCTTCAGTGTGGCCAGAAAACCGAACCAAACTTGAGCCCCCCCGCCGCCCCCCCCCCCCCCCCCCCCCCCGGTCTGGACGTGTGACTCACTCCAGCCCAGCAGCCGCCTCCCACGTGACCTCACTCCCAGAAGCCAGACCCAGGCACTGAGGTTCCAGTGAGACATTTCTCCTTTCGAGTACTTCTTGTTCACGGTAAACGTGACAGAGGAACAGGAAGCCTCGAGGCAGGGCTGGCCCTCTTCTCCCAGCTGTTCCGAAGGGGAGCCGGTGCCTTCTCCGATGCTCCTGTCCCTCCGTCCACAGGCGTACCAACGTTTACAAATCCAGCAGCAGATGCTACAGGCCCAGCGGAATGTTTCCGGACCCATGAGACAGCAGGAGCAGCAAGTAGGTCTCCCCGGGGGCTCGCAGCGGTGTCCCGGTCTGGCGGCCGGGGTTCCCGGCTGCGGGAGGGCCTGGCCCCGTCGTGGCTGCAGCAGCCGTGTCCTCCCCCAGGTCGCGCGCACAATCACTAACCTGCAGCAGCAGATCCAGCAGCACCAGCGCCAGCTGGCCCAGGCCCTGCTCGTGAAGCCGCCGCCCCCGCCGCACCTGTCTCTGCACCCCTCTGCAGGCAAGCCGGCCACCGACGGCTTCCCCCCACACCCCTCGGCCCCCGGCCTCCCGGACCTGCAGACCAAAGAGCAGCCGTCTCCGCCCAACACCTTCGCTCCTTACCCGCTAGGTGAGTCGCTCCCGCTCAGGTGGCCCCTGCCCTCTGTTGCTGCCGCAGACCGGGCCGGAGCAGCCTGGGGACAGGAAAACCCCAAGTCACCGGGAGGGTGTGTTCACCCTGAGTGCAGGAAGCCACCGTGAACTGACGGGACAGGTGCAGGCAGCACTTGGGGCTCTTGGTTCATCAGCTGCTCACCCGAAGGGCAGGGCAAGGCCAAGGCCCGGTGAGTGGGGGGAATCCGGCCCGAAGCCCCAGCAACACAGGCTCCGTGTTGAGCCCCAGGCCGGATCCCCTGGGCCAGCTGAAGGAAAGCACCGTGGGCGCAGTCTATGGTTTTTGTTTTGTTTTGTTTTGGGTCATACCCATCGATGCTCAGAGATCACTCCTGGCTCTGCACTCGGGAATTACTCCTGGCGGTCCTTGGGGGACCACATGGGAAGCCGGGAATCGAACCTGGGTCGGCCAGTGCAAGGCCAACGCCCTACCCACTGTGCTATCACTCTGGCCCTGTGGGCACAGTCTATGGAAGAACATTGCATCAGTGCAAGAGCGCGGTGGGAAGGCGTTGGCCTTGCACGCAGCCAGCTGGGGTTAGATCCCCAGCATCCCGTAGGGTCCCCTAGCCACTGCCCACCAGAAGTCACCCCTGAGCTTCGCCAGGTGTGGCCCAATGGACAAAAACAAAGTGAGGAGAGGATCTGAGCCCAGCGTCGCTCACTGCTCGTCCTGTCCCACAGAGCTGCCCGCCCCCCGCAGCCAGAGCTCAGAGTCAGCGCTTGTCAGACCCCTCCGGGATCAGCGAGGGGCACACAGCAGCACCCCAGCTCGCCAACGGGCCAGGGCACCAAGACTGGTCTGATGTTTGCAGTAGGTCCTGGCGGGAGCCCCGTCCTTGAGCTGACCCGGGTGCAGGGCAAGCCGCCCTCAGAAATGGGCCGCGGGACCTGGCCAGTGCAGCACGCGAGGCAGTTGCTGTGTGTGCGGCCAGCCCGGGCCCATCCCTGGCATGGGACCATTCTGGGCATGACCCCTGAGAAAGCCGGCCTCACATCCCCCAACAGAGGGGAGGGGCATTGGGCAGTTCCCTCCAGAGAACATGGGGTGGGTGCTCCCGCCCCCACACACAGCTCCCCGCCTGGCCAGCTGTGTGTGTTCTGCCCTCCCCCAGGGGAGACAGCCCTCCCCAACCCATGCCGTGGCTCTGTGGAACTCTGGGACAGGGTTTGGTCCGTAAGATTCTTTGGTTTGGTGCTTTGGGCCACACCCTGCAGTTCTCAGGACTCCTGGCTCTGTGCTCAAGGATCACTCCTGGCGGGCTCAGGGTTCCAGGGATCAGGCTCTTGCCAGCTGCATGTAAGGCAAGCGCCCCACTGGCTGTACTGTCGTGATCTGCTCAGTTTCTTTCCTGAGGTTGGGAGGGATTTCTCCTGTTGGGCCGTTTTTCTGTGGCTCGGAGGAACTTCAGGACCATGTGAGCTCTGAGATTGGAGTCACTGGTCTCCCTGGCTCCCTGGCCCTTTGTCCCAGACCTGCCGCATCTCAGGAGCTTCCAAACTTGCAGAACACTCTGGTGTTCGGGGCGGCACAGGAAGTTCCCCTGGATCCTGGCCGTGGACCCTGGGACCTCAGTAGCCTGAGCCGTCTCTCTCCACAGCTGGACTCAACCCAAACGTGAATGTCAGCAGCATGGACATGAGCGGGGGGCTGTCGGTGAAGGACCCGCCTCAGTCCCAGTCGCGCCTCCCTCAGTGGACACACCCCAGTCCAATGGATAACCTAACCGGTGCTGCACCTCTCGACCAGAACCCCAGCAAGCATGGTACGTCCTGCCCGCGGCCGAGTGCTGGCCCCGCGTAGGGCCCTGGGCTTGGTTCCTGGCGCTTCGTGACCTCCCGACGCCAAAGTGGAACCGAAAGATCTCAGGATGGGGGGCCTGAGACCCCAGCTGTGGAGGGCGAACTTCAGGAGCCTGGCTGCCCGGGCCTGTCCCCAGCACTGCATGGCCCCCGAGAATGGCCCGCTGTTGCGCCGTGAGGTGGGGGTGGGGGGGTTGTCCTGGAAAGAGATTGTCTTTGATAGCGTGACGGTCACGCAGAAAGGAAGGGAGCGATGCTGGTGGCCACGGTCATCACACTGTTGGGCGTGGCAGTCGCAGTTAGTTTTGCTTCCTCCAGAGCCGACTCCTGGCTCTGCACCTAGGGATTCTTTCCTGATGGTGCCCAGGAGACCACTTGGGTTGCTGCAGATTGAACCCAGGTCGGCCACTTGGAAGGCAAACGCCCTGCCCTGCCTGCTGGTAGACTCAACGATCTCGCCAGCCCTGAAGCATCGATTTCTGTCGTGAACTTCCCGATACTCTAAACCAACAACAGCAGTTTATTGATTTATTTCGGTTGAATTCAGAAAAAAACTCCATTAAAGGAAAGGGAAAGGAGGGACCAGAGTTCTAGAACAGAGGGTAGGATGTTTGTCTCTCTTACACCTGGCCGATCCAGGTTCGATCCCTGGCACCCCATGTGGTCCCCCAAGCACCCCAAGTGATTCCTGAGTGCAGAGCCAGGAGTAAGCCCTGAGCATCACTGGGTGTGGGCCACAAATAAAAAGGAAGGGAAAGAAGGCAGGGAAGCGCCGAGTTTATGGGAGGAGTCTCCTGAAGAGATATTACCAGCAGACAGTGTCATATTGGAGGAACTATGAAGCGTTTCCTGGAACGGAGGGTCCCAGCAGGAAAATGCTGAGTGGTCACTTGTACAGGAAAAGCATTCCAGCAGGGAGGCGCTAAGGGGCTGCTGGTCGTTCGGTCCCATCTGTCTGCGTCAGGGCCTCTGGACCCACGGGCAGGGCCTGAGCCAAACACCTGCACGAGTGACCGAGGCAGCCAAGCCGGTTGGTGACTGGGCAGCTCAGGACCGAAAGGGGGTGTCAGAGATCCTAGTCTCCAAAGCTCGACAGTCCCTTCTCAGAGACTCGCGGGTGCTCCCCGGGCTGGCCGTTCAGTCTCGTGGGGTCCGCTTCCCCCCAGGTGCTATCCCCGGAGGTCTGAGCATCGGGCCTCCATCTAAGTCCTCCATGGAAGACTCCTATAGCCGGTACGACTTAATCCAGAGCAGTGAGTCACCAGCCAGCCCTCCAGGGGCCGTCCCCCACAGCTGGTCCCGTGCCAAATCCGACAGCGACAAGATCTCCAATGGCTCCAGCGTCAGCTGGCCCCCAGGTGAGAGGAGCAGACACGCTTGGCCCTTCCATTGGACCCCACTTCCAGTGGATGATGATGGGGAGTGGGGGGCGGGGGGGTGATGCTGCACCACCGACGTCCCCTCCTGCAGCCGGTGCGTCTGTGCCCGGAAATAGATGGCTCAGGGGAGTCTGCAGCAGAGATGGGCCCCAGCATGTCACTTGCAGGCCCGAGTTTCCGTCAGTCAGGCTGGGGAGAGTGGTGGGTCCGAGCACAGGCCTCTGGGTCCATCCCCGGCACCGCATTCCAGGCCCCAGACTGAAGAAATTTGTAAATTACTGTGAAGTGACGCCACCAGCCTCATGCTCTCTCTGCTGGGGGATCACACCCAGCGGTGCTCAGGGACCACCCTCACCATGCCCTGCAAGCCCCGGAGCAAACCCTGGGGCTCTGCGAGGCAAGCCCGTGTTCCAGCCCCGTGAGCTGACTTCTAGCCCCATGAACTCATTTTAGTTTTCATTTGGAATATTTCAGAATTCCATCCTGGAGTTCCGTGGAAAGGACTTCAGAATATAGATCCCGAGAATGACCCCGACGTCACTCCTGGAAGTGTCCCCACCGGGCCCACCATCAATACCACCATCCAAGATGTCAACCGCTACCTCCTCAAGAGTGGAGGTGAGGCCGGGCGCGGGCGGGCCACCTCCAGGGCCTTCCCTTGTCGTGGGTGTGAGCGGGAGCCGGGAGTCCGGCGGCAGGGGCGAGGGGGTGGCGGGTCAGCAAACTGCTTTCCCTGGACTCGCCCAGGCAGCTTGCTCATAAGCAGTAGCTCATGAAATTGTGTTCTCACCATTACGCTTTGCAGTGAAGAGGGTTCTGCTTGAAACCTCTTTACCCGAGCCCAGAAGTGAAGTGTGCTCGTTCATCTCAGCTTAGCTTTCCTTCCCACCGAACAGTCTGGCAAAAAAATGAAACCAGGGCTGGAGCCATAGTACATGTCCAAACATGGGTTTGACCCCTGACACCACACATGTTTCCCAAAGGCCCACCAGGAGCAGCCTCTGAGTTCAGAGCCAGGAGTGAGCCCTGAGCACATCTGGGTATGACCCCAAAAAAAAAAAATGGGGGGCTGGAGCAATAGCACAGCGGGTAGGGCATTTGCCTTGCACGCGGCCAACCCAGGTTTGATTCCCAGCATCTCATATGGTCCCCTGAGCACCCTTGGAAGTGATTCCTGAGTGCAGAGCCAGGAGTGACCCCTGAGCATCGCTGGGTGTGACCCAAAAAGAAAAAAAATCTTTTTAGTTACAGCCTGAAACCCAGGCAGGGAAGGCAGCTGGGTGGGTGGGGCCGGGGTCACCTTTCCAGCGCCACCTGGTCCCCAGGTATGACACTGAACCCCATGTGGCCCCGAGCACCGCAGAGTTTGGCTTACAGTGCACAGCAGAGACAGAGCAGGGCCCGCACTCTCCCAGGCACAAACGCGGACTGCTGAGGCCGGCACAGCCCAGTCAGGTGGCCAGGGGGGCTGGGACAGAGAGAAGTCAAGCTGACAGTGCCAAGGGAACAGTGCTCGGTGTGCCAGGCCGCCGGGACCAAAACACACCAGGCTGGAGCCCACCTCGTGGGTGGGACACCCGGGGGATTCCCAGCACCGCCCCCGCCCCCCGTGGCCCCAGAGCTCTGGGCTCCCGGCTCTCCTGCCTTGACCCGCGTTTGTGGGTGGATGCCCAAGCCCCGCTTGTCCCCGCAGGCTCGTCCCCGCCGTCGTGTCCGAGCGCCGCGCTGCCTTCCTCCAGTGCCTGGCCGCTCAGCGCCCCCGCCTACGGTCGCCCGTTCAGCAGCCTGGCGCCAGCACCCAGCACTGCAGGTACCGGCGCCACGCCCAGTGCTCTCGCTGCTCGGCTAGGCCCAGAGCCCCGTGCAGTGGCCCCAGGGGAGCGGCACACCCAGCCGAGCCCGGGGGCTCCCGACCTGAGCAGGAGAGAGACCGTGGGAGGCCTTCTCTCCGCCGCCCCGCTTGGTGCCAGCCAGGGCCCTGCCTTCCTGGGAGAAGTGGGGGTTCCCAGAGGATGGGGGAGCACGGCTGGGGCCTGCTTGTCCCAGAGTGGCCCGACGCACTTGGGGCCAGACCACCGAGCCCTCCAGCGTTCCTCTGCCTCTGCCTGAGGCTCCGTCCCGCTCCCCGCAGACTCCCTGAGCAGAAGCCTCGTCTCAGGGTGCTAGTGGGCAGCCCAGGGATGGTGACCGCGTGCCCCTCCCTCTGCCTCTCCAGGGAAACTGTCAGACAGCAAGTCCACGTGGCCCTCCAGCCCCGCCTCCCACACACCAGCCTCGCTGTCGCACGAGCTGTGGAAGGTGCCCAGGAACTCGGCGCCCACGCGGCCTCCCCCCGGGCTGACCAACCCCAAGCCTTCCTCCACCTGGGGAGCCAGCCCCCTCGGCTGGACCAGCTCCTACTCCTCGGGTGCGTGACAGTCCCGGTGCTGCGGGTCCCGAGGCCGCCCCTGCACTCCAGGCTCCCCTCGCCGGGTCCCCTCCTGCCTACCCCACCGTCAGGAGCAGTCCCTGCAGCCTAAGAAACAGACATCTGGAGCGAGAGTGGGCACAGCGGGCAGGGGGGCGGCCTTGTGTGCAGCTGACCCGGGTTCAATTCCCGACCCCCCGTGTGATTCCCCAAGCACAGCCAGTGTAGCATCGCCGCACCCCTCCCCCCGAAGGGGAGAAAAGCTGAGGGCCTGCAAGGGTCTGGCGCTGTCAGCAGGCGCTGATCTGATTCTGGGCCTTCCCGGGACCAGGGGTGCGGCCCAACCCGACTCCCCTCAGTCTAGACAGACGCCCAGAGCCCGGGCTGCAGGGGTCGTGATGACGTGACCCTCTCCCGGCCACCGCAGGTTCCGCCTGGAGCACCGACACCTCAGGCAGAGCAAGCAGCTGGCTCGTTCTCCGCAACCTCACACCCCAGGTACCCGCCGTGGGGGGGGGGGGGGTGGTGCAGGGTTTCGCACACATGTGTGTCTGAGCAGAGGTGAGCTGGGAAGTGGCGAGCAGGCCCGCCCGGTCCTGTGAATTGTGAACTTCCTGCCCTCTAGGGTTTAAAATGCGTCATGTGGGGCTGGAGCAATAGCACAGCAGGTAGGGCGGTTTCCTTGCACGCAGCCAACCCGGGTTCGATTCCCAGCATCCCATATGGTCCCCCGAGCACCGCCAGGAGTCATTCCTGAGTGCAGAGTCAGGAGTAACCCCTGTGCATTGCTGGGTGTGACCCAAAAAGCAAAAAAAATAAATAAAATGCGTCATGCGGCTGTCCCCGTGTCAGATGGGGGACATGACCCCCTGTCAGACACCCAATCACAGGTCACAGGGCCCCAACATGTTTGAATGATGAAGGTGCAACAGCCGGAGACGAAAACAAATAGTTCTGCCTTTGCTGCAGACCCGCTTCCGGCCCGTGGTGCGCTTCCCCAGAGCTGGGCCGTTCCCACCAAAGGCCTGGAAATGGCTCTCGGGGCTGGGAGGCTGGGCAGGGGGTGCAGACCACAGGCGGGCTTCCTGCCCCTGACAGACTGACCCGGGGGCTGCAGGGGTCAGCGTCACGGCTCGGAGCCCCCCTGAAGCCCGCACTCTGCTTCCTCTGCAGATCGACGGCTCCACACTGCGCACGCTGTGCCTGCAGCATGGGCCCCTCATCACATTCCACCTGAACCTGACGCAGGGCAACGCCGTGGTCCGCTACAGCTCCAAGGAGGAGGCCGCCAAGGCCCAGAAGTCCCTGCACATGTATGTGCCCGCCTCGGCCATGCAGATGGCCTAGCGTCCCCACCCGCATCTGCCCGGCGGGGTCTGCCTGTGGCCTCCCTTCCTCCTCAACTGACTCCTGGCTCTGGGCCCAGGGGCCCCTCCTGGGAGGCCTTCGCCCCACACTCTGCCAGGCCCCTCCCCTCTGAGGACAGCCTGGATCGGAGGCTGCTTCCGGGGCCTCATGGTGCTTCAACTGAGCCTCTCTTTCAAGGGCTCCTAAAGCCCAGAGCGGGCACATCCTGGGGCGGTGGGGCCGGGGCCAGCACAGCCGGCAGTGCCCGCGAGAGGGGAGGGCCGCTCTCTGGCAGGGGTTGTGGGACCGCGCCCCTCCACCCTGGGCGTCCCCTCCCGGCAGTCCTGCTCTCCACAGTCAGAGTACTACACTGCTGCACACTGGGCCACCACACGTAGCCGGCACCCGCAGCTCCCATAGCATCCACAGCACCCACAGCATCCACACCGTCCACGGCTCACAGCACCACACCGTGGCCCGGCAGCAGCACAGCTGCTCCGGTGGAGGCTGAGGAGCGAGCGGGCTTCGGTGCTGCCCGGCTGGGGCTGCGCACAGGAGCCCAGCGAGCTGGGCCGGGAGCTCGGAGCTGCTCTGCGCGTGACGAGTTTGTTTTGGGGGTTTGCACGTGACCACTCGGGTCACTCCTGGTGGCGCTTTGGTACCAGACCCTGGTGAAGCACGCAGCCAGCGCCTACCCTGCCTTGTGTCCCCTGCTCCTCTGGATTCAGCTTCAGGCTCTTTGGGGGCTGGAGAGTCAGTGGCGGGGGAGGGGGCAGCCTTGAGCACTGTCCCCACCAGGGGTCACTCCTGAGACCCAGGGCGAGTTTCTGAGCGCCCAGCAGTGTGACCTTGGGCCCTCCCCATTCAGAAAGGGCACCCCTGGCTGGCACCCACTCACTGGGCCGGGGGCGAGGCAGCCAAGGCCACTCCTGTTGCTGCTGGACCTGCTGGGCAGCTGCCTCCAGGGCTCGCTCCTCGTCTCCCGCCTCCCCCACCGAGCCGGAAGCCCAGAACTGTCCTTCCCTGTCCCGCTGCCATGACGCCTCGGTGTGGCCACACGGGGTCTCTCCATGACTCCTGCTGTGCGTCCGCAGCCGCGCGGGGGGCGTGCTATTTGGTTGTTTGCCTCTCTGTGCTTCTGCCCTGCCGTCGTGAGCCGCGCTGCCCTTGATGCGGGCCCCTCCTGCCCACCAGGGCTTCTTCCAGGCTCTGGGCTCGGGGACTGTGGAGCTGGGGAGTCTGACCCAGGTGGGCATGTACAGAGGCCCCAGCCCTCCTGAGGCCCCTCCGTCCTGTTTGCCGTAGTCACTGCCATGGCATCCACCCCGGCACAACGCAGGGTCCCCTCCCACCATCTGCATCCCGGGCCTGTGGTGGCCACCGTGGCGCAGGGCCAAGGGGGTGGCTGAGGCCCCCGGGGTTCCGCTCAGGGGCCTGGAGGCTTCTCGGTTGCGCCTGTGCATGTGGCTGTTGCCGTCCCTAGGCCGTCTTGGGGAAATGGCCCTTCAGATCCTCTGGGGTTTCCGTATTGTAGTTACTGAGTGGTAAGAGTTCCTGACTCCAATTTTTTGTTTGTTTTGGTTCGGACTTGGGGGCCACACCTGGCCTAGGTCACTCCTGACTGCACTCAGGGGTCAGTCCTGGTGGGGCTCAGGGGATCCTGTGTGGAACCCAGGTCGACTGCGAGCAAGGCAAGTGCGCTGCCTGCTGTGCTATCGCTCTGGTCCTAGTTTTTCGTCTTTGTTTTTGTATTTTTTATTTTTGGGCGATGCTCTGTGCTCAGGGATCACTCCTGGCGGGGCTTGAAGGACCATTTAGGATGCCGGGGATCAAACCAGGCTGGGCGTTATGCAAGACAAGCGCCCTACCAGCAGTACTCTCTGGTCCCAGGCTTTATTTTTTGGGCCATACCCTCTGTTGCACAGGGAACCATGGGGGGTGCTGGGGATTGAACCGGGGATGGCTGCAGCAGTGCCAACACCCTCTGCACTGTGCTGTTCCTCCGGCCCAATTTTCATTTGTCTTGTCTGGTTGCTGGGCTCTCCGCCAGAGCGGTCACACCTGTGCCGTTCTCAGGGTCTCAGCTCAGGTTTGTCACTAGGCGGTCTGCTGTGTGCGCCGTCCCCTCTTTGTTGGGAGCGGTCCCTGTGAAAGGCCATCTGGCCGGCTGGATGTGCCCTGCACGAGGCGTTCATGCGATCCCTTCTCTCCTTAACGTGGGCATTGTGCGGTGCGTGGGTCAGGTCACCCGTGCTGTTCAGTGGTCAAGTCTCCTTGCAGGGCTGGAGACGGGGGGGTGGGGGGTGGGCAGCACAAGCGCTTGTCATGCACAAAGCCAACCCGGGTTCCTTCCCCCGCTCCCCTTGAACCCCTGAGTGCAGACAGGAGTTAAGACCTGTGCACAACTGGATGTGCCTCCTCCTTAAATCGCCCCCCTAAAAAGTCAGTTCAGTTGTGGTGTATACATATTTTTTCTTTTGGGGTCACACCCAGCGATGCTCATGGGTCTCCTGGCTCTGCACTCAGCTATTATTTCTGACAGGACTCAGGATTTGGGGTGCCGGGGATCGAACCCAGGTTGGTCACGGTCAAGGCAAACTCCCTCCCCGCTGTGTTGTCCTCTGGCCTCGGGATCATGACGCGTATTTCTTTCTAATGAGCGGCTGGTCTCAGCTGGTGAATTGTGATCTGTCTGTCGTTTCCTTTCCTCGTCTTCATTGGGCTTGCCTGCAGCATGATGCTGGCCTCAGCAGTGCGTCAGGGAGCGTCCCCTCCATGCCCATCTCTGGAGGAGGGTGACATCAGTTCCTCGAGTGTGCCACCCCCACCCCCCGTGCTGGCCGCTTTCCGAGGGCTGATCCAGCCCCCGTGCTGCTGGGGTGGCCATTGCTGCGACCTTAGTAGCTTGTAAATGTCTAGGGCTTCGTCCCTCTGCCGGGCTGTCCAGAGCCAGCCCTAGCCACGGCCGCTGAGGTGTCAGCTGTCCCTCTCTTATCCCCTCCCAACTCCCCGCAAAGGTGCCCCGCGTCCGCGTTCTAGAGAACAGGTGTCTGACCAGTGCCCTGCTCTTCTAGGTGTGTCCTGGGGAACACCACCATCCTGGCGGAGTTCGCTGGTGAGGAAGAAGTGAACCGTTTCCTGGCCCAGGGGCAGGCCCTGCCTCCCACCTCCAGCTGGCAGGCCAGCAGTGGCACCGGCCAGACGCGGCTGGGCACCTCGGGCAGCTCCCACGGCCTGGTACGGAGCGACGCCGGCCACTGGAACGCCCCGTGCCTGGCCGGCAAAGGGAGTAGCGACCTGCTGTGGGGCGGCGTCCCCCAGTACTCGAGCAGCCTGTGGGGGCCTCCCAGCACGGACGATGGCAGAGTGATCGGAAGCCCCACCCCCCTGAATACGCTGCTCCCCGGCGACCTGCTCAGCGGGGAGTCCATGTAGGGCGGCACCCCGATACCTCTGTTCGGAATGAAGGCGAGCTTCCCGACGGCGTGGACTGCGTGATGCCAGGACCTCTCACAGCTTTTCATTTTGTGTTGTCTTATGTTTGTCTGGTGTGTGTCATTTTTGATTTTTTTTTTTTAAGTATAAAAGCTGCTTAGAATAGTTCTATCATGAAGGGCACTTTTCAGATCGTGGGCTGGAAAGGGGGTTCTGTGGGGTCAGGCGGGCGCCGGTGACGGTCATGCACATTTCCAGGGCCCCGCGCCGGGTGCCCCTCGCCGAGGGCGCGCCGAGCCCTGGGTCCCCACAGAGCCGCCCGTGCACATGTCCCTTGTTTCATTACTTCTTCATGTCATTTTTTATCCCAAAAAAAAAAATATTTTTTAAAAGTTAAAGAAAAAGACATATCAAACATGCAAATACTTGAACCCAGCAGGCCAATAATGAAATGTGAACACCTTCCGTCTGCCCACCGGGCGTCGGCGTAGACAGCTCGAGGGCGGCCTGGCGCGGAGCCTGTGTGCGTGTGTGCGCGTGTGTGTGCGTGTGTGCGTGTGCGCGGGCACACGTGGCGTGGGCAGGCGGGACGGGGTTTCCCGTGATGCAGTATATGCTTCTCCGGCGCATCGTTCGGACGTTTGGTCCTCTCGGCGTCTTCCTTTGCACTGAGTGTCCGCCCGCCCTCCAGCCGCTCCGCACTCACCAGGACTCGCGACAGGACCCACGCAGGCTGGGGCTGGCGGAGACCCGTGTCGATGTTTACTCCAGGACCCTGCCCGCGTGGACACTGGGCGGCCGGTCAGGGGCCCCGCCGGTAGCGGCTCCGGGCGCCGCGGGGAGCAGAGGCAGAGGAAAAGCGGCCGCTGGACTGTGGCCATAGATACTGGTGGACACGCATGTCCCGCGGCGGGACGGGAACGAGCACTTGGACTGGTGGTGGCGCTCAGGCCGCGCCGTGGGCGCCCACCTGTTTACAGACCTTTTTTTCTCCTTCAGACTTTAAGATTTAAAAAATGTTTTTTAAAGGAATTAAAATTAAAAAAAAAAGACTTCCGTGGTAAAGAGCCTATTTTCAGAAAGCAGATGCGCTACTCCGGAGCTCTGGACGGGCAGTGTTGTCCCCACCGCCGAGAACTGTGGCCCCGTCGGGCCGGATGCCGCGTCGCTGTTGCACAGGCGACTGCCCCCGGGAGGCCGGTTCCCGAGGGCAGCCCCGACCATTCATGTATTTTTAAACCCGACTCCTAGCACTGAAGATGTTATTTAAAAAAAAAACAACAAAAAAAGAAAAAGAAAAAAAACGAAAAAAGAGGAAAAAAAAAACACACAAAGAAGAAAAATCCCTAATCTCTAATGTGTAGCAGTTACATATTTACCAAATAATGGACTCAAAAGAAATAGATGTTTGAAGAGTGCTTTATATATTAAAAATTGCTTTATGTTTTAAAAAAATGATCAATGTTTTGTTTTGCAAGAAAGAAAGACAATGGAGTAACATACCCTCAAGTATGTTTAAAAAAAAAATATATGAACATTGTGCTCCCTGCCTGCCTGATCAGGAAATTTGTGCATTACATTTTTTTTAATTAGCTTTTTAATGGTTTTATCAAAAGAAAAAAAAAGAAAAAAATATAAAAAGTTTTAAAAAAAGGTCCTGCAAGGTTTTGCAGATCAACAAAAGCTGGTTTTCTAGAGGATCATGAACTATGCACAAACTGGGTTCCAGGCTTCTGTTCCTGAGTGAGTAGTGTACGTAGCTAGACACCCCTCAGAGTCGCATCTCATCACCACCCCCGGGCACCTGTGCCAACGGGCGCCCAGGTGGCAGCTCTCTGCTGCCACTGAGCACCGAGTGGTAGAAAAACTCCTGAGACTTTAAAATTGGGGGTGGAAGAATCTGGTTTTGTTTTTTTGTTGGGTTGGGGAGGGAGTTTTGGGGGGTGGCTTTTTTTTTTTGACCGTTTATTTTGAATTAAAGATGTCTGTAACTCTGAGATTAAAAAAGCAAGTTTGTGGCTCTTAATGTTTCTCCTCATAGAATGTGATTGTTGAAGAACATGCACCGAAAGTTGCTTCCACAAGTACAACGCTTTGTTGAATCTTAATAAATTGCAATTTTTTTCTTGACTGTTCAAATAAATGGGTTGGTTTTTGGATTTTGGGATTTTGTTTGCTTCTTTTTTTAATTTTTCAATGATCTCATTCATTTTTCTCTCCACTGTCTGTGCCCTTCCCCTCCAGGAGATCTGGGCATTTTCCTGCCTGAGTTGTGCAGGGCCCTGGGGGTGCTTTTGGCTATTGGCACACCCATCGGGGCTTGCATCTGGCTGAGTTCAAGGATCACCCGCGGCAGGCGCCAGGGACCTTAGCACTGTAGCACTGTCCTCCCGTTGTTCCATCGATTTGCTGATTTGCTTAAGTGGGCACCAGTAATGTCTCACAACGTTGTTAACTTGTTAACTGTTTTTGGCATATCGAATACCTCACGGGGAGCTTGCCAGGCTTTGCCATGAAGGCGAGATACTCTCAGTAGCTTGCCGGGCTCTCCGAGAGGGGCGAAGGAATTGAACCCAGGTCGACCGCTTGCAAGGCAAATGCCCTCCCCGCTGGACTATGACTCTGGCCCCAGAACATTGAGCTTATGGCATGTCCTCTGGCCACGTGCTTCGAGGGAGCGTGCGCTTCCCACCAGCAGCCCGGGAGCCACGGCATGGGCTGGAGTCCCAACAGGAAAGATGCCAGGGGAATGGGCACACCGAGGGGGGTGGGACAGCCCATCCCCCAGCAGGGCACAGACACTGCTGAGCCCCGGGACTGGCCACAGCACATTGAAGATGCCCCGGAGGGACCAGCACTGCCTCAGTCTTGTCACCACAGATGGAAAGTATATCCCAGAGCCCAGGACCCGGGGCAGGGGCCCCGGTAAGTAGGTGGGTCGGGGCTTAGGCCGCATGCCGCGCCCTTTGCTGGGACCTGGCAGCAGCTGGAGTGGCAGAAGCGAGGCTCTCGTTTGCGTCTTAGGCTGCTGGCCAGCCTGGCACACCCGGCCCATGGCTGCGCCCCACCCTCCCATCAATCCTCCCCGAGGGCACTGGGGAGGATGTGGCCACCAGAGCCGCAGCTTCCATCCAGCAGAGACAGGGTGGCCCAGGAAGCCCAGGAGGGCCTCTTTCAGCAGGGCAGCCTACAGGCAGACCAGGGGCAGTGACTGAAGGGGGACAGGCCCTGGCCACGCCCGTCACTGCACCTCGGTGCCTCATCCCTATGTCAGAAGCTGGTGAACGGGCCCTGTGACAGGGACCAAGGGGGAAACCAGGTCAGGGTGTCTGGACCACTGAGGAGACCAGACTCATCTGGCCAAAAGCAAGGTCAGTCTCAGCCTTTCCCAAGCAGCCACCCTGCGCTGGCCAGTGTCACCGGGGGTCCTACTCAGCCCCTGGTGCCATGTGACCTCTGACCCAGAGGGGGTGCCCAATACAGGAGCAAATCTGGGGCTGATTTTGGGGGTGAAGGACAGGCAGCCCAGCTGCCCACATCCAGCACTGACCCCTTCCCCTGCCAGGACCTACCACAGGTCCTGGCTTTGGATACTGAGCCTTGACCACCTCAGTCCAGCAGCGTCCAGGCCCACAGGCTCCACTGCCAGGCCCTCTGAGAGACCAGCCCCTAGGTGGCACCCGGCCCATCCGACTGCACGGGGAGCCACAAAGACCCCAGGCCAGGCCTGTGGTGGGCACCAGGGACTCTGCAGTCGCTTCCTGTGCCTGGCATGAGAAGAGGCTGCAGACGCCCGTCAGCCAGCTCCCAGGAAACAAGGCCACTTTGCAAAAGAAAAATGTTTAATCAGAATAAATAGTAACTGAGGCGGGGCCACAGCGTGGAGAGGGGAAGGGGTGAGCTCAGCATAGTGGCCCCAGGACCCAGCGGGTGCCCACGAGGAGTGGGGGACCACGCAGCACCAGGCCCGGCTCCACTACCAGGCATCCAGGTCCTCGGCGTGCACAGCCGGTGGCATCTCCGCAGCCTCCGTCCTACCAGCCCTGCAGCACAGCGGGTCACCGCGGGAGATGAGAAGCCTGAAGCCCAAGGGCCCGCACAGACCCCAGAGAGGCAGCTGACGGGGACATGTGCAGGGCACGGGGGAGGGGGAGGGCAGGAGATCTGAGGACAGGCGTGGCGAGACCAGGAGCATGGGCCAGGCTGGACCCCCGCAGGCGGCCCTTCACTTATGTTTCCTCCTTGCCCCAGTTCACTCTCACCCACCCCAGATCCCCGGGGAAACCCGCGCGCTCCCAGGCCGGCCAAGCCTCACCTGCTCCTCTCCTTCTTCTCATAGACAGAATGAATCTTGTTGATCAGGAAGATTTTGTCCTCGCCCTCCTGAAAGGGCCAGAAGGGACCGTCAGAGGCCCAAGTCGCCCGGCCCGGCCCGGCCCCCACGACACGGACATCACAGAGCTAGAAGTGCGGGACCGGATCCTCCGAGCAGGCGAAAGGGTCTCTCAAAGGCAGGAGAGCAAAGAGGCCCAAGCCCCCTGCTTCCGTGACCCTCACTAGTATGGCAGGGACACGGGCACTGGGAGCAGTAATCAGGCCAGACCGTGCCAACACCCCAGCCATGCGCTCAGCAGAGGCCCCCACGGCCCACACTGGCTCTGCTGGGCTGCCCAGGCGGGCAGCTGCCACCTCCCAGCCACAGTGCCCTCACTGGTGACTAGGTGCAGGGCCTCTGATTCTAAATGTCCCCCCATAACAAACACGCTGAGGCCAGGGACAGCTCTTAGGCGGCAGACGCCCCTGCTGGCTGGAGGCCCCAGGTCGGCCAGAACCACACGGCACAGTTGGAATCCTGGCCTGCCACTGGGTCCCCCATCTCCCCCGCCCCCGCCCTGGCACAGAGGCGCCCCTCGCCCCCGGCAAGGCCAACGCCCGGCACTGCTGGACGGAGCCTTGCCAACAGCAGGACTCACATTGCTGATCTGCTCCTTGAGGAGGGCAATGACTGTGCGCTGGCCCCGCACCACCTGGATGTTGAGGTAGATGACGGCCCTGCGGGACAGTGGTGTGAGGGGGGGCCACTGGGCCTGGCGGGGTGGGGGGGCACCGCCTCCCGCACTCACATGAGCAGGGCTGACGCCATGAAGGTGGGAAAGGGGTCCTCGACTAGGTGGCGGTGCACCCAGGGCACCCAGGACACACCGGGGTTCGCCGCCTCCAGGTGACGCACCCAGGTCCGGCACGCCTCGTACATGCTGTCCAGGGTCCGGAAGGGGCCGCAGGTGCTCGAGGGCCTCACCCTGGGGAGAGGAGGCGGGACCGCTCTGCCTGGGAGCCACGCCCCCACGGATCCCCGCCCCCGACCCCGCCCCCTACCCCCAGAGGACACTCACTGCCAGACTGCGAAGCAGAGGAAGAGGGCGGCGCCCAGGAAGGCGGGGAAGCAGAGCAGCGAGACGAACACGGTGCTCATGTGCGAGGCAAGCCAGGGCCTGCGCGGCGCCTGGCAGTTGGCCATAAGGCTGGCCTGGGGACAGAGGTCACACTCGGCCACTGCTGCAGGCGGCTGGAGCAGTGCCCTGGCTTCGAGGGGACACGGAGGCCCAGGGACCCCCCGCCCACGCGTCTCACCTTCTTGACGTAGAAGAGGAACAGCAGCTTGAGGACCTGCAGGGCAGGGAGCAGCGGCGAGAAGAGGACCCCCAGCCTGCGGGTGGGGGTCATCAGACACTGGCCCACCCGCCCCCCACCCCACCCACAGGAGGGAGGCGCTCACCAGATCAGGGTCTGCCCGTAAATGAGTTCCAGAACATTCCGAGCAACGTCGAACTCCGGCTTCCCTCTCTTCTTCAGCTGCTTCTCGTACACGAGTCTGGGTCCAGAAGACGGTCCCTAAGGTGACCCTGGTCTCCACCCCCCGCACTGCCTACTCCTCCACCCCTCCCTGGCTCCATGCAACGCTCCCCACCCAGACGCTCCCCAGGGCAGAGTTTTCCTACGGGCTGAAACCCACGTGGCTGGTTCCCCTTTCCTGCTTCCTCCCTGCCGGGGTGATCATGCACCCAGAAGTCCTTGGAGGCGTGAGGGCCCCCCACGGCCCCCCCTTCCAGCCAGTCCCAACAGGCACAGAGGCTGGCGTGGGAGAGGTCAGCGGCCCCCCGCCCCCCCTCACCTCCACACCAGCTCCCCCAGGAGCGTGTCCAGCAGTGTAAAGATGAAGTCCAGCACCGTCAGCCGGTACAGCTCCTGGCCTACGAAGTCCTCCCAGCACTGCAAGAGGGCACTCTTTTGAGGTTTTTTTTTTTTTTTTTTGGTTTTTGGGTCACACCCCACGATGCTCAGGGGTTACTCCTGGCTCTGCACTCAGGAATCACTCCTGGCGGTACTCGGGGGACCATATGGTATGCTGGGACTCGAACCCCCGATTGGCTACATGCAAGGCAAACGCCCTCCCCGCTGTGCTATCGCACTAGCCCAGCAGCCCTGCAAGAGGGGACGCTCAGTGGACACATGACCCCGCCTGGGCTGGGCCCCGCCCCTCCCACACCCTCACCTGGTCGCTCAGGGTGGCCACTCTGCGGCCCAGCCAGTGGTAGCACAGGACGCCCAGGGTGACCATCTTCAGGAGGAGGTTCCTGGGGGGGGAATGGAGCCTGAGGCGGGGCTTCCGGGTGGGGGGCGCCCCGGGGCCGGCCTGCCACACGCACCTGCAGATGGCCACGTATACCTCCAGCCCTGGGGACTCCCGCTGCTCCAGGGCGGCCAGGCCGCGGAACAGGTAGGGGACCACCAGGTTGATAAGACAGACTATCAGGGGCAGGGCCAGCAGCGCCCCCTCCTGCTCCACCGACACGGGGCTCTGCCAGGGGAGGGGAGTCAGAGGGTTTCTGGGGGGTGGGGCGTCCCGTGGGGGAGGGGCGGCGCCAAGCAGCACCCCTCCCGCAGCGGGGCCCCCCCACCTCCGCGCACGCAGGGCGGAAAGGGGGCCGGGGCGGAGCCCGGGTAGGGCAGGGCACCCACCTTGAGCATGAGCTCAGAGAAGAAGTAAACGGCCACGGCGCAGCCCAGCGCCAGCCCCGCACACAGCAGCCACGCCACGCCCCGCAGCGCGGCCCGCTGCAGCCTCCCGCACACGCCGCGGGGACCCTGGCGCAGCCGCCGCTCAGCCGCCAGCAGCTCCTGCAGGTAGGGCCACGGCCACGGTCACGGTCACGCGCCCTCCCTCTCTCAGCGTCCAGCCCCGCCCATCAGCAGCCCCAGGGGACCTCCCCAGGGGACCTCCCCAGGGCATGGGGAAAGGAAGTGGGGCGGGAAGGAGGCACAGCTCGCGGGGCGCCGACCTTCAGGTGCGTCCGGATGTGGTCCTGCTGCAGGCGGCAGGCCCACTTCTGGGTGACCTTGTGGTCCCAGGTGCAGAAGGCGGTGAGGGCGTGCGCGCCCAGCGTGCTGCCCACACGGTAGCTCTCGCCGAAGGAGCGGGCCATGCTGCAGGGCAGAGCAGGGCTCACACCAACGGCCGGGTGGGCGGCGGCGAGGGGCGCGGGGGCGCGGGGGGTGGGGGGGCGCAGGCCCACCTGTACACGAGCGTGATGCAGGTGAGGAAGAAGGCGGCCCCCGTGGTGAGCAGGTAGGCCAGGGGCATATTGTAGGCCAGGCGTCCGGCCCCCGCTGCGCACGGGCCCAGCGTGGCGTTGCTGTAGTAGCCGTAGTACATGACGGACTGGGTGAAGCGGCCCTGCGCGGAGGACAGCCAGGGGTCAGGGGTCAGTGGTCAGCGCCGCTCCCCGCCCCCACCCCCAGTCCCGCGCCCACGCGCTGCCAGGGCCTCACCCCGCCTGTGAGCAGCTCCAGGCCGGTGAAGGCGGGCGGGGGCCCGGGGGCGCGCGGCGGGCAGGCGGCCTGCACGCCCACCACGAAGGCCAGCAGCGGCAGCAGCAGGAGCGCGTTGAATCGCAGCAGCATCTTGAGGAAGACGAAGTAGCAGAGCGCGCTCGAGCCGAACTGGGCGCCGATGCGCTTCAGCGCGTAGCGCCAGGGCGCCCGCGCCCGCCAGCCAGACGGCAGCGCCAGGGCCAGCTCGTGCGAGGCCTGCGGGGACAGCGGGGCGTTGACGTAGGGGTCCTGGCCCAGGCCCAGAACGCGGGGCGGGCGCGGGGGTGGGCTCGGGAGGGGCCTACCAGGGCACAGGCGTCCAGCAGCCAGCCGCAGCAGGACAGGCCCCGGGGACCCTGCCGGGCCCGCTGCTTCGCCCCGGGGGACAGGCTCTCCTTCCTGCGGCAGAGGCGAGGCAGCGAGGGGGCGGGTCAGGACGGGGATGGGTCCCGGCCCCCCCCTCCCTGCTCGCCCACCCGCCCGCCCGGGCACTGACCGCAGGCGCCGCTTCTCGGCCAGGCTCAGGGGCATGGACCGCAGCATCTGCACGCGCTGGGCCGGCGCCAGGCCCTGCAGCTCCCTGGCCAGCAGGCGACGCTTCTCTGTGGACGGAGGGGGGTATCTGTGGGTCTCCCACCCCCACCCCCGCCCCCCCAGCTGCCTCTCCTCCCCACTCAGCAGGGGAGACCCCCACAGCAGGCAGCACCCCTCCTTCCCTCCCTCACTCACCCTGCTCCTCACGCGCCACGGGGTCCAGCTCCAGGTCGTAGGTGCGGAGGCTGGGCCGGGCCGAGCGCCCCAAGGCACGGAGTCTGGGTCGGCTGGCCCGCAGCCGGACCGTGCGGTTGTAGTACTGCGAGATCACGGCCCCACGGCTGCGGCCTGCGGGTGGGGGGCCCGTCAGCACTCACCCCCAGCCCCAGTGCCCAGGCCCCCAGTTTCTCTCCCTGGGAGCGGGGGAGGGGAGGGGGCTCACCAATGGTCCGGCTGGGCATGCAGGACAGAATGCGGAGCGTGGCCGCGCTGAACTCGGGGCCCACCTCCGGACCCAGGAGGGTTTCCTGGTCCCTACCTGGGAAACAGAGGTCAGTTCAGAGTGGGGCGGCCCCCTACCCGCGACCCTTCAGCCCGAAGCAATCAGGATCCCCACAGCCCGGGATGACATGCTCACCAGATCGGAAAGAAAATACTTTGGAAACGGTTTTTGTTCGGTTTGGGGAGCCACCCCCGCCCCCGTCTGCACACCTGCAGACACCCTCCAGGCCCTCTCGGCACCTACAGCAAACATTTGGGTTTAGGTTTTGGGGCCCTCTTAGCACTCAGGGCTCACTCCTGGCTGTGCTGGGGGCTGACTCCTGGCGCTGGGCTCAGGGCTGACTCCTGGCTCTGTGCTCAGGGCTCACTCACGACTCTGTGTTCAGGGCTCACTCCTGGCTCTGCTCAGGGCTGACTCCCAGCTCTGAGCTCAGGGCAGACTCCCAGTTCTGTGCTTAGGGCTGACTCCCAGCTCTGTGTTCAGGGCTGACTCCTAGCAGGGCTGGAGAGCAAATCTGGGTTGCCACCTGCTGGAGAAGCATCTGAACCCCTGCACCACGTCTCAGCCCCTTAAATTAATTTCTAAGATTGCCCACGGCCCGCAGGGGGCTGAGCCCCATTTCAGCTGCGCAGGTGTGGAGGGGCTCAGACGGGGGCCCCCAACACCCCTCACCCGAGGCCCTCCTGGGCTGCAGCTCCAGGTCCTCCTCTGTCCCCCACTGGCCGTGCTCCTGAAGGAGCTGCCGGAAGGAGTCGTGCACCTCATCCTCATCGTCCGGGCTGAGCTCCAAGCTGGGGACAGTGGGCACAGAAGGGGGCAGAGGTGGGCAAAGGAGGCACACAGGCCCCGCCCCGTCCCTCCCACAGCCCCGCCCCCACAGCCCCCAGACCCCGCCCCCACAGCCCCCTTCAGAAGGGGGGAGCGCCACGCCCACAGCTCTCACCCCTGATCCCCTGGGGTCGCGGGGACATCCAGGATAAACTGCTGGGCCATGTCCACTGTCCTAGGGCAGCTCCGGGCTGGGGCCCATCTGCAGACACAGGACCTGTGACGGGGTCTGACCAGGCCGCCCCTCCCCCGCACACACAGGTGGCCGGGCGGCGGGAGGAGGAGGAGGCGGCGAGGAAGGAAGGGTGGGGGCTGGGCGCGCCGCCTTCCTGCTGTCCCTAGCCGGGACGCGGAGGCGGGAGCGGGTCGGCCCTCGGGGTTCCAGGCCGCTGCCCAGCGGCGAGAAAGGTCCAGGCGAGCCCCTCCCCATGCCCGCAAGTGACCTGGGGGCGGCGCTGCCAGGAAATGCCCCTGCCCGGCCCCCCGGAGCCCGTGAACCTTCCCCCCACGCAGTCCCGGTTCCGTCCCACGTTCCCAAGCCCCGAGGGGGCGGGACCGAGCCGCCGGACAAGTGGCCTTTGTCTCGCTGCGCCGGGGACCCTGTCTGGGGCGCACCCTCGGGGGAGAGGGGCGGGGTGAAATCCCCCACCAGCCGCCTCCAGGACGTCAGATCTGCTCCGGGGCTCTCCTGGGGGCTCAGACCCCCGGCTCCCCCCAAGCTGGGCCCCAGCGGCCCCCAAAGAGGCTTCGCAGAGGGTGTTGGGGGCGGGGAGGCCCTCCCGGGCCCCCTGCAGAGCGCGAGGCGAGAGGCAGGGCCGGGGCGCGGGCCGGGCACCCCGGCCCCGGTCACACCAAGCGGCCCCCGGGCCTCAATGGCCCACCTGGCCTCACCTGGCCTCACCTGGCCTCGCCTGGCCTCCGGGCACTTCCGCCCGGCGGAGTTCCGGGCGCGCCTTCCCGGCCCGGCCCATCCCGGGGCCCCGCGAGCGCCCCGCGCGGCCACGGGCCGGTGAGTCCCGCGCCCCCAGCCCCGGTGGACGCGGCGGGTGGACCGGCCTCCCCGGCCCGGCGCCCGCCGGGCTGCTGTCTCGAGAGGAGGAGGAGGGGGTGCTCACCTGACCCCGAGGTCGGGGCACCCCGGCAGCCAGCGAGGAGGCGGCGGCGCCCCGAGAACCTCCCGCGGCCGCGACGGCCGGCGCCGAGGGACCGATCGCCCCGCGCTGCCCACGGGCGGCGTCACGTGACCGGCCGGGCCAGCGTCGGTGCCGGCCCAGGCGCAGCCCCCGCGCCCCGGGCCTCGGCCTCCGTTCACCGCGGCTCCGCGACCTCCTGGCGGCCCAGTAGCGAGGGTCAGGCTGTCCCCCTTGCTGCCTGCGACCCCTCAAGCGCCCTTCGGGAAACCGCGGCCCGAAAAGCCAACTCGGGCTGGCGGCGGGAGGCGGGGCTGGGGGATGACAGCCTGGAGGCGGGGCTGGGGGTGGGCAGTCAGGCCGGGGGGCTGGAGGCGGTGGGCGACAAGGGCGCCCGAGTTCAGACACCAGAGGGGCCCGCAAGTGACGCCCAGCGCCCCCATGCCCTAGGCTCCTTGTGCCGTGGGACCCCGGGAGCAGCAGCGTGAGCAAAGGCGCTTCCTCTGGGGAGCCCTCCTGATTGAGCCCTGGTGGGGCACCCGTCCTTCCTCCCCGACATGCGCATTGTCCTCTCTGACCCCAACTGTCATGCCCAGCACCAGCAAGGGACTGGCACCAGTGGGCGTCACGGAAGCCAGGGGGGCGGAGCAAGGCCCAGAGGCAGGGAGCCCTGGAGGGGTGGGCAGGGGGCCGCCGCAGGAGACCCCCGAGGGGCTTCCCCACCCCGCTGCTTTCCATTGGCCGGTGCCTCCCGGGCCCGGGGCCACAGGCGGAGGCGGGAAGTTGAGGGGACCGTTGTTGGGGTCCGCCCTCCTCACTACCGCCCAGACCAGCTGGCCCGGCCGATAAGGGGCCTCGGCCCATCCCCAGCCCAGCCCTGCCCGCCCAGGCCGCCCCAGGAGCCCCAGGAGCGACCCTCCCACACCCTGCCGAGCTCTGCACCCACTCCCCTCCCCCTCACCTGCACCTCTGCGCCCCTGGGCCCCACCGGAAGTGCAGTGGTTGGTGGGGAGAGCGCAGCAAACTGACAGGGTGTTGGGGTGCCGGTTTCCGTCATGTGACCCCTCCCCAGGAGGCTCCCCGACAGGGTGAGGAGGGGGCAGCCCCAGGGCGGGGTCTGGGGACCCGGGAGAAGGGGTGCAGAGCGGGTGGGGGAGGGGAGGAAGGAGGGATGGGGGGCGTGGCCACACCTCCTCATCCGGAGCCCATGGGGGGCCGGGGGAAGAGCCAGTCCCGAGGGCCGCGAGGCAGGAGAGAAGCGAGGGGCTACCAGCAGGCCAGACTCGGGGTGCAGCAGGCAAGACTGCGCGGGAACTGTGTCCCGGGGCGGGGGGAGGACGACACAGGCCAGAGCGGTGACCCCAGAGGAGGACGGAGCTACCTCAGCTTCTGTCTGTCTGTTTGGGGGACTCGCCCGGGGAGTGCCCAGGGTCTACTCCTGGCTCCGTGCTCAGATGGGTCTCCGCGTGCATGCGAACTGCGCAGGTGGAGCTGGTGCCCGGCCAGGTCCTGGCACTCCCCGCGCCCCACCCACGTTTGACAGCTAGGGGAAACTGAGGCCGGGAGTGGCTTTGAGCGCCTCCAGGCTCCCACGTCCGTCCCCCAGCCGCAGCGATGCGCGCGGAGCCGGAGGGCAGCCCCGAGGAGCTGCGGGAGGATGAGCTGGACCGCGTGCGCGCCTGCCGGACGCCCCTGCGCGCGCTGCCCTACGCCTTGGTGGACAGGCGCTTCATCCGGTGCGTGCCCACGGGCGGAGCGGGCGGGGCGGGTGGCGGGGCGCAGGCTTCCCGGCCGGGGGACACTCGGGGACGCGTCAACCCCGGTCGGTCGGTCGCAGGCAGCTGCGGGAGCCCGCGGGGCGCGGCCGCTCGTGGCCGCGGCAGTGGCAGCGCGGACGGCACGAGGCTGGACGGCGGCTGCGGGACGCTGGACGGCGGCTGGCCCGGGGCTGCGGCCTCTGGGAGGGGGCGCTCTACGAGATCGGGGGTAGGCGCGCCCCTCTCGACCCTGCCCACCGGCTTCCATAGGGAGAGGGTCCTGGGTCCCTGGGCTGGTGACCCCCGGCCCCAGCCCTACAACTCACCCCTGGATGCGCGGGCGGCAGCGCCCCTGGTGGCAGGCGGCGGTAGTGCAGGGCGGCCTGAAGGCTGGGGATTGCCACCCGCCCCCCCCCCCCCCCACCAGCCGGCTCGGTCACCCTTCCTGGCCTGCACGCTGTGTCCACGCAGGGCTCTTTGGCACCGGAATCCAGTCTTACTTCACCTTCCTTCGCTTCCTGCTGCTGCTCAACCTGCTGACCCTGCTGCTGACCGCCAGCTTGGTCCTGCTGCCCCTGGCCTGGCTGCATTCCCCTGACCCTGGACCTGCCCTCAACACCAGTGAGTGACCGGCACCCCGTGGGGACAGCGTGAGGTGGGCAGAGCCTGGGGTCTGGTTTCGGTCAATGTGACCCCTCCCCAGGAGGCTCCCTGACAGGGTGAGGAGGGGGCAGCCCCAGGGTGGGGTCTGGGGCCCCCTGACAGCCCCGCCCTCCACAGCCCTCCAGTGCCCCCAAGACCAGCCCCAGGCCAGTGTCCCCAGGTTCCAGAACCGACTCTGGGACGTTCTGACGGGCAGGGTGAGTGATTCCGCCTCTCCGGGGCCCCCACCCTTTCACCCTTTCCAGGATAGTTCAGCTCTTCTGGACGGGGTTGGGTTTTTTCACCTCTTTGGGGGAGCCCACAGCAGGGCTCAGGGGATGATGTGGTGCCAGCCCTGCGCCTGCCCCATACAGAGCCTGCACTCAGCCCGCTAAGCCGCTCTGCCTTTGTGTGGTTTGGTTTGGGGGCCACACTCCAGCCCTGGCACGCATGCGCATGTTTGTGTATGTGTGTGTGTGTGTGTGTGTGCGTGTGTGTGTCCGCATGTGCGTGTGTCCAAGTTTTTTCTGTTTTTTGGGTTTTTTTGTTTTTTGCTTTTTGGGTCACACCCAGCGATGCACAGGGGTTATTCCTGGCTCTGCACTGAGGAATTACTCCTGGCGGTACTGGGGGACCATATGGGACGCTGAGAATCGAACCCGGGTTGGCAGCGTGTAAGGCAAATGCCCTACCCGCTGTGCTATCGCTCCAGGCCTGTGAGTGTGTCCTAGTGACCAAACCCAGCAGCCCTTAAATGGCCCAGGCCCATGGGCGGTGGTGGTGGTGGGCTGCACTCTGGCTCTCCCAGAGAGGGACAGTATGGGGGGCCAGAGCAGGCGTTTACCTTGCACAGGGCCAACCAGGACTCCGTCCAGCACATAAGCGGGACCCCGAGGGACCAGAGCCATAGGACAACGGGGAGGGTGCTTGCCTTCCATGTAGCTGACCTGTGCTCTTCACCCAGCACCCTGAGCCCCTCCAGGAGTGACCCCTGAGTGCAGAGCCCCGAAACCAAACCCCAAAGCACAATGGGGAGAGGGACAGTCCCCACGGCCGGTCAGCAGGTGGTCAACAGCTGAGGGCCTTTGGCACAGCGGGCCTGGCCCTCAGCTGTCCCTCTGCCCCCCAGGCCTTCAACAACACCTACCTCTTCTACGGAGCGTACCGGGCAGGGCCCGAGCACGCCTCAGCCTACAGCATCCGCCTGGCCTACCTACTCAGCCCACTGGCCTGTCTGCTGCTCTGCTTCTGGGGGACCCTGTGGCGGTGGGTGTGAGCCCTGCCCCCTCCCCTGCCCCACCCGCAGCCCCTCCCAACCACCCAGGCCGTGGCCAAAGCCTGCACACAACTGCGGGAGGCCTCCCACCCCAGACGCGAAGCCCCTGTTGATGCTGGTGGGTGGGCCAGGGCCCCACGTGAGCACACGTGCACACACATGTGTGATATGCTCGCGTACACTCACAGCAGAGCTCCCACCAAATGCACACACACACACGTGTACATGCACGCACACATGACATGCGCATGCACGCTCACGGCACGCGTACACCCTGAGCCTGGCTACTCTTGCCCAGGATGGTGGCAGGCCTGCCGCAGCAGCTCTACCTGAGCCAGGACTACAGGTCTCCGCTCAGCGCCAAGGTCTTCTCATCGTGGGACTTCTGCATCCGCGGGCGGGAGGCGGCCACCATCAAGAAGCATGAGATCAGCAATGAGTTCAAGGTGTGTGTGTGTGTGTGTGTGTGTGTGTGTGTGTGTGTGTGGTGGGGGGGCCGCAGCACACTCAGCTTTCACCCCAAGCATCACATGATCCCCCCATCAACAAGGGGGGCAGCCCCCCGGAAGGGGGGCCCCCAAATAAGCTGAGGAAACAGGTAGAGCCATATAACACAGCGGGGAGGGCATTTGCCTTGTATGCAGCCAACCCGGGTTCAATGCCGGCACCCCAGAGGGTCTCCCAGGCCCCACCAGGAGCGATCGCTGAGTACTGAGCCAAGAGTCAGCCCTGAGCACACCAGGTGTGACCCCCAAAATGTAAAGGACAGCCCCGGGGGCTGGAGCAATAGCACAGTGGATAGGGCGTTTGCCTTGCACCCGGCCGACCCAGGTTTGATTCCCAGCATCCTATATGGTCCCCCGAGCACCACCAGGAGTAATTCCTGAGTGAAGAGCCAGGAGTAACCCCTGTGCATCGCCGGTGTGACCCAAAAAGAAAAAAAAAGAAAGGAAAGGACAGCCCCTCTGCCCACACCAGCATGCCCCAGCATGGCCATCACCCGAGGGTGCCTTCACCCCAGGTGGCACTGGAGGAGGGGCGACGGTTCCAGCTTGCCCAGCAGCTGTCCCGGGCCCAGCGCGCCTGCCGCCTGCTCAGCTTCCTACGGACCAACCTTCTCATCCTGCTTCTGGTGGCCGGGGCCATCAGCGCCATCTTCTGGGCCACCAAGTACTCGCAAGACAACAAGGAGGTGAGGGGCCCAGGAGCCCTGGGGCCTGGTGGCAGCGAGTGGCCAGGAGCCACGCGGGTGCCTTCAGCGGCTTTTCCTGCAGGACCCCTCATTCATGCTGCTCCAGTACCTGTCCCCCGGCATCATAGCCCTGGCCAACTTCCTGGGTCCCCTGCTGTTTCTGTTCCTGGTCCAGCTGGAGAACTACCCCCCAAACACCGAGGTCAACCTCACCCTTGTCTGGTGAGCGGCTGGGAGGGGTGATGGCGGGCATGGGGGCTCCCCAGCAAGGCAGCCCCCCAACACTCCATCCCGGCCCTCTGGTCCCCTCGCTCCCACCAGAGCAAGCCAGGAGCCTGCGCCCGTGTGTGGGCACTTGGGTCAGGTGGGGGCTGTGGGGTCAGGGGCGCTGGGAACCGGCTTTTCTTTCTGTTTCTTTTCTTGTCGGGGTGCACCCAGCAGTGCTCAGGGTTGACTCCTGGCTCTGTGCTCAGGGGTCACTCCTGACAGGGCTCAGTGGTATGGGGTGTTAGAGATTGCACCCGGTTGCCATGGGCTACACAGATGTCCCCCCCCCGCTATCCTGTTGCTATGGCCAACTGCTGCCATGGGCACCCCGATTCACACCGGTTACTCTGATAGTCCCCACATGGTCTTCCTGATTCCCAGTGGAAAGCTGAAGAAAGCGGGCCTGGAGCAATAGTGCTGCGGGAAGGGTGTTTGCCTGGTACAAAGCCCACTGTGGTTCAATCCCCGGCATCCCATAATGGTCCCCTGAGCCCACAAGGAGTGATTCCTGAGTGGAGAGCCAGGAGTAACCCTGAGCACCGCAGGGTGTGACCAAAAAAAAAAAAACAGAGAGAGAAAGAGATCTGCGTGGCTAAATGCCTCGGCCAATATCAAGCAGCTCCTCATCCGCTGGGTACAGGCCCAAACCTTGCTTTGGCCGGGGAGCCACGTTCAATCCCTATAACCCCGGAGCGGCCCCCAGCACCAGCTCCACTGGCCGTGGGGTGTGGCCTCAAACCAGCACCAGCACCAGTCCTGACCATCCTGAGCCCGGCCGCGCCCCTGCGGGCCTCTTGGCTCGGCCCAGCAGGGCGGGCAGTCGAAAGCATGGCCCAGGCCAGCAGGATTCCCGGGGCTGCTGTGGTCTGCAAGGCAGTGCGCGTCAGAATGCCCCGGGGGGCGCACAAAACAAAACTCCTACCGGTCTGCGAGGGGGTCCGCCGCACCATGCCTGCAGGGCTGCGGAGGGGAGGCCCCTTGGCTGTGGGCAACGCTTCTGCCGCCACGTCCAGCGCGACTTAAAAGCCGAACCCTGGCACCCTTCCCCAGGAGTCATTTGGAGGCGGGGTTCTGGGGAATACAGCCGGGAAGCTGGGGGTGAGGGGGCGGGGCGGGGTGGGGGCGTGTTCATAGCGGAACGTGACCAATAGGCGGAGCTAGGGCGGGGTGAGAGGCCGGTGGTGGGTGGGCCAAGGGCGGACTGGACCAATGGGATAGATCCGGGGCGGGGCTCTGACTCAGCCCCGCCCCCAGGTGCGTGGTACTCAAGCTGGCCAGCCTGGGGATGTTCCTGCTGTCGCTGGGCCAGACTATGCTGTGCATTGGCAGGGACAAGACCAGCTGCGAGTCCTATGGCTACAACGTCTGTGACTACCAGGTGGCTGGGGACCCCCGCAGCTCCTGTCCCGCTGCCCTCCGCGAAGCGCCCCCTCAAGCCCTGTAGCGCCCCTTCACATGTCCCTCTGGGTCGGACCCCACGAGCCTGGGAGCTGCCTTCTTGTCCTTGTTCGTTGCTTCGGTTTGGGGGCGCACAGGGGTTGCTCCCCACTCTGTGCTCGGGTTTCGCTCCTGGCAGGGCCATGCCTGGGGATCAAACTTGTGCTCAGCCCTCTGAGCTCTCTCGGACCCGGCTTACACCTGACACCCGGGTTGGGGTGGGGGTGCAGGGCTCCCTGCTCCGACCCTGCCCCCCAGGCCCTGGTTAATTCACAGTCCTAGCGAGTCCAGGGGTCCTCCTGCCGCAGCAGCCAGCCTGGGCGGCGCGGGGTGACAGTCCTTCTGCTGCAGTGCTGGGAGAACGCGGTGGGCGAGGAGCTGTACAAGCTGAGCACCTTCAACTTCCTCCTCACCGTGGCCTTCACCTTCCTGGTCACGCTGCCGAGGAGGTGAGTCTGGGGTGCAGTGGCGGGACTGGGGGGCACCCTAGGCTTATACACACCTGTGGGGGCCCATGCGTGCGCCTCACCATGGGGAATGCCGGACCCTCCCCCCAGGCTGCTGGTGGAGCGCTGCTCGGGCCGCTTCTGGGTCTGGCTGGACCGGGAGGAGTTTCTGGTACCCAAGAACGTGCTGGACATCGTGGCAGGGCAGACGGTCACCTGGATGGGCCTCTTCTACTGTCCGCTGCTGCCTTTGCTCAACAGCGTCTTCATCTTCCTCACCTTCTACCTCAAGAAGGTGAGGGTCAAGACCTCGGGATGGCTGACCGCTCTGCGCGTCCCCCACCCCCTTCCCTGACCTCCACCCCTCGGTGGCTGCCCGCTGAACGAGCGCCGCCTTGTGGTTGTCTTCCCCCAGTACACCTTGCTGCGGAACTCCAGGGCGTCTGCTCGGCGCTTCCGGGCCTCCAGCACCACCTTCTTCTTCCAGCTGGTTCTCCTGCTGGGCCTGCTCCTGGCCGCAGTGCCGCTGGGCTACGTGGTCAGCAGGTGAGGGACGGAGCTGAGGCGGGGCCGCAGGGGCTGCTCCCGCAAGGCCCTGACACCCCCACTCCCATGGGTCCTCTCTCCCCAGTGTCCACTCCTCCCGGGACTGCGGCCTCTTCGGCAACTACTCAGCGCCCTGGCAGGTGGTCCCCGAGCTGGTGGCGCTGCGGCTTCCTCCTGCTGGCCAGCTGGTCCTCCACTACCTGGGCTCCCGCGCCTTCAGTTTCCCCCTTCTTGTCCTGCTCAGGTGCTCGTCAAGGGGCCCAGGGTACAGAGCATGAGACGGGGGTCCCAGGGGTTCCCCTGTGCCCTGGGCAGACCTCCAGGAAGGGCCTCCCTGTAAAGTGGGCATGGGTGGTGGCCGCCGGCAGGCTGAGAATCTGACACATTCTGAGAACATTGGGGTGCAGAAGGAGGGCCTCTGCTGTCCAGGAGGGACTAACCTGCGATCTGGCTGTCCACAGCTTGGTCCTGACCGTGTGCATCTCCCAGTCCCAGGCCAATGCCCGGGCCATCCAGGAGCTCCGGAAGCAGCTGGTGTGGGTGAGTGTGGGTCGCCGTGCTGGAGACCGTGCTGTCCCCATACTGAGGCTGTCACCGGGTGCCCAGGCAGAGAACATGGAGAAAGAGAACAGTCTGGGGTCAGAGACATGGTCGGGTCGGGAGGGCGTTTGCCTTGCACACAGCTAACCCAGGTTCGATCCCCAGCATCCCATGTGGTCCCCTAAGCACCACCAGGAGTGATTCCTGGTGCCGACCCAGGAGTAAACCCTGTACACCACAGGGTGTGGCCCCAAACAAGGACAATAACGACAGCAAAAGAAAGGGCCGCGTATAGAGCACAGCCTCAAGCTGGGTCAGAGCCAAGGGAATATGGTTAGACGTGGGGACAGGGACCTAAACTCTGAGAGTTTGGGGTGGCCCTGGAGAGAGCTCAAACTTGGCACGTGGGAGTCGGATTCCAGATCCCCTGAACAACCTGCAGCGCCAAGCTGGGGGAGGCCCCTGAGGATCGGCCATGGTGGTGTGGTGTGTCCAGCCCTGGTCTAAGTCCTGGGATCAGGCTGGGAGGGGACTGGTGGGGCGGGCCTGTGGGCGGGGCCTCCATGGACGGGGACACGGGATTGTGTGGTGGGCGGGGCCTCCCGACATGGCTCCACCTCCGTGCCCCGCCCCACAGCAGGTGCAGGAGAAGTGGCACCTGGTGGATGACCTGTCGCGCCTGATGGATGATTCGTGTCCCGGCGGCACTGAGGGCCCCGAGTCTCCACTGTCCACAGCTTCGCGCCCACGATCCTTCTGCCCGGGGTTCCCATGCCCAGGCTCTCCGGGCCCCAGGCCTCCGCAGCCAGGACCCTCCGACATGGATCCCGCAGCGTCGGGCAGCCCCGGCCTGCATCGCCATGACCCGGGTCCAGCTTGTCGATTCCGATTCCCCAGTGGCTCAGAGCTCTAGGTCCACCCTGTGGTCACGCCCTGCTTGAGACCAAAGCCAGCATCCCTTTGCCCTGCACTTCTGCCCCCTCCCCTGAGGACCCCCCATTGACCCTCTCAGTGGCCCCCCAATCCAGGTACCCAGAAGGGGGTACAACCGAGGGCATACAGGGAGAAAATATGGGAAGGTCTTTTGGGGGTTGGTTAAGTCACACCCAGTGTTGTTCAGGGGTTACTCCTGTCTCTGCACTCAGGAATTACTCCTGGCTTTGCTCAGAGGACCCTATAGGATACCGGAGTTCGAACCTGGGACAGCCGCGTGCGAGGCAAACACCCTCCCCGCTGTACTATGGCTCCGGTCCCTGGGAAGGTCTATTTTTATTTTTATTTCATTGCTCTTTAATGGGGTTGCACCTGACAGTGCTCAGGTCTTAATCCGGATTTTTTTCTCCAGGGGTCACTCTGGGTTCAGGGGTGCCAGAGAGCAAGCCTGGATCGGCTGCATGCAAGGCAAACACCTTACCCCCTATACTATCTCTAGAGCCCCTGGTCTTCTTGCATAAAAAAAAGGCAGGGTGTTTCAGAAGAAGGAGGAGGAGGAGGAGGAGGAGAAGAAGAAGAGGAAGAAGGAGAAGAAGAAGAAGAAGAAGAAGAAGAAGAAGAAGAAGAAGAAGAAGAAGAAGAAGAAGAAGAAGAAGAAGAAGAAGAAGAAATTTTTGTTTATTGTTGTTGCTTTGGTGCCAAACCCAGTGGTCACTCCTGGCTCTGCGCTCAGGGTTTCCCCCCACCCCCACCCGATCAGCCTCGGGAACATGCCTGGTGCTGGGGGTCCGACCTGAGTCAGCCTCGCCCACTGTGCTGTTTCCCCGCCTTCCTGAACGGCTCTAAGATGCAGGGTACACTGCTCTAGAGACCCAGGACTCCCAGTGTATTGGGGGCTTGGGTCGGGCCACACAAGATCCTGGGAGCTATTCCCTGGGGCCGTTCCCAACGGTGCTTGAGTGACCATATGGTGCCCAGTTTGAGCCGGAGCCTGCACTTATTAAATATACATCCATTAGGAGCTCTCAGAAATTGTTTATGGGGCCAGAGTAATAGTACAGCGGGGAGGGCATTTGCCGACCCGGTTTTGATCCCCAATATGCCATATGGTCCCCTGAGCTCACTAGGAGTGATGCCTGAGTGCAGAGCCAGAACTAATGAAGCCCTGAGCACAGCCAGGTGTGGCCTAAAAGCAGAAAAAGGAAGGAAGGAAGAGGAGGAGGGAGGTGGAGAAAGGAAGGAGGAAGAAAAAGAGTGAAAGTAGAGAAAGGGGAAGAGAGAAAGGGGGAAGTAGAGAGGGGAGGGGAAGAAGGAAAGGCCTTGTTCACTGTGGGCAGTGCCATCCTGATGGGGGTCGCTCCGCCATGGGAAGAGCCCTCCCTGGGCTCGCTCTGATTGCTGACACACAGTGTCCGGTTTAAACTGAATACACGCTTGCTTTTCTTTTTTTTTAATGATTCACACAGATAAACAGTTCCAAGGTTGTTCATCTTTGGGTTTCAGTTATACCTGTCTCTTCACCAGTGTGCATATCCCACCACCAGCGTCCCCGGCTTCCCTCCCGCCCCACCCCCGCCCCAATCCCCACTTTCTCATTGGATTCTTAGGGTTCTTTAGGGACCGGGAGCCGGCGAGGGGCGGGGCCTCCAGAGCGGGGCGGGGCTTGGGCCCAGGCTCCTGAAGGGGCCTGAGAGGGGCGGGGCCTCCAGGGCAGGGCGAGGCTTGAGCCTGGGCTCCTGGGCAGGGCCAGCGAGGGGTGAGGCCTCCCGGGTTGGGCGGGGCTTGGCCCAGGCTCTGGGGCGGGGCCTGAGAGGCGGGCGAAGTGAGGATTGGGCCCAGGATCCTGAGCGCTGAGGGGCGGGACCTCCAAGGCGGGGCTAGGATTGGGCCGAGGCTCTTGGGGGGGGGCCTGGGGGGGGCTTGGAGGCTACCCCAGCCCTGATTGGCGCACTAACTCTGAGTGACAGCAGCGCTGGTGGGCTCCAGTGCACTGTCCTAGATTTGCTCCAGCGGGCACCAGTAACGTCTCCATTGTGAGACGTGTTACTGTTTCTGGCATATCGAATAGGCCACAGGGAGCTTGCCGGGCTCTGCCACGCGGGCCGGATACTCTCGGTAGCTTGTCGGGCTCTCTGAGAGGGGCGGAGGAATCGAACCCATGTTGGCTGCATGCAAGGCAAATGCCCTGCCCGCTGTGCTATCGCTCCATCCCCAGCCTCTCAATAGAGTATTTTAATTGCCTATATTCCAACCCAGCGACCCCACATGAGCGGGACCCTTCCCAAAGAGGGGATGGGGGGAGCCAGAATAGAGGCCCCATGGCCAGGGTTCCGCCGCACCTGTCCTCCACCCGCCCGGATGAACTGGACTCTGAGGGTGAGGGGGAAGGAACCCCACCAGGGCCACAAAAGTGGGGTGGGCGTTCTGTCCAGGGCTGGGCCCAAAACTCCAGAGCCTGCTGCTGCCCCTGCCGGGAGATGTGTCCGAGCTGGGCTGGAGGGGGCAGAGACTGTTCAAGGGATCTCCCTCTCTCAACGGGGTCCCTATACCCAACCTCACGGGCCTCATCAGGTCTCTGAGAAGGACAGAGGGCCATGGCCTCATCCTTCTTGGACGGTCCTGGAAGCAGGCAGGTACCTGGCGCGGGTCCGACTCTGGGAGGCAGCCCCAGGGGCAGTTCCTGCCCCGAGTTCTGCCCATGCCTTGGGCTTCCCTAAGCAGCCCTGAGCTTGGTGAGCCTGAGGTCCCACTTTGGGAGGTCCAACTATCCACTCCCCTCCGCCCTCTCCCACCCCCCCCCCCCCCAGCGAGCTCTGTGCAGGCCAGGTGGTTCTACCCACTTTGGGCTTTGGACTTTTGGCATTGGCCTGGGTTCCTGGAAACTGCAGGGGAGTCAAGAAGTGTCCCCCCTTGTCTGAACTTCACCACAGCTCCTGTGCCCCCTGTCCTGCTCTGCCATTCACAGGCTTAACTGTGTCGGCACCTCGCAGGGCCCAGCTGAGGGTGGCAGGGACCTTGGCCCGAGATTCTCTGCCGGGAGGGTCATTGGGAAGCCTGGGGCCTGAGGGCACAGGTCTCTGTCCCCTGCACTCTGCGGGGTAAGCACAGTCACCCCGGCTTGTAGGGGCCAAGGACCAACCGCAGTGAGCACTGTGTGGGAGGACCTCCCTCAGAAAGCCCCTCATCACTGCTTCAGGCCCAGCCCCAGATCCAGGGGGTCCCCCTGGCTCATAGCCTTTAGCTTCTTCATCACAGGAGACAGGCCAGGAGCAGGGATCAGGACAGGATGCGGAGCTAGCCTGGGGTCAGCAGGTTCACTGCACCCTGACAGGGGGTCCCCGGCACTTTCCCATCCGGGGTCCAGCACTGCCCAGGCAGGTTAAAACCTCTGGACGACGCAGGGAGGGGTAGCCGCTCTGGGCCTGCGGGGCCTGGTTGCTGGGGCCCCTGGGGGCCCCAGGTTATCTGCCAACTGCAGATACTCACCCAGGGAGCATCCCAAGGCCTCTCTGGGGAGCACTGCGTGCGCAGAGCCCCCGTGAACAGACCCAAGCATGTGGCTGCTTCTGCCTCTGCTCCTGTCCATCAGGTTGGGTGAGTGAGGGGCCTGGGCAGGGTGTTGGGGGGCCCCAGGGACCCTCCCCTCCAGGCCAGGACAGAGGGAGAGGCTGGACCTGAGTATGAGCCCAGCAACTCCTCACTGTCCGCCAAATGGGCCAGTGGCCCTGGGGCTGGCCGGAGGGCAGGTGTGAGTGCTGAGGCCTGGGGGGGGGGCCCTGAGCTACCCTCCACCCTGACTGCCGCCCCTGTTCTAGCCACCAGCAGCTTCTCCGGGGAGTGGAAAGATGGTGAGTATCAGGCCAAGGGGACCAGGGCCCCAGCAGGGCGCCGCCTTGGCTGGGCGGAGGGGGGCGTTCAGATGGTGACTGGGACAATCTGGAGCCTTGGCCTCTTCTGGGCAGGGACTGGGTGTGGAGGGGCAGGCTGAAAAACGGGGTGCACCCGGAGGGGTTCTGAGCACAGCCCAGGTAACGTGCTCGGCTGCCCTGGGCTGGGGCAGGAAGGGAGTGGACCTTCGCATCCCCATCACTCACTCGCTCACTGCCGAACCCCCCCAGATCCGTGGGGCTGACCCCAGAGAGGGCGGGTGGCGGGGGTGGGGGACTCGGGGCCCACCAGGAGCGCCCTGGCGGCTCCCGAAGGCCCGCTCCGGGCTGCAGTACTGCCAGCGGCCGCGTGGGGGCGTCGGGGGCTCGGGCCGGCCTGGCCGCGTCTGGCCCGTGTCCTGCCCCGCGAGGTGGCCGTCACCTCGTCACCTCTCTCCACTGTCCTGGCCGCTCGCCTCCCTCCCGCACCGCCGAGGGCCCAGTTCCTCCCCCGCCGCGGTGCATCCGCTGCTGCTCGGCCGAGGGGTGGGTCCGCGGGTCGCGCCTGAGCGCCCGGCTCAGGCATTTCCTCATTTGCTTTGAAAACAAACACGGGACCTGCCGCGGAGCGGCCAGGAAGTACCTGGCGCCCGCCTCTGACTCCTGCCCAGCCGGCCCTGGCGCTCCATCCGGGACCGACCGGCGCACCAGTGACCCACTCATTCATTCACCCACGCATTCATTCATTCATTCACCCAGGCGTTCGTTTGATCGCCCACCCACTCGTTCGTTTACTCTGTAATTCAGCAAAGGCCTCCAAAAGCCTGGCTGGAGCCCAGCACTGTCCCGGCAGCAGAGGTGACAGGGCCCACAGCGGAACACAGAGGGCCTGGCCACCCCCATCTCCGGCGGGCCTGGCCAGAGCAGGAAAGAGGGTGGCCATGGAACTGGGTCCCTGGGGGGAGGTGTGCCCAGGACAGGGACACCCAAGCCAGTGTGGCCAGGCCTGCACAGGGCTGGGTGCCCAGAGGAGGGCGGGGAGGGAGTTGGGGCACTGGCCCGGCTGGAGAGCTCAGAGGGCTGTGAGCAGCCCAGCTGGGCGCGTCCTGCGGCTGCAGCACTGAAACCTGGGTTGGCTCCTGTCCACGCAGTGCCCAGCCTGCCCACTCCTCAGCAGAGGCTCAGCCCTCCCCCACCCACCTCAGCGTCTGTACTTCTCTCTTCCCCCTTCCTTTGTTGTGATGACCAGGGGTCTCACTCTGGGTGGCGGCAATAGGCCCTAGGCTTGTGGGGGACTGCCCGGGACCCAACCATGGCCTTAAGCTCCCGGGGAGCGGCGTTGGGGGGGAGACCCATCCCCAGCGTTTGCTCCTGCTGGGGCCGGACTCAGCCTCCTGCGTGCCAGGCCGGCCCTTACCTGGTTTCTGCCTTCCCGTGGGGCTCCCCCTGTAGCACCCCCTCCCGAGATCCACATCGCGTACAAGGTCCTGGAGCTCTTCCCCCGAGGCCGCCGTGTCCTCATCTCCTGCCATGCCCCCCAGGGGCACCCGCCCCTCAACTACTCCCTCTGGGGGAGCGGCGGCATCGAGGTGGCCAGGAAGCTGGTAGTGACCCGGGCACCGGCCTCCTTCTCCGTCAACATCACACTCAAGTCCAGGCCAGACCTGCTCACCTACTCCTGCCAGCTGGCCGGACCCGGGCGTGTGCACGCCACCAGCACAGAGCTGCAGATGTACTGGGAGCTGTGGACCAGTGAGTGTGCGTGGGGACAGGGTGAGGGGGAGCACCAGCCGTAGGTCCCGCCGCCTCGCTCAGGGCCCCCTCCACCCCGGGCCCTGCAGGACCAGTCCATTGGGCGGGACTGAGCTCAGGAGAGATGCTGGGCCTGTGGCTCACTGCAGCCTCTCAGCATCCTTCCTGGGGGATGATCCCGGGGTGGAAGCTGCAGCTTGAGGTCCTGCCCTGTCCCACCCAGCCCTTTCCTGTGGCTCTCTTCCTCCTCCCATTCTTTGGCCACACAGGCATCCTTCCAGCTGAAAGGTAAGGGGTGCAGGGACTGGACCCCACCTGCTTGAGAGTTGCGCTCTAGCGCCAGCGGAAGAGATGGGAGCACTGTAGGTCATTGGGGCTGTGTGACCTTAGGCACATCACTCAGCCTCTCTGGGCCTGTTATTTGCGGAAACCAGGATGATTCTACAAAGGAGAGGGCAGAAGTTCCTCAGGAGACTGTTTGGAGAGTTTTGGTTTGGTGTATGGATGAGCCCAGTGCCCGCATCCATATCCCTCAACCAAATCCCTGCCTTGGCCCAGGGGGCATCTTAGGACCTAGAACTGTTCTTTTTTGTTTGTTTTTATTTGGGGGTTACATCCGAGGATGCTCAGGGGTTCCTCCTGGCTCTGCACTCAGGAATCACTCCTGGCGGTGTTCGGGGGATCCTATGGGATGCTGGGAATCGAACCTAGGTCAGTTGCAAGCAAGGCGAGCGCCCTCCCCGCTGTGCTATCGCTTTGGCCCCAGAGTCCAGAACTGTTCTAGGAGGCAGAGTTCTAGAAAGACAAAGAAAATGAACAGGCATGCAAAGGGCAGTTCTCGGTGCAAAATCACCCACTGCTAGTCTAGAGAGCAAGCGAGGCTGCGTTCTCATCTGCCAAGTCTGACGGCAGTGATCCCAGGGGACAGGAATGGAAACAAATGTGGATCGTGTGGAACTTGCAGGCTGGGTCAAAGCCCAGAGGGAGGGGGAATCCAGAAGGCTGCCTGGTGGAGGCGGTATTAACCCTGCAAGCTCCGTGGGCGTTGTGAAAGGGAGGAGCGTGCGGGTCCACTGTGGCCAGGCCACTACCGTCTCCGTCCCCCAGAGCCGGTGTCCCAGCTCCGGGCCGACTTCACTCTGCAGGACGGCGGGGCAGGTGCACAGGTGCTGGTGTCCTGCCAGGCGTCCACGGGCAGCCCCCCCATCACCTACAGCCTGGTCGGGAAGGACGGGCGTGTCCACCTGCAGCAGGCGCCTAGCCACGGGCAGCCAGCACGCTTCTCCCTGCCCATGACGCAGACGCCAAACTGGTTCCAGTGCCGGGCTGAGAACGGTGTCAGCGCGGACTCCAGCCCCCTCACGCTGGTGCCCCCAGGTCAGAGCAGCCGGGCTGTGCTGGGGGCAGGAGGCGACCCCAGCCTGCCCAGAATGCCCAGCCCACTCTCCCTGTGCCCACAGGGCTGCTGCCCCAGGTGCCCACTGCGGTGCTGGCCGGCAGCCTCATCTCCATCGCTGCCGTGACTTCTGGGATGCTGGGCTGGGCCTGGAGGACCAGGTAGGAAACGGGGCTGGGAGGAGGACAGTGACCCAGGCTGGTCACGGCGGGCTGGGGATTGTAGAGCGGCTCAGGTGCTCGCTTTGCCCGTGGCTGACCCGGTTCCATCTCCAGGGTGATACCTGAGCACAGCCACGAGTGGCCCCACAGACCAAAAGGGAAGGCGAGAAGGGACCGAGGGACGGGAGGGCCGGCACACTCGCAAGATGCAGGAGCCGCTCCTTTGCCGCTCCTTTTCACCCTCCTGCTCAGTGCTCGGGGGGTGACTCCCCGTTTAGTGCTCGGGGGTCCCAAGTAGGCTGGGGGAGCAAGCCCTGGCCCCCTCCTGCATGCTCCATCAACGGGGCGGGACTTATACTCTCCTCCTTCCGGTCAAGGCTGTGAGCCCGGAGCGAGCGAGCGAGAGTCTAGGTGTCCGCGCGGGAGCCGGAGCCGCTGCAGGACTCAGGGAGCGCCTGGACCTCCCTGTCTGGAGGCCGGAAGGGCCGACCCGCCAGCCGCTGACCACCTGCTCCACTGGCAGCACCTGTCCTCCCTCCCCGCCCACGCAGCTGGGCGCGCCCTCGTTAATCGCCACGGGCCCCTGGCCGCCCGGGCCCGCGGGGAGACCTGCTTGGGGTGGACGGGGGGGGGGGGGGGGGGGGGGGACGATTAAACTCTGTCCCCTGCCGCCACCGAGAGGACATCCTTTCCGCCCGCGCCCCGCCGAGAGCCGGGACGGTTGGGGGAGGGCCCGGCCGGGTGGGCAGGTGCAGCCCGAGAGGCTGCCCGGCGGAGGCGGCGGGGCGGGCCCGGCGGGGGCGGCGCGCACTTTGCCCACGGCCCTGGCCCGGCCCGCCCCGGGGCGGGGCGTCCGGCGGCGGCGGGGCAGCGAGGCTGGCGGCGGCGGCGGCGACATGGACAGCGGGGCCTACGGCGCGGCCAAGGCGGGCGGCGCCTTCGACCTGCGGCGCTTCGTGGCGCAGCCGCAGGTGGTGGCGCGCGCCGTGTGCCTGGTGAGCGGGGGGCGCGGCGCGCGGGGGGCGCGGGGGGCGCCGGGCCGGCCCCGCCCCGAAGGACCCACGGGCCCCGGGCGGGCTGTGCGCGTGGCGTGGCCGCGGGCAGCCGCCGGCCGCAGCCCCGGGACAGGTGGCTGGCGCGGGGTCAGCGGGGGCTTCCCGCCGGCACGAGGGCCCGGGGGCGGCGTGGCCCCCTGAAAGGGCTCCCCGCCCGCTCAGGACGCCGTGCAGACCCCAGGTGGCCGGCGCAGGTGGGGCTTCTGACCTCGGCCCGCCAGGTTTGCGCGGGGCGCCCCGGACCCCCAGGGCCGTGCGGGTGAGCGGCCGCGCCCGCGCCCCCCCAGCGCTGGCCGTCGGGGCCCGAGCAGGGGCCGGAGCAGGGGCCGGGCCGGCCTGGCCGCGGACCGGGTCCGGCATCCGGGAGTTCCGGCTCCTGGTCCGGAGGTGGGGCCCGGGCCGCGGGGCCGGCCGGGGGCTCGCCGGGGGCCGGCCCGGAGCTGGCTGGGCTGGCCGGGCTGGCCGAGTTGGCCAGGGGCCGGCCCACGGTGCGCGCGTCCACACCAGCCGGCACCCTGAGCGGGGGGCAGCAGAGGGCGGCTCTCCAGGCCGGGGCGCAGGTGCCGGGAGGCTGGGCCGGGCCGCGCGCCCCCCACGTCCACGCACGGGGGCCCCACGGGACAGCTGAAGCGCCTGGGTCTGGGGGACAGGGAGCCTGGCAGGATCCGCTGAGGCCCGGCTGCCCCGGGGAGGGGCCTGGGCCCTGGCGAGGCCGGAAGTTCCTGGAGAAGCTGGTCGGACGGGAGAGCTGCCCGGAGTTCGGGGGAACAGGGGGCTTTCCTGGCCGGGGGTGTCCGGGGCGCGGGTGGGAAGTCCCTCGGGACACCCCTGGGCTTGCCACACCCCAGCCCAAACCCCGCCCCCAGCACGGGGCGGTCACCTGGCGTCTGGGGTCACTGGGAGGGTGGGCGCATGGCCCGCGGGTGCTCGCCATGGGCCACCCCTGCCTGGAGGGGGGGGGGGGTGTCGTAGCCCCGGGCCCTGACCTGGTCCCTGCCCCCACCCTGCCCCACCCCGCAGCTCTTCGCCCTGATCGAGTTCAGCTGCATCTTTGGGGAAGGCTACAGCAACACGCACGATGGGGGCCAGGAGTACTGCGTGTTCAACCGCAACGAGGACGCGTGCCGCTACGGCAGCGCCATTGGCGTGCTGGCCTTCCTGGCCTGCGCGGGCTTCCTGGTGGTGGACGCCTACTTCCCGCAGATCAGCAACGCCACCGACCGCAAGTACCTGGTGGTCGCTGACCTGCTCTTCTCAGGTGCCTGCCGAAATGGGGATGGCTGGGGGGGTGTCCCTGGGGTGCCAGGGTCCCTCAGATGGAGGGGGCTCTTGACCCCTGCCCCGCGGCCTGAGCCGCTCCTGCCTCTCCCCAGCTCTCTGGACCTTCCTGTGGTTTGTGGGCTTTTGCTTCCTCACCAACCAGTGGGCCGCCACTAACCCAAACGACGTGCGGGTGGGCGCAGACTCGGCGCGGGCCGCCATCACCTTCAGCTTCTTCTCCATCTTCTCCTGGGTAGGTGGGCTGGGACCCCGGGGGAAGGAGGGGACAGGACCCCGGGCGAGCGCTCATACTGCGACCCCTAGGGTGTGCTCGCCTCGCTGGCCTACCAGCGCTACAAGGCCGGTGTGGACGACTTCATGGAGAACTACGTGGACCCCAGCCCCGCGCCAGGCACGGCCTACGCATCCTACCCTGGGGCTTCCGTGGACAACTACCAGCAGCCTCCCTTCACCCAGACGGCCGACGCCACCGAGGGCTACCAGCCGCCCCCCGTGTACTGAGCGCACCCCCTCTCCTCAGGGCATTCTTAAAGGGTCTTTCGCCCGAGTGTCCGGCCACTGCTACCCCCGCGCCCACTGCCCCGCGAGTGCCTTAACTGCAGCCTTGGCCGCACTCCGGCCCTTGGGGTGCTCTGCCAAAGACGGGGCTGTGCCGGCCTGGGGCTCAGCTCCTCCTCACTCAGGGTCCCCCCACTCCTCTGGCTTGCTCAGGTGTGGGGGTACCACAGCCTGGGACTGCCTTCCCAGCATGGCCAGTGCCTTCCAGGGCCCCGGGTAGCACCCACGCATGCCTCGGGCTGGGGTGCAGGGGTCACCCGCTTCACGGTGTTGTATGCTCTGCAGGCTGGTGGGCAGGTATGGACCCTCAGCCCCCTGCCGCTCTGAATGTATGAAACGCCTTGTGGGGGCTTGCGGGCGCCCTGATTCTGACTGGGAGATGGAATAAATGTGTTTTTCTCACGCGTGGCTGGGCCTCAGCAAAGGGTAAGAAGGTCCCACCAGGGGCTGGAGTGATAGCACAGCTGGTAGGGCATTTGCCTTGCACACAGATCCGACCAGAGTTCGATTCCCAGTATCCTAGACGGTCCCCTGAGCACCGCTAGGGGTAATTCCTGAGTGCAGAGTCAGGAATAACCTGTGTGCATCGCTGGGTGTGACCCCAAAAAGCAAAAAAAAAAAAAAAGATCCCACCAGCTCTGGGCCCGGTTTGGTTTTGTGGGTTCTGGGGGTGCTGGGGAGACCGGGGCCTTGGGAGCTGCCCCCTCCCCCGGGGTCCCCTTCCGCACCGTTCTCCGGCAGCCGCTTAAAATAGCCAAGAGCTCAGCTGGTAAACAAGCTGCCCGTGGGCGCCTGCCAGGGGCCTGCAGTGCCTGGGCCGGGTCGAGGCGGGCAGGAGAGCTGCCACTAGGGCCATCTCCAGCGGCCGCTCAGCTGAGTGCGGCATCCTGGGAAGGTCCGTCCACACCCTGCAGACAGGACTCAGCACCCCAGCACCATGCCCAGATCCAGGAAGGGAAGGCCAGAGCTGAGGGTCACCTCTGCATGTGGAGGGCTGGGGGGCTCGAACCCCGGCCCAGCTGTGCTGGGGGCCCCTTCAGCCCAGTCTCCCTGGTACAGCACAGCCCGGACCCGGAGCCAAGTCCATGCTGTCCTGAAACCTGGCCGTGTGTCAGGTGCATCTCCCTGTCCCAAGGGCCACGGCGGGGACACGGGCTCTGGCCACAGACATTTGAGGCCGCCCTGCCCCATCACACCCAGTGAGCCGTGAGGTGTAGAGGGCAGAAATAGTAATTTCGGGGCTGGAGCAGTAGCACAGCGGGTATGATGTTTGCCTTGCACACAGCTGACCCAGGTCCAATCCCTGGCATCCTGTAGGGTCCCCTGAGCACCGCCATGAGGGATCCCTGAGCATCGCCAGGTGCGACCCACAGGCCAAAAGAAGAAATATTAACTTTAATATCAAAGTCATTCATATCAGTGAAAAACCATGCCCCACCCCCACTTAAAATCCCTGTTGCCAGCAGGCCCCGCTGCTGGGGGGGGGGGTTGGGTAGCACCGACTCGGGGCCCGCGGGGGCTGCCGCAGACTTCCCCAGCAGAAGAGAAACTGCAGCGAGGGCCACAAAGGGGAAGAAGCTGCGTCGCTCACGTCACCTGGTGGCGGCTCTCACCCCCAGCTGGGCGCTCAGGGGAGGCACTGGGGGACAGGAGGGAACCGAGAAGGAGCAGCGGCCACGGGGCCGGGCGGCTCAGTGGGCAGGGCTGCACTGCAGGATGTGGTGGGGGGCAAAGAGCTTCCTGGCTCCCGTGGGCTCGGTCCAGCCCAGTGCCGGGCAGTTCTCCTTATTGTCGGGGTCATCGGGCGCAGCCGGTGGCGGCGTCTTCTTGAAGTAGCAGGGCCGGCACACGGAGTGGTACTTGTCTGCTCCCCCAATGACCTCCACCTGGGGGAGGGAGGCCGGGTCTAAGGGAGGCCGGCGCCCCCGCCCCGCGCCTGGGTGGGCGGCACCTACCTCCTTCTCCACACCCAGCCGCTTGGTGTAGGCCGCCTCGCGGAAGCACTGCATGCATACAGCCGTCAGCTTCACCACGCTCTCGGCCAGGGGCACCAGGTTCAGAATGTTCCCGAAAGCCTGCAGGCCCACCAAGAGACGGCAGGGGTGCACATGGGTCCGGGGGACAGGGTCCTCTGGACAAAGCCCAGACAGACGCTCAGGGACCCCCGCCTCCACCTGGCTCCCAAGGCCCGGACCCCCGTACCTTCCTCTGGAAGGTGCCATCCAGGGCAGCCACGATCACTGTCTTCCCGGCATTGGCCATGGTCTCGCTGAAGTCCACGATGTCGGGGAACTGGGGGGAGAGATTGGGCCTGAATGGACATGCGTGGGCCCCCTGCCAGGGCAGCTTCCTGTGCATCATGGCCCAACACTGCAGTGACCGGCGGTGGCTCTGCCAACCCAGGTCCAACCCCCCACCCCCCGTGACCTTGGCTACGATGCTGTTTCCTTTGCTCCTGGTTTCCAGTTGCTCGGAGGTACTTGGGGCTCTGCTCTGCGGCCACTCCTGCACCCCCTATGCTGCCCTCCTGCCTGAGCTGTTCTCCCCCCCGCCCCGACACTGTAGGGCAGTGGGGGGGCACAGGGGCCACACCCCAGGCAGAGCCTGTTGACCCGGTACTGGAATTTCCTTCAAGTGGCCGGGGTGAGTGGCTACTTTAGCAAGCCTCAGGCGCCGGGCCCGGCTCTGGGAAGTGCCCAGTGACTCAGAACGACCGAGCGGCTTCAGCTGGGGGCCCGGGGTCCCCGTGCTTGCCAGGTGTGACCTCCGAGCACAGAGCCAGAGTCAGGCCTGAGCATGGCCGTTGGGACAAGTACAACCAGCCAGGGGGCGCACTTACAAACTGGCCCTCATCGATGCCTATGACGGCCACACTCATGGCATCCTGGGTCACATCTCGGAGCTGGCAGGCGGGCAGTGCCTCCATGGTGTTCCTGCAGGGGCGGAGCAGGGCATCAGTGCCAGCCCATGCGTGGGAAGGAGGCGCAAAGGCCCTGGCACAATGACCCAGTCACCCCCCCAACACACCCCGTGGTTTTACCAGGCACTGTGGCTGGGCCGGAGTCAGCTGACATCATGAGGTCAGCTCCATCACTCTGCCCGTGGGCAGAGCAAGCTGGCCCTTCCAGAGCCTTGGATGCTCTAACTTTTAAAAACTGATTTTTGCAGGAAGGGAGGAGCTTGCTAAGCAGTTATCGTGGGCCAGGGGCCACCAGGGAATGCATTTGGGTCCTGCCTGAGGCCCTGGAACTGTCCCAGGCTCAAAAGAGCAGCTTTTGGGGGAGGGGGCATTCCTGGAGGCGAGTGGGCAGTGTAGGGATGGTGTTGAAACAATGTGTGAAACCATGAGTAACTGTAATCTCACTAAATGAAAAGTATATAAGGGGCTAGAACTCTGGTGCAGCCTGAAGAGCATTTGCCTAGCACACAGCTGACCAGGGTTCGATCCCCGGCACCCCATAGGGTCTCCCGAGCATCACCAGGAATAATTTCTGAGTGCAGAGCCAGGAGTAACCCCTGAGCATCGCCAGGTGTGGCCACAATAAATAAATACGTAAAAAAAAAAAAAAGCAGTTTTTGTGTTGTTTTGTGACCATTCCTGAAAGTGCCCCAAAAAGCAGAGTTGTTTTGGGACTGGAGCAATAGTAGAGCAGGGAGGGTGTTTGCCTTGCATGAGGCCGACCTGGGTTCGATCCCTGACATCCCATAGGGACCCCAAGCACCGCCAGGAGTGATTCCTAAGTTCAGAGCCAGGAGTAACCCGAGAATGGCTGGGTGTGACCCAAAAAGTTAAAAGTTGTTTTTAAGAAGGGTGAGGCAGATTAGGGCTGCATCTAGCAGGGCTCTGGGAGCCGTAAGCGGAGCCAGGGATCCAACCCAGAGTCTGCCACGTGCAAGGCAGGGGCCTGACCTCCTGCACGATCTCTCCAGTCCATAAAAAGCAGGATTTTAATGTGACAGACTATATTATACATTTGCCTTTCTATAGTTATGTAGTCATAATTTTTTTTCTGGGGGGGGGGGTCACCCAGCAGTGCTCAGCAGACCATATGCGATACCAGAAATTGAACCCAGGTCAACAGTGTGCAAGTCAAGCACCTTCCTCCCATACTCTCTGCCAGTGAGTCTTTCCTCACTGAGGAAGGGGCCACACCAAGCAGCAGCGTCAGCCTTGGTGTGGGACCCGAGACCGTCAGTCACAGTGAGCAGGAAGATCCCCCTCCCCTGAGCCCCGAGTCTTCCTGAGCGCCAGCCCCCACCCAGGTTCCCAGCACCCAGGCTCCAGCCGGCAGAGCTTGGAAGCGAGAGCGCGAGGGGGTCCTCCAGTGCTGCACGCCCCCAGGGATGCTCCATCTGGGTCCGCTTCCCTGTCGCCTGTCCCCCTCTCGGCCCTCTCCTCTGCGCTTGCCTCCAGCCCAGGAGTCTCCTGCAGGCTTCGAAGGCGAGACTGTCCCGGGTCTCGCTGGGTCTCCGGCGCTGGCACGAAGCAGCATGTCACAGACGTTCCAGCCCCTTCTCTGCCCCAGTTAAAATGGGAGGCAAAACTCTGGCCTGTCATGGGCAGCGTGCGTCCACAGGACACTGGGTCACAGAGGCCTGGCCCCTGGGGAGGGCCTGTGGCTCTGGGCAAGCTGGGATGGGACCCGGATCTCCTGACTCCACCTTTTCCATCACCCCCCAGGGACTGCCGCTACACCCCACACTCGGCTCTCAAAGCGGCTCACCCCCAACTGCCCCTAACTCTGGGCACCACTGCCCTGGCTCCCTGCAGCCACAGGCAGGCAGGCCGGGCCCACAACTGGGCTGCCCGGGGCAGGGGCAGACTGCTGAGCCCACAGGAGGTGGGGGGGGGTCACTGGAGTCCCCTCCCCTCCCCTGGGTTGGCAGCAAGACAGCACCTAGAGGCCCAGGGCAGAAAGGAACTCGCCTGGTTCCATCCCCAGAACCTCACGGGTTCTCTGAGCACTGCTAGGGGGCACTTTAGAGTCCCCAGTGGGACAGGTGTGATTCCTCAGGTCCCTAGAAAAAGGGCCAGAGGGGCAGGACCACAGTGAGGAGGGCGTTTGCCTTGCACGTGGCCAACCCGGGTTGGATTCCCAGCATCCCATATGGTCCCCTGAGCACCGCCAGGGGTAATTCCTGAGCGCAGAGCCAGGAGTAACCCCTGTGCATCACCGGGTGTGACCCAAAAAGGAAAAAGAAAAAAAAGGGGGGCTAGAGGGGCCAGAGAAGAGGTAGGAGAGCAGGGAGGGTGCTGGCCTTGCATGGGACAGACCTGGGTTCAAGCCCAGCCCAAAGATCGTCCCCGGAGTCCTGCCAGGAGTGATCCCTGAGTACAGGGCAAGAGTGAGCCCTGAGCACTGGGTGTGACCCCAAACAAACAAAGGAGCTAGACAGCATGTAGGGGCCCCAGGTTTAGTCCCCGGCAACACACACTTATGGTCCCCAAGCCTTGCCGGGTGTCACTCAAGCACAGAACACGCAACAGTCCCTGAGCAGATGGGTCTGGTCCCCAAACATGCTTTCCCCAAAATGGGTGACAGAGCACGTAGGAGCCAGGGTCCAACCCTGATCCCGCGGGGTCCCTAGCACCAAAGTGTGGCCTCAAACCCCTCACACACAGCAGAAGAAAACCCAACACGGGCGAACCCAGACTAGCCCACTTGCCTGTGCCCACCCATCCTTCAGGGGTTCCTGTGTGCTGGGGGACTGGCCACTGGCCACTTCCTTCCTGCTCGCCCGGGGTGACTGGGGCCCAGGTGTCATGGGGCCTCACACAGGACAGGGATCGCCTGATTCTGACAGTGTCCAGACATTGCCTGGGTCCTGGGGCAAACGACTGCCAGCGAGTGTCCACCCCTCCCCTCGCAGGCCACGCCCCCACCCACTTCAGGGCTCGGTCTGTACCCAGCATCTCTCCGCCCACTTCCCCAGAGACCGCGGGACAGGGCAGCACTGACCGGTCGTGGGTGGAGAAGTGGGTGCTGTACCGCGTGTCTTTGGCGTACTTGACCACCAAGCACTTGTACTGGGCGATCTGGAAGCGGCGGACGCGTCTCATCAGCTCGGTGCTGCAGAGGCAAGGCGGAGCATCAGCACCCCAGTTCCGGACCCGGTTGCGGGGGTGGGGGGGCAGCCTGAGCCCCCCCCCCCCCGCCAGGAGCCTGGGCCTGCTGGAAGTCTCTGGGATGGGACGGGAGGCGGGTAAGTTCTCTGCTAAGCAGAGCAGAGGGGGGCGAGAGGGCTGCCAAAGCAATCCCATCCTGGACCCTGTGAACGCCACAGACGCTTTCCAGGCAACAGAAGACAGTCAGGGATTCGGCAGGGAGGGCGCTCGCCCGCGGTCGGTCCCCCCAGGCATCCCGCAGGACCCCCTGAGCACCATCAGGAGTGCTCCCCGAGCACAGGGCCAGAAATAAGGCCGGAGCCCCGCCCCCCCGACGGATCGCTGGACCACAAAGTGACTCAAGCGTGAGCAGGCCCGCGTGTCTAGGCGGGAAGGAAGAAGGCGGGATGCGATGGACGGCCCCCAGGACTGGGTGAGGTCCAGCAGGCAGCTGGGAGCTGGGGAGGGGCAGGGAGGGGCAGGAGGGCCCAGGCGGGAGGCGGGAGGCGGCCTCCACCCGGTGGCTTCCCGGAGGGGCTAAAGGGGGCCTCTGGGTGGGGGGTCTCCGGGCGATGTAGATGCAGGGGGCTGGGGAGGAGCCGGCTCCAGGACGCGGGGGGCGACGGGGGGCGAGGAGGTGGCCCAGCCCCCGTCCCTGCACGTCCTACCTTTTCCCTGAGAACATGGGTCCGAGGATCACCTGAGAGGAAAAGGAGAAGCCTCTTGGGGTCCGCTCTCCCCGGACGCCGGGGCCCGACCCCCGCGCGCTCCGGCCACGGCCCCGGCGCCCGCACCTGGATTTGGCCCCGGGTCTTGCTCGGGGAGCCGGGAAGCACGGTGGGCAGGTTGACGCAGCTCATGGTGCCTGGGGAAGCCGGTGGGACGCGGACCCTCTGCAGTTGCAGACACGCGAGCGCGCGCCGGTTCCCGCCCGCCTGACTATATGGCTCGGCGCGCTGGCCAATCGGGAGCCGGCGCCGCCTCCCCGGAGCCAATCGCCGCGCGACCTCGGGACCGGCGGGAGATTTGTCTGAAGCCCGCCCTCTAGGGGGCGGAGCCGCGAGCGCGCGGGGCTTGGTGGGCGGGGTCTCGTGGGTGGGTGGGCGGGGTCTCTGGGCGGGGCTGGAGAGGCCCGCCCCGCCCGCCAGTATAACTGGGCGTACCGGCAGCAAGGTTAAGGATGCTCCTTGACCTTACCTGTGTGTCCTTTCTGTTGTTGAACCGGAGCGTGAACTAGGGCCTCAACGCATTCAAGGCAAGTGCTCTCCCGCAGCTATATACCGGTGCTGAAGACTGCAGCATGGCTCTCTCCCGCTTTGCTTCCTGGAAGGAGATGACTAAAGAGGTAAGTGGTATTGCATGCACTGTGGACATTGGGGGAGCGAGGGTTAGAGAGTAGGTGGGCGTCCAGCGGGGAAAGCAGAGAAGCCTGAGACTGCACCTGCCCCCGGACTGCCCGGAGCCTCCCAGAAACTTCTAGCAAATTTTCTCTTTCTCTTCTGTCTGTCATCTCGCTGCTGGTAGCCTGATTTTCAGGGCCCAGGAAATAGAAATTCCAACTCTTTTGCTGTCTGCGGCACCGCCAGAGGTCGGGGTGAGGTTCAGCCTTGCGGTTAAGTGTGAGGTTAAGCAACTGTGTGTGCACATAGTGGAAAGAGGTGGGGACACTGGTACTCACTGCGGGGGGTGGGGGGATGCCGTGAGGGTTGGACACTCGCGCAGAGCTTAGTCACTCACCTGAGGATCTGGTGAGAGGGAAAATAGCCCCCAAGAAAGCTCGGGAAAGTCCTCCCATTCGTGCTCTGTCTCTGCCAGCTCTCGCCTGTGCAGACTCTAGAAGCCCACTGTGCCCCCATCCATGTCTGGGGCCCTTAAGGTTAAGCAACAGCGGAAGGACATTGGTACTCACTGCAGGGGGTGCCGTGAGGGTTAGACACTGTGCAGAGCTTGGTCACCTGAGGATCTGGTGAAAGGGAAACAGCCCCCAAGAAAGCTCGAGAAAGTCCTTCCGTCTGTGCTGTCTCTGCCAGCCCTCCCCGCCGGAGGAACTCTACACTGCTCCCCCATCCGACTGCCTGATGTCTTTGAACCTTGTCAAGCTGCTGCCCGTGGGAGAGCTGGGGCCAGTACATTGCTGTCGTGCCCCTCTGTTCCTGGCCTCCTTCGAGTCGGAAACCTCCATCCTTTGAGCTTTTCCCCCTAAATCTGAGTCCTCACTCCTCTCCCAGGAAGGCCGAACCTTTGAGTCCGGCATGTGAGCCAGCCCAGATTCCCAGTTATCTGCTTCTGTGAAAATTCCGAACTGACCTTTGTCCTCCCCAGTGACAGATTTCTTGGCAGAGGAGAGTGGGGAGTGCCGGGCAGGCTGAGACCCAGGGAGTCCTCAGGCAAAGAGGCCCAGGTGCTGGGGGGCAGCGGGGCCACGCGGTCTGGGGAACAGAGCTCTTACAAGTCTGTGTCTGGCCCGCAGGAGCTGGAGATCCAGTACACCCCCAGCAAGTGGGTGGTCCGGCGGGAACCGGCTGAGGCCCTGGAGACCTTTACACGATTGGGAGTCCAGGGTACTTGGGGCGTGGTCATTGCCTGGACTTTGGCCTGAGGCAGGGAGTGGGAGGGAGCATAGCCTGCAGGCCACAGCGTTGGGGGGGTGGGGGAGAATAAAGCAGGCTGGAGCCAGAGAGATAGGACAGTGGGGAGGGTGCTGGCCATGCACACGGCCGACCTGGCTTTGATCCCCAGCACCCATATGGTCCCCCAAGACCTACCAGGAGTGAATCCTGAGTGCAGAGTCAGGAGTAACCCCTGAGCATCGTTGGGTGTGACCCAACTCCTTCCCCCCAAAATATTCACACACACAACTCATCTAAAAAAATAATTGTATTCATCCTTAACAGCATAAACTTGCAATGGGAGATATTCTCTTCTGTTAGTTTGTTTTTTTCTTTTTGGGTCACACCTGGCGAAGCTCAGGGGTGACTCCTGGCTCATGCACTCAGGAATCACTCCTGGCGGTGCTGAGGGACGCTGGGAATTGAACCTGGGTTGTCCTCAAGCAAGGCAAACGCCCTCCCCACTGAACTATCACTCCAGCCCCTATATTCTCTTCTAACGACTGTCACCTTTGAGGCCGGAGCGATAGTACAGCGGGTAGGGCGTTTGCCTTGCTTGTGGCCCACCCAGGTTCGATTCCCAGCAACCTGTAGGGTCCCCAGAGCACCGCCAGGAGTGATTCCTGAGTGCAAAGCCAGGAGTAACCCCTGAGCATCGCTGGGTGTGACCCAACAAAGCAAAAAAAGAAAAAAAAATCACAGAAAAAAAAAAAAAGACTGTCATCTTTATCTCCGGAATCCTGGATCCCACGGGCTGGGAGTGGCGCGAGCTGGGAGTGGCGCGGTCGCAGTCCCGGCAGGATAGGACACGCGACAGCCCCGGCTCAGCTCTTCGCTGCAGAAACACGCGCAGAACCAGCAGCAGCGCGCGCTCCCGGGGCTGGCACCGTGCAAAGACCGTCCCGGCTCAATCACCAGTGGGGTGGGCGGAGCCTCCCAGGCCGCGTCCCGGGGGGGGGGGGGGGGGGGCAGTCAGCAGCGGGGTGGGCGGAGCCTCTCGACGGCCGCTGCTGCGGACCGGGAAGCCCAGGCCGGTTGACCTCTGCCCTCCGCGGGGTTTGGCTTTTCCCTCTCGACCAGAGTTAAGCCAGAGAGGAAAGAGAGGTACGCAGGGCGAACCCCTGCTTTGTCTTGTGCTAACCAACGTGGCCTGCACACAGTCCAGGCACCTGGCTCATCCGGGCCACGCACTTCTGCCCGCCCAGCTGCAAAACGTCCTCATCTCGCCCTGCAAGCCCAGAGCTGGGGCGTCCGCCTGAGCGCTGTCTGGGCTCCCTCTACCCTGCTGGTGGACTGGTGGACGGGGTGTGCGGCTTATCCGCATGTTCCGAGTTTTCGTTTGAAAGCTTGCTTGCTTGCTTGCTTTTCTTTTCTTTCCTGGGAATCGAACCCGGGTCGGCTGCTTGCAAGGCAAACAAACACCTTCCCCGCTATGCTATCGGTCCAGTCCAGCCCAGCCCCAGGGGTTACTTCTGGTTCTGTACTCAGGAATTACTCCTAACCTTGTTTGAGGACCATTTGAGATGCTGCGGATCGAACCCGGGTCAGCCACATACAGGGCAAGCACCCTACCTGCTCTTACTATGACTCTGGCCCTTCTTTCTTTCTTTCTTTTGGGGGTCACACTCTGCAGTGCTCAGGGGTTTACTCCTGGATCTGTACTCAGGGGTCACTCCAGGTGGTGCTCAGTAGACCAAAAGGGATGCCAGGAATCGGATGGAACCCAGGTTGCCTTGTGCAAAATGAGTGCCCTGCCCACTGCACTCCAGCCAGAAAGCAAAACTCATTCTGGAAGTTTGTTTGTTCATTATTTGTTTGTTTGTTTTGGGGGCCACACCCAAAGATGCTCAGGGCTTACTCCTGGCTCATGCATTCAGAAATCACTCTTGGCAGTGCCCAGGGGACCATATGGGGTGCCGGAGATCAAAGCTGAGTCAATCACATACAGGGCAAGAAGTCCCTTGCCCACTGTGCTATCACTCCATCCTCTCACGCTCTCTTGCTCGCTCTCCTTCCTCCCTTTCTTTCTATTCTTTCCTTTTCTCCATTTTGGTCTACACCTGGCAGTGCTCAGGGCTGACTCCTGGCTCTGCGCTCTTGGCCGTGCTCAGGGGATCGTATGGAATACTTGGGGAGAGAAGCCAGGTTGCGCATGCAAGGCAAGTGTTCTACCAGCTGTACCGTCACTCTGGCCCCTCACCAACATCTTTTTGTTGTTTTTGTTTTTTTGTGTGTTTAAAAAGTGCGGGGGTGGGGCTGGAGTGATAGCACAGTGGGTAGGGCATTTGCGTTGCACACAGCCAACCCGGGTTCGATTCCCAGCATCCCATATGGTCTCCTGAGCACCCCAGGAGTAATTCCTGAGTGCAGAACCAGGAGTGACCCCTGAGTATCACCGGGTGTGACCCAAAAAGCAAAAAGCCAAGCTGGTTGATGATCGGCCGCCATTTATTCTAATCTCAATTCCGCTGTTATCCCATCCTCCCCCATGTGCCCCATTCCAGCCTCTGTCCGCACCTCATTTCGTCTCCCCCTGCCCAGTGTTGAAGCCTTAGTCGTGGACCCAGTCCCTGAGTTGGGGGGAGCCAGTACACATATGTGAGGCTGCACAGTCAACAGATGGAAATCAATCAAGATGGAAAGTCCTCCCCTCAAGGGAAGCTTCTTCTAGGAGAAATTCTCATCCTGCAAGGAGATCCGCTGAAGGACAGAATACCACCTAGGGACGTATTTCTCCTTAGTCCATATCCATTGAAGTGGTCATCTTAAATTCACTTGTTTTTTTGGGGGACTGGAGCGATAGCACAGCGGGTAGGGCGTTTGCCTTGCACATGGCTGACCTGGGTTCAATTCCCAGCATCCCATATGGTTCCCTAAGCACTGCTAGGAGTAATTTCTGAGTGCAGAGCCAGGTGTAACCCCCCCAAAAAAATTTTTTTTCTTTTTGGGTCTCACCCGGTGATGCACAGGGATTACTCCTGGTTCATGCACTCAGGAATTACTCCTGACAGTGCTCAGGGGACCACATGAGATGCTGGGAATCGAACCTGGATCGGCTGCTTGCAAGGCAAATGCCCTACCCGCTATGCTATTGCTCCAGCCCCTTAAATTTACTTCTTGATAATATTTTTGGTCATTTTGTATGGACACAGTAAGAGATATATTAAGCTTAAGGGGTGGCTCTCCTGGATTTCTCTCACTATAGACCCCAGACTACAGCCCTCAGGCCAGGTTAGTCCTTCCCAACCCCAGCAGGGTCCTTATTCAGTTACTTCTTTTTGGGTCATGACAGAGTTTGTTCCATGAGCGTGCTCTTAACTTAAACATTTTATGGTGCGTGGCCTGGCCCTTTTTGATTCCAGGGTAGCTCACAGCTTGCCCTGAGTCCATCCAAGTTCCTTCGTTGGGCCCCTCCTTCTGGGGTGCTAGGAACTGAGGGCAATTAAGGTGTAAGTTGAGTGAATATGACAGATGCCCAGGAGTAAATATTATTCTGAGTGAAAATTAACTCCCAAGTTACTAAAGTATAGTATTAACTGTCTTCCTGTGTCGCTACAAAAAGGACATTTCTCTAAAGGAAACTGTGCAAAGGACATAAGGGAAAGAGAAAAGCAATATTTCACTGGCATATACAAAATCCAAAGTCCTTAGAAGAATGTGACTTTACAAGTCACAGTGGCCGATTTTGGGGATGTAGTGATTAACAGATAGGGGAAGCAGAGCAGAAAGGGGAGGTCAAAGATAAACACAGAGGAAGGGGAGTGCCTTGGGAGCATTGAGATGGGTATAAATCAGTAAACCCAAACTCCTGGCAAGGGAGAAAGAACAAACCAATGTTCTCCAATGTGTATGATTTTTTGTTTGGGGGCCACAACTGGCAATACTCAGGGGTTCCGCCTCGTTCTGCACTCAGAAATCACTCCTGGCGGTGCTCAGGGAGCACGTGGGATGCGGAGGATTGAACCTGTTGGCTAACACCCTCCCGGCTGCACCTTTTCTCCGGCCTCATCACCCCTGTTGGATCGGCAGCAAACTCCAGGGTGCTGGAGCTTTAAGCCAGCGGCTGCTCTGCCCCTGCGGTGGCTGTTTGAGGAAACTATTGTTCTCTGGTTACAAAAGGAACTTGGCTGCTGAAAGGACTTAAAACATAAAGCTCTGTTTTATTAATTCCACACCCACCCGACCTCTGTGGATGTGGTTTGTTTTAGGTCTCTTTTGTGTGGATAACTTCAGTCCTGTTTGAAGTAGTGTAACTAACTGCCAAAACAGTTTTTGTTGTCTGTGGCCCATACCTGGCAGTGCCCTGGGGACTGGGTGGTGGCCAGAACTGCCCAGCGGCTCCTGGGTGCAAACGTGGGCAGTGACCCTGGGCTGCTTCTCCTGCCCCTCACAGCTGTTTCTTTCTTTTTTTGTGGGAGAGAAGTTGGGCCATACCCACTGGTGTCAGGGGTGCTCCTGGCTCTGCTCAGGGGAGAGCCTGGCTGTTTGGGGACCACAGGCGGTGCTGGGGATTCAAACCAGGGTCAGCTGCAGACAAAGCAAATGTCTGTCTCTAGTCGCTGGTCAGTCCTAGCCACCACCCAGTCTCCAGGGCACTGCCAGGTATGGCCCACAGACATGACTGGCCCTCGTCATGGGTGTTGGGGCCATACCTGGTGGTGCCAACTCCCGGACCTGTACTCAGGGATCACTCCTGCAGGGCTCAGGGGACCATCTGGGGCACTAGAGATTGAACCGGGTCAGCAGCATGCAAGGCAAATGCCTTGTCGCTGTACTAGCACTGTTGTTTTGTTGGTTTTGGTTGGTGTGGTGCTGTGGGGACTCTCCCAACAGTGCTCAGGGGAGCATGTGGTGATGTCCTGAGTATGAGCTCCAGCCTTTGAGCTGCCTCACAACCTAAAAAGAGCTTCTCAGGGCAGGAGCCCAGCACAGGGAAAGGTGCTGGCCTCGCATGCACACAGATCCAGCTCGAACCCTGCCCCCACATGTGGTCCCCTGAGCAAGGAACCAGGAGTGAGCTCTGAGCACCAAGGGTGTAGCCCCCAAAAGCAAAACAAAAAAGACAGTGTCTTGCATGCATGCAGTCACCCCAATTTAGTCCCTAGCCCCACATGGTCCCCCAGGATTCCCCAGTGTACCCCTGGAATTTCCTTAGCTCCCCGGGGTGTGATCTAGAGGCCCCCACGCATAGATGGGGACACCCAGGCAACCCCCAGTCCTGGCTGCTTGGTCTGGTCGGCAGAGAACCACTGGCCCTGGGTCCTCCGGGCAATACTTGGCAGCCTTCTGAGGCTGGAGCAATAGCACAGCGGGGTGGGCGTTTGCCTTGCACGCGGCCGACCCAGGCTCAATTCCCAGCATCCCATATGGTTCCCCGAGTACTGCCAGGAGTAATTCCTGAGTGCAGAGCCAGGAGTAACCCCTGTGCATCGCAGGGTGTGACCCCCCCCAAAAAACTTGGCAGCCCCCTGCCCCCCCAACATTCATAACTGAAAATAACTAAAATATGCAAGCAGGTACTTTTTTTTTTTTTGCTTTTTGGGTCACACCCGGTGATGCACAGGGGTTACTCCTGGCTCTGCACTCAGGAATTACTCCTGGCAGTATTCGGGGGACCATGTGGGATGCTGGGAATTGATCCCGGGTCGGCCTGGTGCAAGGCAAATGCCCTATCCGCTGTGCTATTACTCCAGCCCCACAAGCAGGTACATTTACATGCATGTTCCTAATGTCTATTCATGGCAGCCCTGGGGGTAGGAGCCCCTGTGTCCAGAAGCAGATGAAGCTGAGAGGGCAGTGGGGTCTATCAGAAGCACATTTCTCTCGGGGGTGTTCAAGCCCCTGAACATGGCGGAGACCCTTCAGGCTTGGCACTCCCTGAGCGGTTCCCCCTTGAGGGTCTCTTTCTCCCCCCCCCCACCCCGACACAGTGAAGTGGACAGAAATACTGGCCCCTGGCGGTGGGCTGGACAAGGAACCTGTGCTTGTGCAAAGCTCCTAGCCCCGGCCTGATTATGGGGGTCAGGTTGGTGTTCCTGGGGGCTGCCCGGTTCCCCCAAAAGGGCTTGCAGCCAAAGGGCAGAAAGGGACTCAGAGACAGGCATGAGATGACTGCTGTTGTGTTGTCTTGTGGGGATCCCGCACCTGGCACTCGGGGGTCACTCCTGTGGCTTTGGGGGGCCGTAGGAGCTGGTGGGGATCCGGTGGGGTTGACCGTGCGCCAGGCCAGCGCTGTGCTGCTGAGCCATGGCCCCGGGCCCTCGACTGCTACCCTGAGCATCCTGTCATTCCTGCCAGCCACCACGCAGGCCCGGGCCACCCAGAGGAACGAGGTGGACGTGCCTTACGGGGCGGGGGAGCTCGAGAAGATGGACATCTACTTTCCCAAGGACGGGCCCGAGGGTGAGCCCCAGCCGACACGTGCCCCCCCCACCTCACCCCCACCCCTGGGCCGGCTCCCCACCTGACGCGTGGCCTGTCTCTGCCTTGCAGCCTGGCCTGTCTTTGTGTTCTTCCACGGCGGGTACTGGCAGGGCGGAAGGTGAGCCAGGGACTGGGGTGGCTGGGCAGGGGGGTCCCTCCGGGTGAGCTGGCTGAGCTGCTCTGCCACCTGAACTTCTTTTCCTCCCAGCCCAGGGGACCCGGTAGGGGCTAAGGGGGCTTAGCCCCATCCCCTGTGGAAGGTTCCAGAGAGAACCTCAGGGGTGCCCTGCAGCTGCCAGGCCCCCAGATCTCACCTGGCTTGTGCCACTGTCCACCCAGCACCGTCGCCCCGGCTGCCCCACACGTCTGGGCCCCCAACCTCCCGCCCTGCTGCCCTAGTCCAGCTGGGTCACAGCAATTGTCCCCGCTTTGTGAGCAGACGTCGAGGCCCCACTCTGGACACCCCAGCCTGAGCACTGTTGCCCGAGAGTAGCCCCGAGTTCGCCCCAGCTGACCAACAGATCAGCAGCCCTTGGTTTGTTATTTAGCTGGATTTGGGGTCACACCTGGTTGTGCTCGGGCCTTGCTCCTGGCTCTGCACTCAGGGACTCTCTGGGGTGCGGGGAGTGGCACCTGGGCTGGCCGTTTGCAAGACCCGAGCCCTCCCAGCTATGCCATGGCTCTGGCCCCATGCTTAGCACTCTTTCTCTGGGACATTTGGGCCTCACCCCGCAGTGCTCCAGGAGGATCGGGGGCCGGTCTTGGCTGTTCTCGGGAGTGACCCCTGGTGGTGTTGGGGACCCAGCCGGGCCGGCCTCACCTCAGGTCTGGCGCATGCAAGGACCCGGCTCTTAGGGGCTGCATCTGGGGGTGGCAGATCCCCGGGGCCTGGCGAGCAAGTGAGAAAGGACCAGGGGACCCAGGGGTGGGGTGGGTGGGCGTCTGTGGGAGCAGAGAGTCCTGGGGGCCACGCTCTCGCTAGCTGCCCGTCCCCGTGCCCAGCCCGGCTCTCCTCATCCCTCTCACTTTCCGGAAGCGGCTCCCAGAGGACCCTGGCCCCGATGTCCCCTTGGCCCCGTCCCCCAGAGGATGGCAGAGTCTGTGCCCACTGCTGACCCCCTGCCCAGTGCTCTGCTCTGTCTCCTGCAGTAAGGATGAGTCGGCTTTCATGGTCCAGCCACTGACCACCCGGGGGGTGACCGTGGTCATCGTGGGCTATCAGATCGCCCCTGTGGGTAAGGAGGGTCCTGAGGGGTCAGGGGGCCTTGGGGCCTTTCCTGAACCCCCTTGCTCACCTCAGCCCCCTGCACCCACCCCTGTGCATTGTGACCTTGGTCCAGACCCTAAACCCCCAACCCCGTGTTCCCCCCTTGACCCCTGACACTGTGCTCCTGACCCTTGACCCTATACCCTCACTCTGACCCCTGATCCTGTGCCCCTTCCCCCGGCTCTGTGCCCCAATCTGACCCCTGACCTGGTGCCCCTTTCCCCGCGCCCCTGACCCCATGCCCCCTGAACCCAACCCTTTGCCCCTCTCTGACCCCTGACTCTGTGCCCCTGACCCCTGTCCCCTACAGGCACCCTGGACCTGATGGTGGAGCAGGTGACCCGGAGCCTCGTGTTTCTCCAGCAGCGGTTTCCAGATAACAAGTAGGTACCCCCGTCCCTGAGACCTTGTCCCTGCACTTCAATTTCTGGGGGACCGGGCGGGTTGGAGGATGCGAACCCCAGGCCGCAGGGGCGCCCAGTGCCAACTCGTTGTCTGGCCCTGCCCAGGGGAATGTATCTGTGTGGACACTCGGCTGGGGCCCATCTGTTGGCCATGATGCTCCTGGTGGACTGGACCAAGCAGCGGGTCTCCCCCAACTTCCGAGGTTTGGGGGGCAGCCTGGGAGGGCAGCCCTCCCCACACGGGGGTCTCAGGCGAGCCCACCATGGCCCCTGAGCCCGGGGCGGCCCCGTCCTTCCTGCAGGCTTCTTCCTGGTGAGCGGAATCTACGACCTGGAGCCCATCACGTACACGTCCCACAACGACCTTCTCTCCCTGACCCTGTGAGTGCCTCCCCCTCGTCCCCCCTTCCCCCCCTTGCCAGCCAGGCTGGCCTCGCCTGACCCAGGCCCCCGCCGCAGGGAGGATGCCCGGAGGAACAGCCCACAGCAGCGCCTGGCGGACGCCCAGAACATCCCGCAGCAGCATCTGCAGGACCCCCAGAACATCTCACAGCAGCATCTGCAGTACCCCCAGAACATCCTGCAGCAGCGCCTGGAGGCCACGCGGGCCCCGCCCATGTACCCGTCCCTCCGGCTCCTGGTCATCGTGGGCGAGAATGACTCCCCAGAATTCCACCAACAGTCCCAGGAGTTTAATCAGGTTCTCCAGCACCCCCCAGAGCAGCCCAGAACCTTCTCTGCTATTCCGTACATCGCACCCCCCCCCCCACGCGTGTCCCTCTCAGAGCCCCCGACCCCAGCCGGGCCTCACGCGGCATCTTGCCCACTTCCTCCCTAGGTGCTGCGCCGGGTGGGGTGGGAGGCCAGCTTCCAGGAGCTGCCGAAGCTGGACCACTTTGAGATCATATGGGAGTTCATGAAGCAGGACTACAGGCTGAACCAGGTGGGGGGCCGCCAGGGCAGGAAACCCAGCCCCGGGTCACTGCTGGGGACCCACTCAGGAAAACGGGGGGCACGAGGGTGGCAGCTGAGTTTCTCTTTTACTTTTTTTGAGTGGTGTTTGTTGGCGGGGGGCCACCACAACTGGCCACCCCTGGCGGTGCTCAGGGCTGACTCCCGGCTCTAGACTCAGGGCTCACTCCGGTGGGCTCAGGGCCACATGGGGTGTCGGATTCACCTGGTCGGCCGCATGCCAGGCCTTACCCGCTGTCTCTCTCTCTGGCCCTGCAGATTATTCTGGAAACGATCTTCCAGGGGCCCTGATGGCACCCCAGCCGGCTGCACCCTGCTTGCGTGGCGTCCCCTTCTTCGTCACTGTCTCCTCTCTGCTTTGAGCACAAGACAGGGCCCCTGCCTGGATGGGGGTCCGGGGGGGCCTGGGAAGTCCAAACTGTCCCCACCAGCTATGCCTGCTTGGGCACACACAGATAGTCCAGCTCTCGACCTGTTTGGTAAGATGCCCCTCCCCCCGGCCCAGTACCACTGATGAGTATAAATGGTTGAGCACAGCAGGAAAGAACAGAGCACGTATTTTGTCGCCAGAATGGAAGATGACCAGTGACACTGGACGGTGTCCCCAGACCTAAAATACATGGCCACGGGTTGGAGAGAGATAATAGGGGGGAGGGCGCTTGGTTGAATGTGGCAGACCCGGGTTTGATTCCCGGAATCCCATATGGTTCCCCAAGCCCCACCAGGAGTGAGCCCTGAGCACTGCCAGCTGTAGCCCCCAAATCCAATAAATAAAAAGGTAAAGAACTTGATATTATAGGGCCAGGGCAATAGCACAGCGGGGAGGGCGTTTGCCTTGCACGCGGCTGACCAGATTCGATTCCCAGCACCCCATATGGTCCCCCGAGCACCTCCAGGAGTAATCCCTGAGCATTGCCGGGTGTGACCCCCCACCCCCTCAAAAAAAAAAAGCATGGGGCTGGAGCGATAGCACAGCGGGTAGGGCGTTTGCCTTGCACGCAGCCAACACAGGTTCGATTCCCAGCACCCCATATGGTCCCCTGAGCACCACCAGAAGCAATTCCTGAGTGCATGAGCCAGGAGTAACCCCTGAGCATCACCGGGTATCACCCAAAAAGCAAAAAAAAAAAAAAGCAAAAAAGAAGTCGATATTTTTTTAGGACATTCTCTGGGTTTCTGTTTCCCCTCACGAGTGCCCGTTCCCAGGCCCATCCTGCCCGGTCCCTGCGCCCCGCCTGCCCCCTGGGAGACCCTGCCCAGGTGACCATGACCCACCCTCGGACTGTCAGGGCTTTGGTTTCTCTGCTTTCCCGACTTCCCTTTGTTACCTAGTAAGGGACTGAGTGCCAATCTCTTTCTCTGTCTCTTACTTGGAGGCACCCTCAAGGCCTGCTCAGATGCTGTGGAAAGGGTGAAATCCATTTTATTCCAGCTGGACACTGTCGCATGGGGGGCTTCCCTTACCTGCACGCCCTCCAGAGGCATTTCAACAAGAACCAGATAAGAAAGGTTAAACAGAAATGATAAAATGAGATGATAAAATAGATGCCTTGCAGCATTACCACATGAAAATCGGCCTGTGTTTGGCTGGAGAGATAGCACCGGGACACCACAGCGACATGTGTTTGACCCCCATTTGATCCTGGCACCCCATGTGGTCCCCTGAGCACCTTCAGGAGTGATCCCTGAGAACAGAAACAGGAGAAAGCCATGAGCGGTCCAGGTGAGGCCCCCAATACAAAATAAATAATAAAACTGATAAATACCTGTTTTGATACATCAAATCTATCTAAAAACGGCATCGATCATTCAGACCAATTTTATTAAAGACTTGTAAATTAAATACTTGTCACAAAATATATCGTTCAAGTCTTTAAGGCTAGTTGAATTGGGGGCAAAGTGCAAGTTACTGTTTTTGTTTTGGGGCCATACCACAGAGCTCAGGGCTGACTCCTGGCTCTATACTTAGGGATCACTCCTGGAAGTGCTCTGGGGGCTTAAGAGGTGCCGGGGATCGAACCCGGGTCTGCAGCACGCAAGGCAACTGCCCTGTCTGCTATACTCTCTCTGGTTGCTCCAGCCCAAACACCTACAATGTACACAGTCACCTCATCTTCACACGGAGGAGAAATGTCCCAGACCCCCGCCAGTGCCTGCTTCTCTGTCCTCCCTGGCTACCCCCATTCTTCCCTCCTTTCTTGACATCCTCCCTTCTATAATCAAGCAACTCTTAGTTACCATAGAAATGGAAACTAAAATGTAGACATTTCTCTGCATATACAATGTTATAATGTACATTAACGTTTTTTGTTTGTTTTTGGGCCACACCTGAGGATGCTCAGGAGTAACTCCTTTGCACTCAGGAATTACTCTTGGCGGTGCTCAGGGGACCATATGGGATGCTGGGAATCAAACCATGGTTGGCCCAGTGCAAGGCAAATGTGTGTCCCCCCCCCCGATTCCCCCCTCCCCACTATCTCTTCAGCCCTATACATTAACTTTATAATAGAGGACTAGAGAGATAGCACAGCGAGTAGGGCGTTTCCCTTGCAAGCAACCAACACGGCCGATCCAAGTTCGATTCCTTTGCCCCTCTTGGAGAGCCCAGCAAGCTACCAAGAGTATTTTGCCCGCATGGCAAAGCCTGGCAAGCTACCCATGGCATATTCAATATGCCAAACACAGTAACAACAAAGTCTCACAACGTTACTGGGCCCGCTCGAGCAAATCGATGAACAACGGGAGGACAGTGACAGTGACAGACATTGTATCAATGTTATAGATGTATATGGCAATCATACAAATATTTTTTAATCTTTAATTTTATTCCAGGGGTCTTTGAGCACTGCTCAGGGAACTTGGAGACCATACCCGCTGCAGCTCTAACCCTCACCCTAACCATGCAGTGGGCCCACAGTGCAATGCTGGGACACCAGCGCCATCCCCACAGCGCCTGAAGGCCATGCTGGTTGGGGAAACGACTGTGCCAGGGCCTGCCCACAGTGTTCCCACTTGCAAAGTATGGCCCCAACCCATCTCTTCTGCCTGGTCCTGTGCCCTTTATTTTGAATTCTGTTTTGTGGCCACACCCAGAAGCTCAGGGCTTATTAATTCCTCTGTCCTCCGAGTCACTCCTGGTGGTGCTCAAGGGACCATATGCAGTGCCAGGGCTCAAACCATAGGTGGCCACACCGGCCCTTACAGCACAGTGACAGAAACAAAAATCGGAGCCATCCGATGAGAACCTTGCTGACTGGAGTCAGTGTAGAAGGTGCGAGAAGCCCTGGGGAAGTACGCTTCACAGCAGAGATAGGGTTTGTATGTCCTACTGTGCAGAGATGTGCTGAGCCAGCAGAGACCCGCCCGGTGTTCACTCATGCACAGTTCTGGAATGCTATTCAGACTCTGCTGACAAGTTTCCTTCTGGGCAATAAGCCAGAGACTTGGGGAAGCAGAAGATCCCTTATCTGACAACTTTCTTTCTTTCTTTCTTTCTTTCTTTCTTTCTTTCTTTCCTTCTTTCTTTCTTGTCACACCCAGCGAAGCTCAGGGGTCACTCCTGGCTCTGCACTAAGAAATTACTCCTGGCGGTAATTGGGGGACCCTATGGAATGCCAGGGATCGAACCCAGGTTGGCCGCGTGCAAGGCAAATGCCCTTCCCGATGCCCTATGGCTCCGGCCCTCTACAACTTTTTCTTTCACAGTGTCACTTTGTTACTATTATAATTGCTGAGAAATGTGCCCTCAGTTTTGCATTAATATTTTTATATTCACAAGACTGTTTCATCTGATTGCCACCGTCTTGCTCAGTCTTTGTTGCCAACTATTTGAAAAATCCAGAGCTAACATAAAAATGCAAATTCGCCTTTGTGATAAATATAGATATGGGCTTTGCCCAGCTTCCTGGCACACAGCTCCTAAACCTTTGCAATCTCCAGAGTGTTGAGAACATCTTTTGTCCAAATAAGGAGTGGACTTGCATGGGACAGGGGCCTTCCTGGACTTCTGCAACGGAGGTTGGTCAGTCAAAGGAAGTTGCAAATTAAATTAGGTAAGAAGCCCAAAATTGGAGTCGGAATCCTGTAAAGGAAAGACAGATCCGCTGCCTTCATTTTTATGCATTGTCCACAAAGCAAGTCCCGACAGGCATTAAGTAGCATCCTCCTAAATTTACAAGAGGAAGTGTAGTAGTTGGATAAAACGAAGCCCAGCAACAGCTTCACCAATGAGAAGCGCCAGCCTCCCAGCCAATGAGAAGCCCTCATCACCCCACCCACCTCACGCTCCTCCAATGAACTCTCTCCTGCGGGTAGCCCCGCCCCTCCCCAAAGCCCCGCCCCTCACGTAGCCCGCCTGCAACCTCCGCGTGTGCCGGTGGTCCAGGTCGTGGGACCCACTTCGCAACTCTTTTGGTCGTACTGGAATAAACTCATCCGCCTGATGAATTAGAGGACTGTTTTTTATTAAAAGCTGATGAGATCATTATGACATTGCAAACCATAATGCCCAAAAGAAGAGAGAGAGAAGGAAAGTGCCTGCCATAGAGACAGGCTGGGACAGGGATGGGGGTGGGGGGGTGGCAGGGAGGAAACTGGGGACATTGGTGGCCGGAAATGTTGAAGGGACGGGTATTGGAAAATCCTATGACTGAAACCCAATCTTGAGCAACCTTTTTTTTTTTTTTTTTGCTTTTTTTGCTTTTCGGGTCACACCTGGCAATGCACCAGGGTTATTCTTGGCTCTGCACTCAGGAATCACTCCTGGCGGTGCTCGGGGGACCCTATGGGATGCTGGGAATTAAAACTGGGTTGGCCTCATGCAAGGCAAACGCCCCACTCGCGGTGCTATGGCTCCAGTCCCCCAATCTTGAACAACTTTGTAACTGTGTATCTCACGATGATTCGATGTAAAAAAAAAAAAAAAAGCAATCCTTGATTAAAACCTTAGAACTGACAGTCCAGTCTCCCAAAATTAGGCAGGGGCAAAGAACTGGTGATGGGCTAATAGTTGGTCATTTTGTGAAACAAGCCTACGGAGCCTGATTCAATCTCCAATAAAGAAGGACGGAGGCTAGGAGAGTTCCTGGTGGTACATGCCTCATGGAGCTGGGAGGGTGGCCCCCCTCTCCTGCTAGGGAGTTCCCAGGCAGCGGAGTCCCTGCGGCTTGCTAGAAAACAATCTGATGCCGGGCATTAATATTTTATATTATTTTTGATTCTTGGCTGCACCCGAGGGCATTTGGGGACTACTCCTGACTCTTTCAGGCCATCATTCTGGGAAAGTCTTTTTGTTTGTTGGCCACACCCAGCGATGCTCAGGGCTTACTCCTGGCTCTGCACTCAGGAATTTCTCCTGGCGGTGCTCAGGGGACCATATAGGATGCTGCGTATCAAACCCAGGTTGGCTGCGTGCAGGGCAGACACCCTCCCTGCTGTGCTATGACTGGCTCCTGGGAGATTTGGTGCTGGGTGTTGGAGCAGGCCTGGCTGTAGACAGGCCAAGTTTTCTACTTCCTGTACTGTCTCTCTCGCCCCACCTTGTTTTTTGGATGATATCTGGGATTGCTCCAGGGTTACTCATGACTCTGTGCCCACAGATCACTCCTGGAAGACTCGGAGTGGTGGGGATCGAACTGGGTGGGCTGTGAACAAGGCAAAGACCCTAACTGCTGTACTATTTCTCTGGGCCAACTTTTAAAAAATGTATTTGTTTATGGTTTATGGGCCACACCTGGGTGCACAGGGATCACTGTGCTTGGGGGAACATATATGGTAGCAGAGATTGAACCTGGGCTAGCCACGTGCAAGACAAACACCTTAACTTCTGTGTTACCTTTCTGGCCCCAGTGTTAGCATTTACAATACACATTCCACCTTCAGAAATCTAGCCTATGGATGCAAAAGTACCAGAACTCAAGGGTATTCAGATACAAAGGGTACCTTTTTGTAATGGCATAAGATTGGAAACCTAGGCACCAGAGGATTAGCACTGCTTGCCTACGTGGGCCCTTCTGAAAAGGTCCTTGAGAGTCACAGGAAACAGTCCTCCAGGAGTGGCCAATCGGAGTATCCCTGAGCACCGCTGGGCATGGCCCAAACATGTCCTCCTCCCACACGAAAAAGCCTAAAAGCTACAGACAGGGCTGGGTTGGATAACCAGACGTTTGCCCCTATCTGGAACGCTACATTGCACTATGGGATAGTCTGAAATCTGGCTAGCGATCAGCAGGGGTTTCTAATTCCTGGGAATTTAGTTGCAAAGAAAACAAAGCTCCAAGTGTCGACTTTTGGGCTTGGAGGAGATTTAGTTTAAAGATTTGGAAGACCGCTGGCCAGAGAAACAGCTGAGCTCTGAGCACACGCTTTGCAAGCCGGAGGTGTGGGGTATTTCCCTGCCCAACGTTGTCCCTTCCCTGCACCACTGGGATGAGCTCCGAGCTCCGAGCACAGAGCAGGCTCAGTATAGGTCCTGGGCATGGAGAAGATGGTCCAGGGCCCGGCGCACCTCTCCCAGCTTCGCCTCCTCGCGGGAACGCAGGAGCAAGGGTGTGGTATTCGCGCTGGATTTCATCTTTGACACCTTTGACCTCTGCGTGGACGGGCCTCAGCAAACATCTAATGTCACTAGGTCAGGGGAAGCTAGGACTGTGGGGGTTCCAAGAGCGGAGGACCCACAAAAACGGTGAATTTTCAAGTTGGCTCGACGCCAGAGTGCCCGCGGAGGGGCTCGGGTCGAGAAGGTACGAGCGCCCAGAGCTGACAGCCCCGGGGTCGGGAACAGCAGCCTTTGACGCGGCCCCGAGGACTACAATTCCCGGCATGCCCCGCTCTCCGGAAGTAGGGCGGTGGCATCCGGGGCGGGGCGTTCCCGACAGGCCCCGCGGCGGACGCCCATCGCCGGATTTGAATATCGGCGGTGGACCGCGGCCGCGCCATGGGCGCCCCGTCGCTGCCCCCGGCCTGGCTGCTCTACCTCAAGGACCACCGCATCGCCACGTTCAAGAACTGGCCGTTCCTGGAGGGCTGCGCCTGCACCCCGGAGCGGGTGGGTCCGGGCGCCCGCCGCGCCTCGCCCCGGCCTGCCCCGCCCGCCGCGGGCTCCTGGCGGGCCCGATCCCCGATTCCCCGACCCCGGCTCCTGACCCCTGACCCCTGACCTGACCCCGGACCCCGACCCTGACCCCCAACCCCGGCCCTTCCCCCGCCCCGGCTTCTGACCCCAACCACTCACTCCGGCTCTGACCCCCGACCCCGTCCCTGACCCCTGACCCCGACCCCCAACCCCGGCTTCAGACCCCAACCACTGACTCCGGCTCTGACCCCCGACCCCGGCCCTGACCCCTGACCCCGACCACTGTCCCAGGCCCCCGGGTCCCGCCCCTGACCCGCCCCCTACCCTCGTCCTCAGCTCCTGACCCAGGCCACTGACCCAGGCCCCAAACCTCGACTATTGACCGGGGCCCCGCCCCCCAGCCTCTGACTCCGGCCCCTACCCCCGTCCTCGGCTCCTGACCCAGACCACTGACCCAGGCCCCCGAATCCCAACCACTGACCCCAGCCAGCCCCTGACCCGCCCCCTGCCAACCCCCCCCATTCCAACCCCTGAACCCCAATCTCTGCCCTGACCCCCACCCTGGCTCCTGATCCCCACCACTGACTCCGGCTCTCACCCCTGACCCTGGCCCGCCCCTGACCCACCTGCTGCCCCCTGATCCCAATCCCCGGCCCCTGACCTCAGCCCCTGACCCCTGGCCCTCGACCCCTGACGCTGCTCTGCCCTGCCCCGGGCTGGGGGCTGAGCCTGTTCTCCCCGCAGATGGCCGCGGCCGGCTTCATCCACTGCCCCACCGAGAACGAGCCTGACCTGGCACAGTGCTTCTTCTGCTTCAAGGAGCTGGAAGGCTGGGAGCCAGATGACGACCCCATGTGAGTCCCACCCACCCTTCCGGCCCTACCTTTCCCTCTCGAGCTGGTGCACAGGCGCGCACACACACAGACACACACAAAATATCAAGACATTCAGTGAAGGAGCCGCAGCTTGGCAGCCTTCTGCTGTGGGCCAACAGCTGTTGCAAATGTCTGGCTGGGCACGGGACTATGGCTGTGCCCGCACCCAGGTAAACTGGGTTCACCTGTGTCCTTTGGGTGGCGTGGACGCTGCAAGTTTCTGGTTTGCCACCGTGAAACCCACCCTTCCATCGGCGCCCACTTCTGTGCTTGGCATAGGGCCAGGCACCCGACTTACTATCCCCATGGTGGGAGCCGCGTCCCCGCCCACCGTGTGGCCTGCTGCCCTCCCAGAACCCTCCGCCCTCCCCCAGGCCAGCAGGTGTCTCTCTGGCAGGATGTGGCTGTTTCCCTCACTGTCTGCTCTGGCCCTGTGTCGGTGTCGGCAGTGGGCGCTGCAGGGGGGATTGTGTGTGTGTGTGTGTGTGTGTGTGTGTGTGCGCGTGTGTTGGAGGGCACAGCTGGCAGCACTGGTACTGACCTTGGCCTCTGGCCGACACAGCCCTCGCGGCCCCGGCCCACACATTTGCACACGTTTCTGCGCAGCTCAAAGGCGCCAACTTCTGCCCGTTGCAGGACCTCAGTGCTTGGAGGGGGCCTGTGGGTGGCGGTGCCGGGGCGTAGGCTCTCATGGAAAGTGCTCCAACTTCCTGCACTTCCTCTTGGGTGGCTGCGCATTCCCAAGGCCCGAACACGCTCCCAGCAGTGCCTGTCACTCCCCTGCTGGCCCTGTGACTGTCTGTCCACAAGACTGGGGGACGAAAGCTGCGTGTTACAGCATTTCCGCCGGCTTCCAGGGATTGGCTGGGATGGCATGAGGCTTCCTGCAGCCTGCGGGGGCTTCTAGGAGACCCTCCCGCAGCCAGGGTGCGGTGGGGGCTGGGTTGTGCATGGGGCCCTCCGCCGCCCCCGCCGACATGCTTGCCTGGGTTCGCAGAGAGGAGCATAAGAAGCATTCGTCGGGCTGCGCTTTCCTGTGTGTCAAGAAGCAGTTTGAGGACTTGACCCTCAGCGAGTTTCTGAAACTAGACAAAGAGCGAGCCAAGAACAAAATTGTACGTATGGCGGGAGGGCCGGGAGCAAAACCCTCGGCCTCTGGCCCGTCCCCAGGCCTACCTGCTAGGGAGGCGTCGGTGTCCAGCACGCTGTGGAGGGCCTCAGGCGGGCCGGCACACGCGTACACGCACGTGCATTGGTCAGAGTGTTTTGTTTTCTTTCGTTTATTTCTAAAACGGGACCATTCTTAGCCCAGTTGCTCCCAGGCCGTCCCCTCCCCGGAGGGCCTGAGGGAGACCAGCGCCCCTCCCCCTCAGTGCCCGGCAAGAGGACGCAGGGCACTGCTCGGCCCGGTGTCAGCAGAGGGAGGGACGCAGCAGAGACAGCCGTGGGGGGGTCTGGGCAGAGAGAAGCCGAGCCTTGTCTTCCAGACCCAGCAGGATAGAGAATGCGCTTGTTTGCGGCTCTTGGGTCCCAAGACAATGTGCTTTTATTCAGAATCCCGGCCCCACCCCTGGCTGGGGAGCTCCATGCGGGGCTTTGGGGGGGGTCCGCCTGCTGACTCTGGGGCTCCCCAGGATGGTTTTCCTTTCCTTTGGGGTCACACCCTCCAGCGCTGGGATCCAAAGGGAGGTGCGGGAAAGCTGCTACCCACTCATTGCTTGGGGTCGCCCCTGGCAGTGCTCAGGGGATCTTGTGCTGAGACTCAGACCAAGCTTGTCCTCTGTCCGGGTGATCCCCGGGGTGCTGCTCTGTCCTGGAGCTGCATGTGCTGAGACCCCAGTCACCTGTCCCTCGTTCTCAGCCCCGCCCAGCCCTCTGCTTGGCTGTGGGCCCGGTGCTGTGTGGGAGCCCTCTGCCACCTCTGAGCCACTGAGGCGGGTACCGTTTCAGATTGTGGTTGAGTGAGCGGGTTTTCCGGAGCCAGTGCTGGGGATGATGCCCCTCGGCCCCGGTACATACTGAAAGGCCTTGCACGTGGCCGGCCTGGGTTCTGTCCCCTGCACCCTGTAAGACCCAAGCCCGCCGGGAGTGAGCCCTGGGCACTGCCAGTGTCGCCCAAAAACACGAATAAAACTTAGTGCTTCAGGGACTAGAGTGATAGCACAGCGGGTAGGGCGTTTACCTTGCACGCGGCCGACCCGGGTTCGATTCCCAGCATCCCATTATGGTCCCCCGGGCACCACCAGGGGTAATTCCTGAGTGCATGAGCCAGGAGTAACCCCTGTGCATTGCTGGGTGTGACCCAAAAAGCAAAAAAAAAAAAGGTAGTGCTTCAGTTTGTGCCACCGGAGAACACATGTTCTCTTCTGTCACTCGGTGGGGCGAGGAGGCCGACCTAACAGTGCTCACTCGGACTGGTCCTGGCTCAGGGTGACCCACACGTGTGGGGACAGGACCACGGGTTGTGGGGTACAGGACAAGTGCCTAGCCTCCGAGCTCTCTGCATCTTGGATCTGGGTGTGTCTGCACGGGGCCCCGGGCCCCAGCCTGGCCCTGAGCCTCTTATCAGGACATCTGTGGATGCGAGATCTTTCAAGAAAGCTGCGGGAGGGAGAATCGCCTGGTGGGAGCCTGGAAATGGGGTTTGGGGCGGGGGGGTCCCAGGGGTGCCTGGCTGCTTCCCCCTGTGTTGCTGCTGCTGGGAGCTAGGGCTGCCCGGGCTCTGCGCCCTCTCATGAGCTCAGAGGCCCCTTGGGGAACCGCAGGAGGGGGTCCTGGTGGTTTGGCTGGCACAGCGCCTCAACTTCAAGCAGTGGGCATAGATGGAACTGGAGACGGCGTCTGTTCTTCCCCCCAGGCCAAGGAGACCAGCGTCAAGCAGAAAGAGTTTGAAGAAACGGCACAGAAGGTCCGCTGCACCATGGAGCAGCTGGCCGCCTCCGACTGAACTGAGCTGCCCTGCGGGACGAGAACAGTTGGACCACGAGTGTTTCCTGCACGTTTCCTGTGGCTGGGCCGGTGACCCCCAGCTGTTCCCTGCACTGGACAGGCAGCTCAGAGGCCGTGTAAAGCTGTTTGCATCTAAAAGCATAGTTACTCATTTCTGCGTCCCTGATGTCAGGCGACTGCCCCTGCTGCCTGCGTCTGGGACAGTCTCACTGGGGTCCTGCGTGGAGCCCGCTCGCCCCGGACAGAACGGCAGGGGGAGGCGCTGTCGTTCATGCTCACTTCTGGGGTTCCAGCCTCCCTGGGGCACGCTGGCCTGAGCAGACGAGCCGGGCGTCTGGGCAGCCCTGGGCGGGCCCGTCACCCCACCCTGTAGGCTCCTGCTCTGGAAATTAAAGCCTCCCACCCAACTCTCTGAGGCCTGACGCCCCTTCTTAGCCTGCATGCCAGCCTCGTGGGGGCAAAGGGCAGAGCAGCCTGAGGTCCGGCCACCTCCAGGCAGCCCTGCACCACCTCGACACGGATCAGTATGCCTGGACAGCTCTGGCTGGTCCCCTGGGGAAGCTGCGCCCTGTCATGTCAGCCCAGGAGGGGCCGACGTGTCAGAGACATGGCCTGGTTTCCACCATGGTGACTGGCTCGGGGTCTCCCCTCACCTGGCAGAGGGCTCTCGCATGGGGGGCAGGGGGCGGCCCCTGGGCTTGGTAGGGACCAGGCCAGTGAGGCCAGGGCCTGGGGGTCTCCTTTGCACGTCAGCCCGGGACCATGTCATCACCCAGCTAGTGGTCGTCCAGCGTCACGGGGAGCCCCGCTCCAGGAGGAGGGCACCCAATGCGGAGCCTGCAGTCAGCCCAGGGACCAGCCGTGGGGCGGGTGGTCAGGGTGGGCCCCGCGCTGCGCTCCCAGGAGCGGGCCTGAGCGCCGTACTCGGGACAGCCAGCAGGGGGCAGTAGGGCGCCGAGCCAGGCGCCGGCGGGCCCTGAGCCGGCTGCCCCCGCGTGGCCAGGCTGGGGACTGGTCCCCAGACGTGCTGACGGCCCGCGCAGCAGGAGGGATGATGCCCGGGCCCAGGCGGGGGAGCGAGTCCCTCAAGCCTGCAAGCGGCCACGGTCGGGAAACGGTTGCACCTTGCCCAGGGGGCCACGACCAGCGCCCCGGACCTGACAGCGGAGCCGCGCGCCTCTGGCACCCATCGCTCCCCGGTGCTTACCAAGGGGCCACCAGGGTGACGACTGGCCGGGGGCGCCCGGAGGTGCCCCGGCTGCGAGAGGGTCCCGGGGCTCGCCAGGGGGGACCGGAGGGGAGCGGGAGGTCACAGGCTGCACACACGGCGCCTACAGCCAGTGACGGACCCGGGGCGGGTGTGGAGACCCCGATCCAGGATCCGGGCCCCGCATTTCCTCCCTTGCGTGCCTCTGGCCTGTGCACGGGGCCATGATCCTGTGTAGAGGGTCGAGGGTCCCAGCTCTGGAAGAACCTGCCCAGGGACACCCCCCAGCCACGCCAAGAGCTGTCCCGGCTCATGCCGGCCCCAAGGCCCTGTTCGAACCCTGCACCCCTTCCTGGGCACGGTGCTCCCCGCACCTCGCATCTGTCTCGCTTCCGTTCCCAGCAGCCCCCTGCAGGTGGGGTCCTGCGGTTTCCCCGACTTCCTCTTCTGGAAGGGAAGAGCAGACGGTGGGGTGGGGGCTGGGCCGCCTTTCCTTCCTTTGCTGTGATGAGGCGGGGAGGGGGTGGCCCTGGCCGGACTGTGTGCCCAGGGTCATATACCCTCGGATGCAGAGGGCTGGGGGTGGGGGCTCCGCACGGCCTGCGACGCGCGCACGGGCCCTGGGAACTCTTCCCAGGCAGGGCACCGGGGCTGCCCGAGCCATCAGCGGACACGCGGGGTCACCTGGTCTCCACCTCCCCCCGCACCCCGACCAGAGCCCTGGCCCCAGTCTGCACCCGAACTTCCTCCTCGGCGCCGGGCTTCGGATTCTGCAGTTCCCCGGCCCGGGGAGGAGCCTCTCTCCGCGCTCCCCCTTCCCGGTGACCCCGCCGCTCGGTGCCCGCCCCTGCCGGACGCTGCCCAGCGGACTGGGAGGGACCCACTCTTGGGCAGGGGTTCTAGAAGCGCTTGACGCCGGAGGGGGGCGCGCAGGGCGCAGGTGGGAGCCCCTTCTCCGACCCCTGCAAAGGCTGCAGGAACGTGGGCGGGGCGGCTGGAGGCTAGCCACGGCGTCGGCGTCCCCCACGACCCCCTCCTGGCACCCAGAGCCCCGCGTGCAGAGGGCAGGGGCGACTGAGGGGTCAGACCCACCCGCACCCCTTTTCCCCGCGACGACCAAGCCCGCCCCGGACGCAGCTGGCTTCGGCCGCAGTGTACACCGGCCGGCACCCGAGTCCCGCGGTATCCTGGGAATTGTAGTTCCCGCGCGGCGGCAGGTCCGTGGCATGCTGGGAGTTGTAGTCCAGACGTTGTTCGTTGGACCCCCCCCCGACCCCACCCCCCACCCCCCCCCCACCCCCCGGCACAAGGCTGCCCGAGGACCCCGGGGCATCCAGGGAGTTGTAGTTCGGCTTCCGTGCTGGGCACACACCGCAGGGAGGGGGTCCTAGGAGCCAGGCCCGCTCGCGGCGACCCTGCAGGGAAAGCGCAGGTGCTGTCCTGGCTGCGTTCAGACTGCCAACACCTGCAGGAGACCAGACCTCGACTTCCCTTTTCCGACGGGGAAGAGGCGCCGGGGCGCGCGGGAGCTGGTGCTCGGGTCCGCCCAGGTCTCCTGCGCCCGCCGGGACCACTGTGTTGTGTGACCGGGACCACTGTGTTGTGTCGCCGCGGGCACACACCGGCTGGACAGGCTCTGCATGCAGGGAGCCTGGTCCCTCCCCGCCCCCACGGCTCCAGGAGAGCCCCCAAAAAGCCCAAACCCACAAACTTTAGAAATGTGGCGGGGAGTGGAGGGGGGATGGAGCGATAGCACAGCGGGTAGGGCTTTTGCCTTGCACCCCGTCAACCGGGGTTCGATTCCCAGCATCCCATATGGTCCCCTGAGCACCGCCAGGGATGATTCCTGAATGCAGAGCCAGGAATAACAGCTGTGCATTGCCGGGTGTGTCCCAAAAAGCAAAAGAAAAAAAGAAATGTGGCGGAGAGAGAACAGCGGGGACAGTGCTTGCTCTGCACGGCCCCCTTGGTTTTATTAAGTCCTAAAATTCCATTAGGGACTAGAGCGATAGGTGGTGGCATATTTGGTATGCCAAAAACAGTAACAAGTCTCACAGTGGAGACGTGAGACTTGTTACTTGTTCACTGGTGCAGGCTCCAGCAAATCAATGCACAACGGGAGGGCAGTGCTACAGTGCAGAATTCTATTTCCATGGTGGGGCCCTTCCCTGTCTGCCTGCCTACATCACCTGCATGCCCCTGACCCGGGTTCGATCTCCGACACCACCACCTGGAGTATTTTTTTTCTTTTTTTTTTCCTTTTTGGGTCACACCTGGCGATGCACAGGGGTTACTCCTGGCTCATACACTCAGGAATTACTCCTGGCGGTGCTCGGAGTACCATATCGGATGCTGGGAATCAAACCTGGGTCGACCGCGTGCAAGGCAAATGCCCTGCCCGCTGTGCTATCTCTCCAGCCCCCTGGAGTAATTCTTTTTACTTTCTTGTTTTTAATTTGGTTTTTAGAGATACTCAGGGGTTCCTCCTGGTTCTGCACTCAGGGATCACCCCTGGCAGGGCTCAGGCGACCCGAAGGTGTGCCGGGGATCAAACCTGGGACGGCCACATGCAAGGCAGACGCCCTCCCTGCTGTGCTGTCACTCTGACCCCAGGAGTAATTCTTGAGTGCAGAGCCCTGAGTAACCCCTGAGCATTGCCAGATGTGACGCAAGAAATTAAAACTTAAAATAGGGAAGCGGAAAAAAAAATAGGGAAGGTGGGGGCCGGAGCGATAGCACAGTGGGTAGGGCGTTTGCCTTTCACGCGGCCAACCTGGGTTCGATTCCTGGCATCCCATATGGTCTCCTGTGCACCGCCAGGAGTAATTCCTGAGTGCAAAGCCAGGAGTAACCCCTGAGTATTGCTGGGTGTGACCCAAAAAAGAATAAAAGGCCCTCCCGTTGATCATCGATTTGCTCGAGCGGGCCCAGTAACGTCTCCATTGGAGACTTTGTTGTTACTGTGTCTGGCATATCGAATACTCTCGGTAGCTTGCCGGGCTCTCCGAGAGGGGTGGAGGAATCGAACTCGGGTCGGCCATATTGGCTGCCTGCAAGGCAAACGCCCTACTGCTGTGCTATCGCTCCAGCCCCGCAGCCAATAAAATAAATTGGCTCTTTTAAAGAAAAAAAATAGGGAAGCGGTGTGGGAGCCAAAGGGGAGAGCGTTGCAGCCCTCCATGAGGCCTGACTCCCCCTGCTTTCTGGGCCCCTGGGTGCTGTCCCCACCCCTGGGCTCCCTCCAGCCCCGTCTTCTCTCCAGTTGCTGCTTCCTTGCCCTGGGACTTTGTGTGGTTTTGTTTGGTTTTCTATTTTATTATTTTAGTTTGCATGTTTTGGGGGCCACCCCCGGTGGTGCCCAGGGTAGGTTGTGGGTCTGAGACCCAGTGGGGCTGTACACCTGTCACGTCTGTGACTTGGGATGGCCACCCTGGGCCTCAGTTTCCACACCTGTAAGTGGGCTGTTCCTTGACTTCCCGCGTTTCTTTCTTGTTTTTCTTTTTGGGTTCAGGCTCCCTCCTGACTCTGCTCAGGGACCCTTTGGGGTGCCGTGTGCAGCAGGCGCTTCCCCTGGGCTATCTCCCGCAGATTTCCTGTGCTTCCTGCTGAGCTCTGGGCTATGACTCTGGGCCCACCCCTGCAGACCCTGAGATCGGGCCCCCAGCGCAGGGCCAGAGGGGCTGCGCTCACTCCAGGGGCCCTGGCTCACAGCCTGCCCTGGCAAAGTCACACACATCCTGGGAGCCTGGAGAAGAGGAAGCTGGTGGGCTTCCTGGAAGAAGCGGTGAAAGGGCTGAACCCCTCACACTAAGGGGAAGGAAGAAGGGGTCCAGGCTGAGGTCAGCTAGGGACAAGGCCCAGAGGCAGTGGGGCTTGGGGGTTGGGTGGAGCAGCAGCTGGGGAAGGCAGTTGTGGACAGAGGACAAAGGCCTCCAGACCCACCCAGAGGGGCACCTGCTGGGCCAGGGCCAGCCTCCTCCAAGCTCCCTTCCGGGTCTGGAAAACAAGCCCCTTATCTGGGCCCTGCTGGGAAGTGGGGGGCGGGGCGGGGAGGCTCTGCGGGAGGAGGGAGGGAGGCGCCCTGAGGCACCCCAGGAGGACACACAGACCAGACCGA